CTGAAGATATACTTCAATTCAGATTTTCTAAGATCATACCCATTTTGGTTGCGTAATAGTCTCATTTTATATATTGACCAAAGTGCAATGGAATCTGTGATCTGTTGAGTTTTCCTCACCTACTTTGATAAGATGGTCTGCTGTAATTGTTTTTTCTGTATCAAACACTTTTTCTATTGACCAGCATAAATATGATTTGAAGGAATCATTACATTTACATAAAATAAAAGCAAGAAAAATGCCTTCACTTGCTTTACCTGTTTTACACGTATCATCAAGTGCAAGATTCCACTTCAAAAGATTCTTTCTCACTGGTAGAATGTTATACGAAATTTTAAAGAGAAATTCTTTCAGCTTATTATTATTAACGTTAATCAAAATATCGTTCAAAACAATTTGGCCAATTGTTATCTTTATCTAAAAGCTTTTTTCCAAAAATACGACATTTAAGCGTAACATGTCAAAATAATTATTGTTTACCAGTTAACTCATACATTTTTTTATATTCTACCTCTATTAAGAATTCTTGGAATTTGTTATTTTTTTTTTCAATGGAGAGTTATTTCCTTTGGTAAGCAACTGTTTTGGAATCGCTTTTTAAATGTTGCAAGGTCAAACACTACATTGCTTTTCCCTGCTTGAATTCATACCCAATTTGAGCACTTATTCTAAAGGTACCGTTTCTAAAAATGTCGTTAACATTCGCAATACCACTTTATAACCATTTCTTAAAGAACAACAATTTCTTTCTAAAAATAATGTTTCAATTAAATCATATATATTTCCGATGAGGCCTTTTTAACTATATCCCCCTTTACTGTATACCATGCTAGGAAGATATCACGATAAAACATTGGCCATTTTGATACACAATAATGTAATATTCTTTCATCAAAATCACATTTTGATACTAAAGAGAGCCCACCTATCTGGTCAAAACAGAAATTAGCCATTCTTGTCCACAGTGTGCCTGAATCATCAGTAAGTTGCCCCAGCCAACGCAATATGAAACTCAAAAGCTTATTTTCAACGTCCATCATACTTACACCCCCATTCTTACAATTTTTAAATATTAATTGTCTTTAACTTTTAATTTTGCCCCTGCCAAATAAAACTAAACAGTAAGTTATTCAATTTTTTGACATATATTTTAGGAACAGTTTCAAACATTGATATATGTATCACGAAGCTAATTGTTGGTGTACTTAAGTTCACCACAACTACTCCTTCAAATATTGTCAGTTTCTTATTTTCCAATTATCTAGTTTCTTTTCTTTTCCCCACTTCACTATCCCACAAGATTTGTAAGGCTTTTTCTTTATCTTTTGAAATCGGCATGCTAAGGCACTTTACAGGCTTGTCACACCGTGACAATGTGTGATCCAATCGATTCCATTTTTCATTTTTATTACCAATGTCAATGTTGTTTTATCCTTATTCAATTTAGGACCTGCGACTTCAATAAATTTTCTCAGCTCCTTTGATAGTACATTTAAATATTCCTCATCATTTACAAAGAAAACAGTGTCATCTGCATATTGTAATAATTTCAAATGAAAAGACTTGTATTGTTTCCTACGTTTTAATATCATTCTTATACCAGGATGATTACTTTTCCTTATTGCTAGTATTTCAGCGGCCAGAATGGAGAGAAGTGCCGAGAGAGAGGGCAGCTTTGTCTGAACCCTCTCCGAGTTTTGAACTGCTCTGTTAGGAAACCGTTAACAATAACAGACAAAATTAAAAGCATGATTATACAATACTGAAACCCGCTTGATAAACTGGGGCCAAAATTAAACACACTTAATGACTGCTTTACAAAATCAGATCGAACGCTTTCTTAAAATCTGTCATGTTAATGGCATCTTGCTTATTTTCAACTTCATGTAAGCTATCACATCTTTTAGTAGTCTTAGATAAGAACCGTTTAGGCTATTCTTGATATACCGAACTTGGTTTCCATTTACCAGTTTCGGGACAACTTTCATCAAACTGCTAACTAGAACTGCAGCAGCTATTTTTATTATCGCAACTTAGTAGTGTCACTGGGCGCCAGTTCATCAAACTTTCAAAATCACCTTTCTTAACTCATAGCCTGCCATAAGGCTGCATGCATGCTATTGTTACTCTGCTTCTTGCATGCTAGCACGCATTCGTAATAGCAGTTATTGTTCATGCCCATTGGACTGTGCCTAGTGTTTTGCACGCGCTATTGGTAGTACCATCGTGTTAATCCGATTATCTCGTTATAAATCTGGCACTGGGGGATTAGCCCTGTGACAGGATAAGAGTTAATATCAAAGTTATTACCCCATTTTGGTGTTTCAGACATATGACTATTATCAAAAGATTCATTTAGCGCATTGACTAGTATCTGCTCAATATCTTCGAAAAATACCCTGTAGAATTATATTGGAAGGCCGTCTACACCAGGTGACTTAGTTTGTTTCATATTACTACTACTACTAATAATAGCTAGTTCTTATATAGCGCTTTTCAGGACCGAAGGCCCTCTCAAATTGCTTTACATATATTATTACCCCGGTCATCGGATTCAGGCTTACCCGCACTTAATGAATGAACATTATCCACTCCCTGGGGAGCATTTCAGCCAGATGTCATTTTTACAAGCGCACACTTGCTAATCTAAGCACATTAGCTTTCGCATCCTACCGGGTACCCATTTAACACTTGGGCGGAGAGTAACACATGTAGATCAATGTCTAACATTCCTTTATCTTATCTAGTGTTAGCATCAATCAATTGTAACGAATGAGAAGCAGAAACGTAAAAGACTCATTATCTGTGTTTCTGTAGAAATGCTGATCTTGAGTTCTGGTAATTAAATTGCTTGTTGACAAAAACGGGCTTAAAGACGTCAAACAGATTCATCCAGATGGTTTTATTTGTTTGTGAATCAGTGTTAAAAGGAACTATATCTCTTTTGCAGCCAACATCAAATTATGTAGAACTAGAATCATGAATATGTCATTTATATCCTATCTGTGTCCTAGCATTCAAATTATGCAAGGGAACCTCTTTTTACCTTCTAGACTTCAATGTCAGACACTATTGGGTGACTGACTTCATTTTTCTTTGATAATAGCATACATACAATGAGCTGTAAAGGGTACATAAGTGTTACTTTGTTTACATCAATAACCCACTTCTTGTAATGGCCAAAATTAAACTGATTGAATATTTGCACCGCACAAAACGTACATCATTCGGTACAAGAGTCTGAAAATCAGACTACTTACTAAAAAGATTGCAATCCATAAATTTGATTCGACATCTAACGGTCGTTATATCCCCACACAAATCAAGCCCGTTCGTTTCGTTTTCGTTTTTCAAATGCAGGTGGAATTTAACCTTTTCATGTTTTTTTGGCCTGCAAATGGGACATAGTTCCTTTAACCTGTTGACTGCTGAAGTGTTTTATTCCCATAAACTTAATACAGAAACAACAGTTCCAGTACGCAATGGGTAATTAAAATGCGAATCTCCACAATTGTCTGTGCTCCACAGTGTAGGCGCAAATACATGTACAATGTCAATACAGAACACCAAAACATGTTGACTTGCTTTGATATCATTATGTTCATAAATTCAGTATGTGGATTTGCACTGGATCTAATTATCATCAGGATGTTTTCAAGGATTGAAATGTGTGCATCTTTGTTCAAAATCAGGCAGCATGTCACCGATTTTGGTCAAGCGCGTCGGGTGAGCGTGGGATATCAGTTCATATCACAGATGATAATTGTTTGTCAAACCGAATAGAATAACCTCAATTCATGTATCGCGGTTCAAAGAAACACAATACTTATTTGTCAGAGAATTGTAAGGCCATTTATCATACCCTGGACTCGACTACGCTTGTGGTTGTGATGACTGATGGTGAGGCAATTATAGGCGGATCGGGATTGTGTGAGGGGGAGGGGAGGTTTTTTATATTATTGTTCCGCGGTCACTATCTTCGCGCCAACTTATCTCTGAACGTCAACCCTTGACCAGCTAGTCCTTGCTCTAAACCTAGCCATAACCTAACCTGAACCCAAATGAAATCCTACCACTAAGGAGGAGCGATGGCTCAGCTTTAGAGAGTGTTGGTCTCGTATCAGGGAGGACCCGGGTTCGAAACCAATTAGATGCGCTAATGCCCTATTTTAAGGCATTACTCGTCATTACCAAGTCCCTCAAAGAGGACTTAAAGCCGTCGGTCCCCTGGCTGCTTTCATACAGGCATACAATGCTTTCCTAGCAGTCAGGTAAAAACAAACCAACCCTAATATAACCCTATATTTCACAGAAAAGGGAAACAAACGTGGAACCTAATGTCGGGTTTATCTAAAGTCAACTATTCCTGAGACATTGCACGGTGAACTCATACAATGATGACGTTATTATGAGTTCAGTATTGCGAGCAAAGAATGCAGGGATAACATTTGTATTGCCTTGCAAATTGCATTTTGTTTTTGTCTAAGAAATCAAACCGAATGCAATCGAATGAAATGTAAGCTTCATACAGCATACCTTGTATAACTTCTAGAACGAGAGCAAAGGAAAATCCTTACGGCTCAATCTGTTCCCCTTCATACCACACCTTTTTGTATAATTGTGTTTTCTTTTCCTTCACAGCCCCCGCCGGGCGAGAGCCCATACGACAACGCTGGTGATGCGGCGGCTGTTGGTCGTAATACCGAGGAACATGCCTACGACAACGCCACGTACGAGATGGACACGGGCGAACAGACCACTGTCGACATGCAAACACCGGAAGAACCCGTCAATGACATCCCCAACGATCCCGAGCCTGACGTCGTCGCCGATCCCGGTAATGACTTAGACATTGATGCCGAGGGCGAGGTCGTTGTCGATGAGGAGATGGAACCTTCAGCCGTGATTGAAGTCAATGCAGTTGATGGTGACGCGGATGTGGATCCTAAAGACGAAATTGAGATGGTGAGGCTAAATGATGGTGAAGAGCTACCTGAATACACAGAACCGGAAGATGAAGAGGCCGGTCCACTCCCGAGCAAATCAAGGGGAGATTCAAGGATGTAAGTTCTGTTCTCTTTGAAATTCAATGTTGCTAGTTTATATTATTAGATCGAAACAAAAACAATATAACATGCATTGACTTGATTGCTCTGTGAAACACAAAACCAGGTATAATTATCCCTTGAAAATGAATTGTAGCACAGGGATATATAATATAATACATATACATATATAGTTAAATTAAGTTGTGTTTTTTTAATTAATTAGTTTATTGTTTGTTATGTGCTCATGATTATCGTGTCGTTTTGTGCTTTGCTTGTATTCTGCATGTGCTGTTTAAGTATTACGATTGTAAGGGAATTGAATTCGATATTCCCAGGTACAAATTTATTGTATAATGATATGTCTGCATTTTAAGAAATTAATGAATTTGATTGAATAATCATTATCCATGCGAGGAGAAAAGGTAAAATTATGAAAATCCAAAGCACTGAAATGATTTTATGACAACAGATAAAACCATCGAACATTGTCTCAATAGTATGAACATAACTTGACCTACTTTGTAGGCCTAATAATGATGTAATTTAATCAGTAATAATCAGTAATCATGCTGCATGATGTCTCATCGTTAACAATCAGATAGATATTGAATCTACCAATTTCATAGTATTATTTCATTAATTATTCACGCTTCATCGAGCGAACTTGTTTTAAAAATCGCATTTTGAAACCAAATTGTGCTATATTTTGGTAACACAAAGAAATCGTTGATATCACATGCCAACATGGCACTAGGAAATTGGGAGCTTTAAAAGATATTAATGCAAGGTTTCTATTGTGTGATGGTGTGCAGGCGCGTGGCCAGGGGGGCGGTGGGGGCGGTCGCCCCCCCCCACAAAAAAACGGCCAAAACAAAAGAGAGAGAAAGAGAAGAAAAAAAGTAAGAGGACGTAGGAAGAAAAAGAGAAAAGGAGTCGAGAACGGTACAACGAATCGTCTTCTTTCTCTAATAATTTAATGAAACGTCAAAGCTTCCGCGCTTTGCGCGGATAGGGGGAAATTAAGTTCAAATTAAGGATTAAGAGTCGAGAATGGAACAACGAATCGTCTTCTTTCTTTAATAATTTAATAAAACGTCAAAGCTTCCGCGCTTCGAAAGAGGGGGACTGAATACAGATAAGGGTCGTGAAAGGTACAACGAATCGTCTTCTTTGTATAATAAAACGTCAAAGCTTTCGCGCTTCGCGCAAGAGGAGGGGGGAGGACTGAATTCAGACAAGGATTAAGAGTCGAGAACGGTGCTTAGAGTTGTCTTCTTTCTCTAATAATTTAATGAAACTTCAAAGTTTCCGCGCTTAGCACGGAGGGAGACTGAATACAGATAAGGATTAAGGATCGAGAAAGGTACAACGAATCGTCTTCTTTGTCTTATGATACGTCGAAGCTTCCGTGCTATGCGCAGGAGGTGCGGACTGAATTAAGACAAGGATTATGAGTCGAGAAAGGTACAACGAATCGTCTTCTTTCAAAGCTTCCGCGCTTTGCGCAGGAACTCCCCCCTCCCTGCACCCACCCTCCTAGGGAGCGCGCTACGCGCGCTTTTTTAGTGATTCGCACGCTTCGCGTGCGAAGCTACCGCCCCCCCCCCCCTAAAATGAAATCCTGGCTACGCGCTTGATGGTGTGTAATTCAATAAGCGGTTAAAAAAGGGTTGAATTCCAATTTCTGACATGGATGTATAAGTGTATAACCTTAAAATATTTCTAAAATCCATCAATATACCTCGATCATTGAAAAAATGCCACTTTTATTGATTAAAAGTGCTTCCGATCTTAAAAGGGACGTTGCATATTCTGATGGGATATTTTCCATCTTATGTGCCCAATAGGACCCTACCTTTCCGCGTTGTACAAATAATACGAGTTGCACCTTACATTTCTGTGAAAATATCACCTGACTGTCTCTTCTGTTTTTTTTTTTTTTTTTTTTTATAAATTTGCGATTTTGAAACATGCACAAATTATTGTTCTTAATGATCGCATATCCATTTAAGTACAAAATATGCTCGTTTTACCCTCACCATACACAACATAATATACGATACGTGAAAAGTATCTGCTCGTTTGGTTTGAAAGTTTTTTTTTCAAGTCATCTTCGGTCATGTTCACGCCGTGATGCTAAACCATATTTACTATGTTCACTATTTCACCAAAGTCTGGCACAAGTGGACTTTAATATGCCATTTTCAAATCAATGTTGCTCAGTGGAGCGCGTATGAATTACTTCTACTTCTACTTTATGAAAAACAAAAATTCATGTTCATATAGCTCATAGTCTGTTTTCCGGATATTTTTCTTTCTGGGACGCACTGTATTTATCATTAGGGCGCTATAGCTATCAGGACAAGCCCTGGGCTCGTTAGTGTATCCCACCTACTGAATCCATGTATATTTCTACATTCCATTTGATAACTAAATTATGAAGAGCTTAATTTCAAAGGGCGCTACCCACACTTTTTACCGATTTGTTTAATAACAATCTTACATATTGAAATCATATGTACTTTGCAAAAATGTCATTGCAAAAAAAAAATGCAATATGGTATTGATGAATTTGTTCGTTTCACCCCCATTTCCTAAAGGGAAAGTCCACCCCCAAAATAAGTTTGTTTCGATAGAGGCAGAATAATAAGAAAATCAGGTGAGTGAAAGTTTGAGCAAATTCTGAATGAAAATAAGAAAGTTATGAATTATTGAAGTTGTGATCAATCAAATACAAATTGGCAACTCTGTGACTTATTATACGAGCTCTCCTTCATTTGCTTTGTGCATAATATTCCATAAAATCATGTTTTCTTCGTTATTGATGACGGAATATACATTTGTTCCTTGCAGGGGGAGTATAGAAACATATTTGCAATTATTATATTTAGGGTGCATGTATGGTTGAAATTTTTCTTGAGGGAAAATGAAAATTTTAGATTTTTTTAGTACTGAGCAAATGGAAGTTGAGCTCGCATGATACGTCATAGAGTTGCCAATTTGTGTTTGATTGATCACAACTTCAAAAATCCTAACTTCCTTATTTTTAATCGAATTTGCTCAAACTTTCACTGACTTGTTTCTCTCATTTTTCTACTCCTATTAAAACTAACTTAATTTCAGGGTGGACTTCCCCTTTAATTCAAGCTAACGTTATGATATGGTGTCATTACCAGTTTAGACGATCAGTGCAAATTTTAATAACTGTATCTCATTTAAACATTTGTTACGAATATTCACTCGAAAACATAGAACGTGGATGAGTCCCTTTTGGAATGAAACTCTTCATAACTATGAGGGAAATGAATGTGTTTTAAATCTGAACATTTGACGATAATTTTGCTAGATACGAGAGCATCAAGAGAACACCTGCAGGACCATCTGCGGGACCAGACAGTGAAGAAGAGAAGCTCAGGCAACAAAAATCGCTCAAAATCTGCATCTTTCTCTTTATCATCGTTCTGATAGGAGTGATTATCGGTCTTGTTGCATTCTACATCGGTAAGCAAAACAACTCTCAGATATATATATATATATATATACACACATATACATATATATATGTATATATATACATATATATATATATATATATATATATATATAAAAATTGGGGGGTGGGTGGGGTGGTGGGGGTAGGGAGGGTGGGGCGGTTACAACCGGTCCATGCCCCACTGAGATGCATGTGCATACCATCATTAAACAACATGCGATGATGATAATGTTGGTTATAATGATATTACTACTGATTATATATTGATAATAGTCATAATAGAAATAACAAAGATGATAATGATAATAGCTATGACAATGATAATTATAATAATAAAAACGATGCGGATGATTATGATGATGACGTGAGTAAGAAATAGAAGAATCTGAAAAAACGATTATGATATTGATAATAATTTATTAGAAGAAGAAAAAGAAGAATGAATAATGATGTAAACGCAGAATTTATTATCATGTTAATATACATTGTTGCCCAATGTTCATGAAACTACTCCCTTTCCCCTCTTTTGTCTTTCTTTTTGAGATGGTGTTCTTAAGTTTATTTCAATAGTTGTTCTAGTTTGTCAGGGGCATATCAGCAATTTGTTTATAATATCGTGTCTCCTCTTACCTAAACGTCATGGCAACGCCGCTAAGTAAAACAATTAAATACCTTCGAAAGGCCTATGTAGCTTTTGAAGAATATACCGCTTTCATCTAAATGGTAGATAATGTCATAAAAGTATATATTTCATGATATATGAAGCATGCCTTTCCATATATGCTGTCGCGGGGTGTCGCGGAAAAATATAGTTTGGTGATTCCATTTTTAGAAACATGAATAATTAACCCCCCAAAAAGAATTCAGAACTATTTAAATCAATCTGAAATTCAGTAATTTGATGTGCAAGAGTTTACTGTAAAAAAAGGTTTAAATGCGTTCAAAATTATCACCGTTGTACTCAACCTGGCATTAATAAACATTTCGAAATTAAATTCGCTGCCCCCTCCCTCTTCGCTCAATACTTAATGCCTAGATATGGGTTGTATTAGACAAAGTCTCTTTTTTAATCACCTCTTGTGGTCAATATTTACAGTTTACTCAGTGGGATTGGCGGCCGCTACACTTCCAAGCACAACGACTCCAGGTATCATAAACATGTGTTTCTATCGTTGACAAAGGGAAAAACTGAGTATGATCATATTTATAATAATATATACTTTGGAGCTGAGGTAAAACAACAAATCTTTTACAAGAAAATAATCATGATTACTGTGACTCCCCCACCGTCGATATGCCCCAGGAGGAAGCGGAAGAAAAAGGGGTAAAGAAGAGGGAAAGTAAAAGAGAGGAAAGATAAAAAGAAGGTGTAGAAGAAAAAAGAACAGCAAACAGAAGAGGAGGAAGGAAAAGAAGAAGAAGAAGAAGAAGAAGAAAAAGGGAGATGATTTAAAGTAGAAAGTGTGTTCTTCTTGACGCGGAATTTACATTACTAATCATTGTTTTGACTGTGAAACTTCACGTGTTCATATTCCGTAGCAGGTACAGAAGTAACTGAACGCCCTCTTCCGATCCAGATTGGTAAGTTTGAACTTTGACAAATTTCCTTTCATTAAATTTTATTTTTATTTCCACAACGAATAAATTCATCTTTAAATTTCCTTTCTTGCATTTTATCAATTTTGCAGGATTCAAATTTATCGGTGAAGCAACAAAAATACAGAATAACGAGTACAAAAAAAAAACATATCATGAAATAATTATTTTGGCTCGTTTCCAACTAAATCATGAACATGATAAAAAATTGATAAAATGACTTTATTTGATTTTTTTTTTAAAAAGGTGAAATTATTCATAGTAATGGTAGATTGAACCAATCTCTATTAAATGTCACGGACGCTAATCTCTCCTAAAATGTCTCGAAACGTAGAAGGGGCTTGTTGGTGTACTTTCAGATTGCTTCAAGAGGTACAACAAAAAACAAAGTGGGGACACTTTCAGGACCCTGTTTATTTGTTCATTCTAAAAGGTAGTGGTAATTCACTCAGCGTTCAGCGATTTCACTGGCATAAGAAAAATGAAAACATAGAGGGAACTATTTCATATTTGTTTCCCTTTTTTTTCAACCCATATAATTTGGAATCGGGTCACCGTAGCATAGGCATCTGTTGATTGATTGGTTGAACGTTTTAATATCATTTTATCGCAGACATTGGTTGAATTAAGGAAGATTTACAATAGAAGCATGCGTATAATAAAAAATAACATACTTAAAATATTCAAAAAGAAACTGGAAAGGAAGGTTAACGTAATTGCCTCTTCCTCACTATTTATTCATCAAAACTAAAATCAGACAAATGTGAGTTTACAAGGTTTTGTTGGCTTAAGTATATTAGTTTCTTTTGTGGATTTTTCCAATAGATAACGTCGCAGTGGAGTTGAACTTGACGTTTAATGACAAGAATTTCACCGACGCTTTATACGATTCCAACTCTACTGAATACAAGGAGCTAGAGGCTGAAATCTTGATGCTGGTAAGTCAAGCGAAAAACCATAGTTTGTTTTTACTAATGAGCGACCGCAATCAACAGGCTGTTTATTCTGACACTTTTTAATGAAGGTATACGTTTCATGCACATTGGAGTAAATTGGTTTCTTGTTGTCAAGGCCCTTTACGGTAAATAAACACTCCCTAAATAAAATTGATGTTTATGTCGCTTGGATCGGGTAACTCCTGTCTCGGGACTTATGGCACAAATGGAGACTAACGGATGATTTAGTCTGGTTGCAGGTAATTTGTAGGCCTACGTTAATCTGCAAATGTAACATTAAAAGCTCAGCCTTATTAGTACAGTTGAGAAAAGTGATTTGAAACATTTCAAAATGTTTCAAAATGTGAAAGTTGCAATTTTCAAAAGTGATTTATTTCCACATCTAGGTCCTTTTCTTCTGGATGTTTATTTTGTCTTAATACATAATAAAATTTAATCAACTAGTAAGAACCAAACGGTAAAAACATACATTATAGGTGTACATACAATCGATAAATTGAGAAGTGATACAAAAGAAAGTTTTGTTTAAAGATTTGTAATACACACTACTATTGCAATCACAATCTTGACTAGAATAGTCAAGGAAATATGACATCGCAATAGGGTCCAATCATTTCGCAAAGCTTGTAGCAAGGTCTATTCCATGTAGCACTTTTAACATGTTGCATTTAACAATAGGTTTTTATCTTTTAGAAATAAATCAGCATGCTATAAATCTATCTCTTTAGACAAAAGAACACGAATAAGAAAATAAGGGGGAGGGGGGGGGGGGGGTCATTTATAGATGTAGCCCCCCCCCCCCCTCCTCCCCCTTCAAAATGATTCCATGACATTTGCTCCGGCGACAATTGCTCCGCTGTAAATTTCATACACTAATCGAATGGCTAACTTCAACCCTGGATTCAACACTATACCCTACCCTAAACCTAACCCTAAACCTAACATAAAACCCTATTGAAACCCTAACCCTAACCCTACATCTTTGACGAAATAAAGCCCGGAGCAATTGTCGCAGGAGCAAATGTCGTGTCACCTTCAAAATCGTTGGTAGACTTTAGAAAACTTTTGATCAATCAGAACAGGTGTCACATATTAAGGACCGGTTTAGTTTTCTTACCACCGCTCCGATTGGCTAAAGCCTAAATGGAGCATAGATCGATCAATGCATGCATGCACGGTACGGATCGAGAATAGAAAAAGAAGCCTGCACTCAGAGCGGAGTCGGAGAGTTGTAAAACTTATGTGTTTAATTGTTTAACGCTGGTTCGAATTTATATATGGCACTGTATCTACGAATGATGTCTTCAAATAGATTTATGTAAGTAGATGTAGACCGGGCCGGTGCTGCTAATAGTACCCTCTAAGCTAAGTAACAGTATCTTGGGGGAAAAGAATCGGGTATAATTGGCAGTGTCCCACGTATTGAAATGCATGTTTGTCATAATTTGTTCAGATCCCCAAGATTTGTATTGGAAAAGGAGAATGTTTTTGTTGTTGGTATTGTTATTCCTGATGCTAAGAACCTCATCCAACTTGAGCAAGAAGAATTTAGTCTAGGTTCGTACAAGGATAGATTGTGAGTGGCATGTAACATGCATTTTTTGCCTTAATTGGTCCATGTCCATGACCCGGGGGGGGGGGGGGTACTCAGATTATAGTCGGACGGGGGTGTGCGGCTGAGACCTCCGAACCCATACCCACATCCAAGGGTCCTTTTGCTGAAATAGGTACCCATGTCTAAGGATTTTTTGTCAAAAATGGACCCATGTCTAAGGATTTCGAACTTCAAATATTACATTTTTTAAGCTGTAATAATACACTCCAGCAAAGCATATGGAGAGTCAACGCTAATGCATATTGACCTCTAGCACTGCACTACGCGTTAATAGGCAGCATTTTAAATACATGAATAGTCAATACACTCATAACACAGAGATGCACACAATTATGCCGATGCGGCTGATCGGCAAGTTCGACAGTGGACTCACAATTTGATTTTTTAAATTATTCTTTCTAACATCGGAAAGTTAAAAAATGTATATTACTGCTATTTAGATCTTATTGATTGTCACTAAAGTATCGATTTTTAGTGAAATTGGTTGAGTTTTACACAGTGGTGTTTGAAATGTTGAGAATCAATACTAATAGCACAGCTTTTAATACACAGCCAGGATAGTAATGCACCTATGTGTGTAATAATACAATGGCCAATAATTTTGCAGTTTCTCGATAAAGTTCTTTATTAGTAAACTGTACCATACTACATGTAGTTTACAAGTAGTTTACACACATAAAGATGAAAACACCATGCAACATAATAATACTGTGCTAGCACCTCTAGCATCTGTTTTAATTGAAGGACTTTTCCTGTTAACGTACCCGTACACGAGCTCTCAAGCATTGGCTATATAGCTCCCTGCTTGAGCCCCGCTGCTGCCCGGCTGCTGGGCAGAGGGTACGCAGGGTATAGCTGCCGATCTTTCAGCGTGCGAAGCGCTACAAGTTTCCGGGGTACGACCCCTATACGGGCGGATACCATACCTAGCGTGCATTATGCCATATGAGTACCCGGTATAGAGCCCATGGGGTCCTGATATATGTGGTACCCCGGGATCTAGTTGAGTTTACGAGCTACGTACGTACATCCACTGACTTAGAGGTCAGTGCGTACACCTCGTACACTGGAAATGCAATCACCGAAGGGTCCATTTATTTAGAGATGGGAGAGATTTAGGCATTTTCAATGTAGGAGCAAATCCCAAAATCCAGGAGAAAATGAGGGAGAAAAGAGGGGAAAGGAATAAATGAAAAAAGGGACCCATGTCTAAGGATTTTTTTAATGAAAAGGGGACTCATGTCTAAGGATCTTTCCTGAAAAAGTCACTCTTCCAAGCGGCACATCCCCGTATACCCAATATGCGTGAGTACCCCCCCCCCCCCCCCCCCCCCCCCCCCCGGGGTCCAAGAGCTCCCCCACTCAGCGTCGCGGTCAGAGGCACTCCAGCAAAGCATAGAGAGTCAATGCCAATGCGTATTAGTCAGAGGGACCGCATTCATATTCCAAAAAATCTCTGGTAAAGGGGTACTTTTCATGCAACAAAGTCTGGCCCATAGTGACTTTACACACCTGAGATAGGGGGTTGCTTTCAAAGGGAGGGAACATGCGTACGCGTACCCTAAAAAACACTAAGTGGGGAGCTGGGGGGGGGGGGGGGCTGGGTGGCGGGTTGCCTAGTCCTTGCTTTTACCAGTGTCCATTGCATGACCCGGCCGATATATTACCGGGTCAACATACCAAAACAAAGCAAATGGCCAATCAGATCATTTGTTTGATATTGGGTTTATGAAGAGTATAGATGACTAGATGTGCCTTTTATCAGTTTAAAAGAAAACAATTGTTCTTGTTCCTTAATGCAGCTGGCTGGAGTACTGCAGTCTGGGGACTTCTCCAACTCAACTACGGTAGTCCTGGAGTTCAGGTGAATTATTCAAACAACAGCACAAACAAACGTTTCATTGTCTTTATTTAGAATGTTATCTGATCAAGAAATTATTTTTTTACCTTTTTCCATTTCACTTGATCAACATCTTTTGAAATTGGAATATGTGATGACTTTTCCTTCCAGGAGGTTCTTATCAAAACGTCTTTACAATTGTTCACTCTTGATTATAATCACAGGAACCCACAAATATTTGTCTTTATTGATACAAGTTGAATCCTGGTCATGTGACAACACTGTCCAAAGGCAATTGGAAAATGTTGGTTATGTAGGACATAAGAAATGGTGTTTATTGTTAGTTTTGGAATTGATCATCAACAATTTAGCTGAAAGTCTCATGCAATGCACACCAAGAATGTGTATATATGGGACTTAATTACATACATGTAGCATGGTAGTTTAGTCCAAACTTATCAGCTTTTTCTCCACGCATATTAAAAATAAAAGTGCATTTGAAGAGCTTTTTTTTGGAAGGGCCTTGTATGGTACTTTTCCAAACTGATATAACAAAAGGATGACAGAGCTAGCTCAAAACCCTGAACCAGAATCTAACCTACAAGTGTTTAATCTAAGATTTGTTTAATGTAATGTTTATGTTTTAGTCCCGGGAGTGTGGTGGTTACAATCTTGATAACCATAGACTCTGTACCAGTAAGACTCAATGTTATACTGGCTGAGGATGGATCAATTGCTCTTGGTGACGCGATTGCCGAGGAACTAGTCACACTGACCTCAGAGGGTCTCTCCAATAACAATGTGGATGTCGTGCTTTCCAATGGTAAGTGCTTCACAGATCACTTGGGGGGGGGGGTGTTTCACAAAGCCCTTTTTCAATGACAAGTGACAAAATCAGTGACATATCTGCTGATAACCAATCAGAAGCAAGGATTTCAGTAGCTGATAACAAAGGCTGCCATTTGTCACTGATGACAAGTTTTGTAAAACGGGGCCCTGTTGTCATCTGATTCAGGCTTGCCCGCACACAATATATACACATTCTCCACTCCCTAAGGTGCATTCCAGCCATTCCAGACTTTCACAGTGTTGTGCAACCTACAATGATTTTTGCATCCTACCAGGTACCCATTTACTTCACCTGGGTGGAGAGTGGCAAATTCATCATCCTGGTCGGCCCTGTCTAATACTCTTTTAGTATAAAGCACAATTACCTTCTATTAGTAAAAAAACATTCAATTTATATTTTGTTTATGGTGTATGGTGCAAAAAATGTATCCCCAGTTCATTTGTATACCGTAATTGTAGTGCCTACAGTGTACTTTATGTTGAAGGAATAGATTCTGAGACAGCTGACTACGTAGAAATTTTGCAAGAAAGTTGGAAGAATCGGTATTGCTAATTCAAATTTTAAGGAATTGATTCTTTAGAAGTAATTAAAAACTAATTTTTCCTCAATGAGCTAAATGTAAATGTTTTTTTTACCCCTCTCTCTGTGTTTATCCTACAGTGGCGGTTCAAGAAGTAACAACAACAACAACAACAGGTGAGCGTACCACCCCCTTCCCTGAAAAAAAACACCCTTTGTTGTAAATTTGTCCCTCTCTCATGCACTTAGGGTCACTGCATTCATTGAATAGAACAATATATTCCATCTTTCATAAATTAGCAAATTCCACAGACTAATGTAACAAATTCTTTAAAACTCTAACCGCGATAAGCATACTAAATTATAATTCTTCTTATTATTAGAATTGTTATAACTTATTGTTATTCCCATCCCTCTGTACTCTCTCTCCTTCTCTCTCTCTCTCTCTCTCTCTCTCTTTGTCTCTGCTCCAAGGTTGGCGACAAAAACACTTCTCCGTCAATGTTTAAAGTTATTGAATAAAATGTATGTGATCGGTTAATGAGGAATATTTTTACAGGAACTTTTTTTTCTGTCATCTCTTGCTATTAGCTGATGCTTTCTTTTGTAATTATAATTGTTTCTTTTTGTACTTCATAGTCCTTTTGCAGTGTGTGCCTTAAAAAAAACGAAAGAAAATCTGCATTTTTGTACTTTTGCATGACACTTGTCGAGTATAAATCATAGGAAAATTGACATGTTTCTTTGCATTGCCGTTTCAGTTAGCACAGCAGCATCAACAGCAGGTACAACACCTGCACTACCAAGTACCACAGATGCCACAGATACCACACCAGCGCAAGGTAAGTTCTATTACTTGTTTTATAAAATGGATTGACAATCTTACTTGGCAAGGCGATATCACTGTAAACCTGCTACCTTCATAAGAAATAACGTGTGCACACAGATGATCGTGGCAGCAGTGGCCTCGTGAACAGACTATGCAGTGCATGGTGCGACTTCTCATAAACATGCACTGAATTACACGCAGCATGCATTATGCCTTTTGGTTGCACCTTTTTTGCATGGCTGTTATCACCAAAATGCACTCCCGTGCTTATGGTTAACCCTTACTGTACTGGGCTATTTTGAGCACCCTCTGACTGCGGGGGGGGGGGGGGGGGGCCTCGGAGGCCCCCCCCCCCTATGATCTCGGCCGTCGAATGTCCGATGAACACGAAAATTTGCATATTTGTAGATATTTACGTAAGGAACAAGATGGTATAATTAGTTTTTTCGTATTATGCAAATTTTTGTCGTTAAAGCCTAATTAATTATGCAAAATGCTAATTTTATGCATTTCACAGAAAACTCTGCATATTTGTCCGTGGACTTGTGAAGAATCTTGAAAATGAATTGAATAAATGTTTCCTTCATCTCAAATTCGTGAGGTTTCATTATATTTATGATATTTGAAATATAGGGTAATTTGCATAAATTATGAATACGCAAATTACGCATTCATGAATATCAAATCTGGAACTATATTTAGGGAACTAGAATCATTACAAAAATTGTCAGACTCCACTTTTTGAATGTTGAAACTCATTATTCATACAAAACTTCTTTTCTAATACAAAATAGTTATTTGATGTAATTAATAATGATAATCTATGCAAATTTGATGCGATTTTCAAATATTTATTTTCTTATGTATTTTATTGTTTTTTATTTCTCATTATATCTATTGTTTTATTTCTTATGTATTCTTTTGTTCTGGAATACATCAAGTTACTCTGAGAAACATATAAAAACAATTTGATATCAATTCATATCTTCACATTTCTGCTTGTACATGAATATATGCAATTATAGCACTTTTTTGATGAAATGCGCAAACTAATTGTTATGTAACACCTTACAGGTATATCCGATTTTGACGAAAATGGTATCAAAATGTGTGCAAGACTTGAGGGAAAAAAGTCATGAAACAACAATTCAAAATTCCAAGCAGTTGCGGCGCGATCTCCGAAAATGTCGAGGGGGGGGGGGCCTCCCAGGCCCCCCCCCCCCCAGTACAGTAAGGGTTAAAAATAATGGATGGTCACGCAATCCATTTTGACGCTACATTCTTGAACCCAAGGGTTCTAATGCGCACGCTCAAGGTATTTTGTAATTGGGTGTCCCTGACGTTACCAAGTACTGGTATTGTGGAGTTTTGAATGATGCTTTATATCAATTGAATTTAAATTACTTTTAAAACTTTTTCATTTCTCCGTCTCCTCCTGTCCAATTATGAAATGTAAAATAATATTTCTGTAAAAGCACTTGTTAGAAATATTATAGGCATATGTATTAGGCATAATATCAATCAAGAATATTACATTTATATGTGTTGTCCTCATCATCATCACCATCTTCCTTTTTAGCAATAATGCAATCTTATTGTTATTATTGTTATTATTACTATTATTTTTATTAGTAGTAGTAGTAGTATTTTTGTTGTTATTATTACCACTATTTTTTATTATCATTGTTACCATAATTATTATCGTCATTACTGTAACCAACAGTTTTGGATGACCACTCAGAACCTTGTTTACCATGTCATGTTTCAGTTACGATCTCTTTCTACCCAACACAGCTACTTGTGCCAGCGATGAGTTCACCTGCGAAGCCGAGGGAACCTGTATAGATAACACGCAGCTCTGTGACTTCATACCTGATTGTAGGGTGTCCCAAGCAGATGAAACAGAAGACCTCTGCAAGGTCTCCTCATTAACAGGTAAATCTATGGAGTATTGAAGTGTGACGTTATTCGGACAAAGTATAGACCAGTTTTGGAAACGCCCCCCCCCCCCCCCCTCTCAAAAAATGAAATGGAAGTTCTTATTTCCAATCATGTGAAAGAATATGTTTTGACGAAAGTATGTGATGATACGAATTTTGCTGGGAAACCGCCTACTGATTGATATATTTGGTAAATTATCATATCGATCTGGCCTGGATAGATATCGCGTAGTACCATATTCATCTTTCTGTGTACAGTGCTTGTAACTTTACCAAGATTGGGCCAAATTTCTTATCATTTTGATGATTCCAGAACCTTGCAGTACACACTAATTCTTTTATGCTAGATGATCAACCTTTTCTGATCGATTCCACAATGTTTCTTTCACAACACAATCGCATGACCAGAACTGGTCTATACCTTTAAGGTTGCTGGTTCCAAACAACGTTGTGCTAAACACTGGTGTGGTGCATGATCACACCATGCAGCCCCAAGGCCTGAATTTGCTCCAGCCCATTTCTTGAATGACCTTTCAGTGAACCTGATGGGCAGGCTCTGTTGTTTAGAGGGGGATGTAGAAGGACATCTAGTTGTGACATGGGCTCAAAACCCAGTTTATGGAGCTCCCAATACCTATCATTCCCTTTTAATACATATTATTACCAAATATATCAATCAGTAGGCAGTGATCACACCATGCCGAATGACCTTGCAGTGAACCTGATGGGCAGGCTCTGTTGTTTAGAGGGGGATGTAGAAGGACATCTAGTTGTGACATGGGCTCAAAACCCAGTTTATGGAGCTCCCAATACCTGTCATTCCCTCTTAATACATACTACTGTATGCACGATCTCTAAAGGAGGGAACTATTTTGATGCTCCATGTATATATAAATTCTGAGCAGGCATGTCTTTCATTGACATACATAGCTTTGCTTATAAACTAGCGATGGATGCAGGCGCGGATCCAGGATTTCTTAGGGGGGGGGGCCCAAATTTGAAATTATGCGAGCCAAATATTGGTACGTAATATTGACCAGCAGTGACGTAATGCGGGGAGGGGGGGGGGGTGGGTGCAGGGAGGGGCGAGTTCCCCCTCCCTCTTGACGTTTCATTGAATTATTAGAGAAAGAAGACGTTTCTTTGTACCGTTTTCGAAAATAATCCTCGTCTAAATTCAGTTTTTCCCCGCCCGCGCAAAGTGCGGGAGCTTTTACGATTCATCAAACCATCATAGAAAAAAAGACGATTCGTATACAGTTCTCGAATCCTCGTCTGAATTCAGGTTCCCCCCCCCTCCCGCGCAAAGCGTGGAAGCTTTTGCGATTCATTAAAAGCATTAGAGAAAGAAGACGATTCGTTGTACCGTTCTCGATAATAATCCTCGTCTGAATTTAGTTTCCCCCTCCCCCCACTCCCACGCGAAGCGCGGAAGCTTTTACATTTCATTAAATCATTAGAGAAACAAGATGATTCGTATTACCTTTCTTGACTCTGAATCCTAGTCTGAATTCAGTTTTTCCCCTACGGCGCGAAGCGCGGAATTTTTGACGTTTCATAAGATTATGAGAGAAAGAAGATGATTCGCTGTACCGTTCTCGACTCTTAATCCTTGTCTGAATTCAGTTCCCCCCTCCCCTCCTGCGCGAATTGCGGAAGCTTTAACGTTTCATTAAATCATTAAGAGAAACAAGACGATTCGCTGTAGAGTTCTCGACTCTTAATCCTCGTCTGAATTCGGGCTCCGTCCTCCGGCGCAAAGCGCGGAAGCTTTTAAGTTTCATTAAATCATTAGAGAAAGAAGACGATTCGTTGTACCGCTCTCGACTCTTAATCCTTGTCTAAATTCGTCCCCCCCCCTCCCGCGCGAAGCGGGGAAGCTTTAAGTTTCATTAAAATCATTAGAGAAAGAAGACGATTCGTTGTACCGTTCTGGAAAATGATTCTGGTCTGAATTTAGTTTCCCTCCCCTCCCGCGCAAAGCGCGGAAGCTTTTAGGATTTATTAAAATCATTAGAGAAAGAAGACGATCCGTTATACTGTTCTCGATAATAATCCTCGTCTGAATTTAGTTTTTCCCCTACCACGCAAAGCGCAGAATTTTGGACGTTTCATAAGATTGTGAGAGAAAGAAAACGATTCGCTGTACCGTTCTCGACTCTTAATCCTTGTCTGAATTCAGTCCACCCCCCTCCCCTCCTGCGCGAAGCGCGGAAGCTTTGACGTTTTATTAAATCATAAGAGAAAGAAGACGATGCGTTGTACCATTCTCTACTCTTAATCCTTGTCTAAATTTCAAAAATGTTCTTTGTCTGCTCCTTTTTATTCCTACGCCCTCTTTCTTTTCTCTCCTCTCTTTTTTATTTTGACGGCGATTTTCGGGGACCGCCCCCACAGCCCCCCCCCCCTGGCTACGCGCCTGCGGTCAGATAAACACATTTTGATAACTTGTCCGACCCCAGAAGCTCAGGGGCTATAAATTACGGTCAGATAAGCATTCAGGGGCCCGCCTTAGGGCCCCTGGTGGGGTCGAGGCGGTGGAGCCCCCGGAGGCTCAGGAGTTTTAGACATTAAATTACCGTCAGATGAGCATCTAAGGGCCTGCCTTAGGGCCCTAGGTGGAATCCAGGGGCCAGCAGAGCCCCCGGAAGCTTGGGGGCTTTAGGCATTTAATCACGGTCAGATGAGCATATTTTGATGCCTTATTATTTTTTGACACTGGCAGTTAACTCTTTTTTCTTTCTTGCTCTCCTTCTTTTTTATTTTTCTTTAATATACCTTTTCAAAAAAAGTGGGGGGGGGGGGGGGGGGGGGGCTCGAGGCTCTCGATCCCTGCCGTTCCTCAGGCCCTGACATGTAGGAATCTCAAGAATCACATTTGTTGCCTGGCTGTAATTTTAGGAATTTGTCACATAAAAACGTATAATTTACTAAAAAGTGAGGAAAAATCTCTGAAATTATGTCATTTCAGCATTATTTGTAATCTACCGTTATGGAATTAGTAAGAAACCACGTTTAAATTTGATTTCCCACAAGCCCCCTACCCCCTATCAGTTCGCCAGTATCTCCCCTTTTTCTTTTTTTTTTCCCTTTCCTTCCTTCTCTCTTATTTTTGTGATTGGGGGGGGGGGGCAACAGCCTGGGAGGCAAGGCCCTTTCGGCCCCCGATATTTTTCTTCCCCCTTTTCTTTTCTTCTTCCTCTTCTCTCTTTCCTTTTCTCTCCTCTTTCCCTTTCCCTTCTTTTCCTCTCTTTCTTTCTTTTTTTTTTTTTTTTTGCGGGGGGGGGGGGGGGGGGGGGGGGCCAAGGCACGCTCGGCCCCCCCTGGATCCGCGCATGGATGGATGAATCTATAAAGTTCATCTATCAAACAGTTATCCATCACTGGTATGGTCCTACAACATTTTATTTGGGTTTTATTTCATCAAATATTTAATTTGGCTGGTATGAAAAGCAATGGTTGTGATGTCTCCTATTATTTAAACAAATATTTTTATGTATGATATGAATATACTCATTATTAATAATTCATTAATTTGTTATGTCTTGTACCAATTGTAATCTATTTCTGGATTATAAAAAAACAAAAACATGATGCTGCTTCTTTGGGCTTAACTCAATGGCCCGAATTCACAAAGGAGGTTTGTCAACAAACCTTGGTTTATGTGCGTCATATGACGCGTTTTGACGCGTTGGTTTGTAAAAACGTGTTGAAACGCGTCATATGACGCACATAAACCTAGGTTTGTTGACAAACCTCCTTTGTGAATTCGGGCCATTGTGTGCGGGAACCAGCCCAGATGGGGACTGTGTTAAGCCTATAGGAAGACTGTAGTCGATTGGTTAACATTGGAACCACTCGGTTCCCATTGACAAGTGGTCATCTTATAGCATTATCATGTTTTAAAATCATAACCTGTTTTCTTTCAGTGGAACAGGTTGTGTCTCTCATAACCTGTTTTCACTGGGCTTAACTCAATGGCCCGAATTCACAAAGGAGGTTTGTCAACAAACCTTGGTTTATGTGCGTCATATGACGCGTTTTGACGCGTTGGTTTGTAAAAACGTGTTGAAACGCGTCATATGACGCACATAAACCTAGGTTTGTTGACAAACCTCCTTTGTGAATTCGGGCCATTGTGTGCGGGAACCAGCCCAGATGGGGACTGTGTTAAGCCTATAGGAAGACTGTAGTCGATTGGTTAACATTGGAACCACTCGGTTCCCATTGACAAGTGGTCATCTTATAGCATTATCATGTTTTAAAATCATAACCTGTTTTCTTTCAGTGGAACAGGTTGTGTCTCTCAGAAGGAACAACACATGGACGACGCCTGCTACCTACCCGACAAGAGACGGAACTGTAGAGACACCTCTGGACTACATCCTCTATCAGCTATCGGTGACCGGTTCATCTGCGACAACCTCACACATTCTCATCAACCTTGTGTTTGTGGAGTTCGCCGGCAATGATTCTTCCATATTGATAGGACGTGGGCATGACCCTGTGCAGGTGAGGGAACATTTGTGAGGAAGTAATTTGAGGTGTCAGTGACACAAAAACGTAACTCCATTTTGGCAATTTTTTAGAAAAAGTGGTTTATGTGTCACTGAGCACTTGGGCTTTAAGGAGTTAAGTCTATGTTTCACTAGCCATTGACTTCAGTGGGGTATTGGGTAGAGTTAAGTCTTTGTGTTTCTTGGAAAGCCCACATTTTTCTGAACATTTTGATATGAAATACTCATTTTGGCAAAATATGGAGTTACGTCTTTGTGTCACTGAACCCTCAAATTAATACCCACAATCATACGAATATGAATATATTCAAGCATATTATTTATATCCCTATGTACGAGTGTGTGATTGAATTTGGTGATAAATCAGTTAGATTCCTGGATATATAACTACCCCCATGTTAAGTGATGGATAAAATAATAAGATGGGATTCTATAGGGGTGTATCTCAAAGATCCAAAGTTGGACTTCAAAATTATCCTAGAAAATATTTTGTAAAAATTATTTTAAAAGGCATAAAATGTTGATTCAAATTATTCATATTTTCTTTTTTCATGGGAGATTTCATATTCTTGATGTGGAACTTTTGAAAAGTCCAAAATACTTGAATTTTTGCTTTTGAATATATTTCAAAATAAGGCTACAAATGGCTCTCCATTATAGTTAAGTCCAACTTTAAGTTAAGTTTGACTAAGAATCTTTGTGAAACATCCCCTGGATTTATTACTTTCCCCATGTGTATGGATGGAAAGAGTACTGGAATAACAACAATAATAATGATAATTGCTAATAATAATAATAATGATAATACAAATTGTATTAATATCAGTAATAATAATAAAGATAATTGATAATATTAATGATAATAATGATAACAATAATGCAAAATTTAACTATGCCTGTTACCTGGGGCAACAGGCATCTTTGTCATTAACTATTCTCCGTTACCAGGGGCAAGGGGCATAGTTCATTTTTTGGCGGGCACGGCTAAAATCACCACTCCAATTTTAACCAATCAGATGACTAGATTTATTCAACATACTAAAGAGAGGTATATAATACCGGTAGCCATTATATACAATTAAAATAAAAGATCATGGGCTTGTTGACAATTTATCTGAGGAGGCCTCAACACATGATACTGCATGAAGTACAATACAATTGTAATCATTATGCCCATACACAGGCAACTATTAGTTAGCAAGCCAGTCTTCTCAAGCACTTTTTCTCTTTTGTAAAAGAGACATTGTTTTATATATTTTGTTAATTTCATTTTTTATTCCATTCGTCATATTAAAACATACACAATTATAACATTGATATTTACAGATAAGGAAAAACCATACAAACAACATAAGGAAAGTTAAACACAAAATACAATTATATATATATATATATATATACGAATGGGGAAACCGGCAAGAAAGGAAATTAAAGCCCTATTTGGTGCTGGTCCCTAATATGATATAATAAAGAATGTTACCCATATCTCACACTTAATACCTTACACCTAACAACTAACACGTAACGCCTGATTCATGCGTATACAAATAATAACATGCTATTCACATAAAACGTAATTGTTTGTATCTCTGTTGATGAGTTGCCAAATGAATAATAGATAGAAACAAAATCTGTGGTGGTTATAGGATCTTATGTACAGATTCTATTTCCCAACACATGCTATTCGAACAACAAACGAATGCTGTATACATGTACAATTTGTGCAATGAAGTCATTCATAAGATTCGTTATTTTTACTTTTGATAATGTTTCAGGCACTATACGACAATGATGGACCACTGCTGAGTGTTGAAAATGGAATATGGCGTAACGCTGTATTATCCATTACCACACCAGACAATGAGGCTTACATATTGCTTAGGAAAGCCCCAGGAGATAACGTGGAGATTAACATCGAACTTAGCGCATTCCGTAAGTACAATTATCTTAACTCCTTTCGTGGATAAACTTCACATGTTCTCTTGAACTAAGTCAAAGGAGACTATTAAACTGTGCCTGAATTGATATGATATTGTGGCCTAACTCTTGTCCTGGTTTGGTGAAGTGAAATGTCCTTATACATTTTTTAAAAATAAATGCTGAAATGTACCTCTACTTTGAAAGAGGTTTAACCCTTACTGTACTGGGGGGGGGGGGCCTGAGAGGCCCCCCCTCGACATTTTCAGAGATTACGCCGCAACCGCTCGGAATTTTTAACTGTCGTTTCATGACTTTTTTCCCTCAAGTCTTACTCACATTTTTATACCATTTTCGTCAAAATCAGATATACCTGTAAGGTGTTACATAACAATTAGTATTTGCATGTCATCAAAAAAGTGCTATAATTGCATATCATGTACAAGCAGAAATGTGAAGATATGAATTGATATCAAATTGCTTTTATATGTTTCTCAAAGTAACTTGATGTATTTCAGAACAAAAGAATACATTATAAATAAAACAATAGATATAATAAGAAATTAGAAACAATAAAATACATAAGAAAATAAATAGTTGAAAATCGCATCAAATTTGCATAAATTATCATTATTAATTACATCAAATAACTATTTTGTGTTAGAAAAGAAGTTTCATATGAATAATGATTTCCAACATTCAAAAAGGGGAGTCTGACAATTTTTGTAATGATTCTAGTTCCCTATATATATTTCCAGATTTGATATTCATGAATGCGTATTCATAATTTATGCAAATTAACCTATGCATTTTCAAATATCATAAAAATAATGAAACCTCATGAATTTGAGATGAAGGAAACATGTATTCAATATATTTCAAGATTCTTCACAAGTCTACGGACAAATATGTAGAGTGTTCTGTAAAATGCATAAAATTAGCATTTTGCATAATTAATTAGGCTATAACGACAAAAATTTGCATACTAGGAACAAACTAATTATACCATCTTGTTCCTTATGTAAATATCTACAAACATGCAAATTTTTGCGTTCATCGGACATTCGACGGCCGAGATCATAGGGGGGGGGGGGGCCTCCCAGGCCCCCCCCAGTCAGAGAGTGCTCGAAATAGCCCAGTGCAGTAAGGGTTAAGAACTAGGCATATCCAATTCAATATGATGTCCAAAAGTCAACACCAGTAATAGACAAGGTCAAAAAGACTGAAACAACCTCCGCATTAGGCAAATGTCTACGAAAATCCACCCAAAGATGGCATAATGTTTTCAAATTTTGCAATTACATGAGAAAGTATACTCTTTTAGGAAAGATATTGTATTCATCATCATCATTTATTATAGTGGGCATTTACTGATTTTCGCAGCATGAAATCACTCCCTCTTCTTCTTGTCTCAAACATTCTCCTTCATACCAACTTTACTGCTTTTAATTCTTTCTTCACCGTATTTTCTCTTTTCTTTTTGCTTCACCAGAATGTTTACCTGAGGGCGCTATAGCATGTAAGCGCTCTGCTGAATGTTACCTGGAGAGTGAAGCCTGTGATGACATAGAACAGTGTCCGGGGGGAGACGACGAAGATGGATGTTGTAAGCATGTATACTACTATCATTAGAATAAGGCGCTGTGACATTAATTTCACTCCAGTAACATGCTTCAGTCGATATTTTATGAAAACTATACTATAGGGTATGAGTTAGCATAATGGTTACAATAAGGTTTAAGGTACGTGATGAATACAGTGATAACTATAATGTGGTACAGGGAGGTTATTTGTGTGGCATATATAAAGACTTTAAAGCTAAAGACCAGTTCTGGTATTAAAGGCAGTTGCATTGTGAAAGAAACGTTGTGGAATCGATCAGAAAAGGTTGATCATCTAGCATACAAGTATTGGTATGTACTGCAAGGTTCTGGAATCATCAAAACGATAAGAAATATGACCCAGTCTTGGTATAGTTACAAGCACTGTACGCAGAAAGATGTATATGGGACTATGCGACACGTGCATGACACATGCGCGATATCTATCAAGTCCAAATAGATATAATAATTTACCAAATATATCAATTAGTAGGCGGTTTCCCGGCAAAATTTTTATCATCATGTATTAGTCGAAACATATTCTTTCACATGATTGGTAATAAGAGCTTCCATTTCACTTTTTGAGAGGGGGGCGTTTCCAAAACTGGTCTTTACCTTTAAGAGAGGGTTGGGTTCTCCGGAGAGGTGGATGATAATTTGTGGGCGTTTTCATTGTTATTATGCAAGTGTGGAAGAACATAAGAGAAAAAATATTCCCTGAAAATCATGGCTCTTCAAATGACTTCATAATCTAAATATGACATATGTAACAGCTTAAAAATGAGGACCACATTTTTGTGCTATGGGTTTGTGTATATAAGTCCCATAACCATCTTTCTGTTTACAGTGCTTGTTACTTTTACCAAGACTGGGCCAAATTTCTTATAATTTTGATGATTCCAGAACCTTGCAGTTTAAATATACACACCAATACTTATGCTACATAACCATTTTTTCTGATAGATTCCACACCTTTTTTTTCACAATGAAATCGTATGACCAGAACTCAACTTTATCTTTGAAGCCCCTCTAAAGTGTTGGGAGCCCCGAATTCGCCTAAAATTTGATGGCAAAATTTCACTTAAATTATATCATAATGTGAAAGAAGATGTCATTTATGCACTTCTGCAAAGATTCCCCCCCCCCACAAAAAAAAAAGTGTTTAAAGACAAATATTGATAAAAGAATACATAGTTTGAGTTTTCTATTGCACGCAGAAAACCTAAATTTTGTATTATTTCATCAATATTTGACTAAACATTTGTTTTGAAAATCGTTGCAGAAGTGAGTCTTAAATGACATCTTTCTTCACCGCTCGGGTGAAATAAATAAATACCCTGTAGAAAGAATCCCCTTGAATGCTTTAGCGCCTTCTCATGGTTGCAACAGCTAGGGTTATACAATATTTCAGCTCTAAATTTGGCTGTAGGAATAACAAGCCATTATAATGTTGGAGCACCAGGAATGTCCCTGTATTACAGACAGGAAAGCTGTATAAGAAGCCACCATAATTACTATTATATTTTTGATCAATGAAATCCTGTTCAGTGATTGGTCAACATAGCATCATGTGACCAAACATAACATTGCTATGATGTAACCATGATGTCATCCATGGTATAGTGCACTATACCATGGCACTTTGCCATGGATGACGTCATATATATGCGATCGATCAAGATCAATGTGCGGTCGCAGTACTGTCGTCTGCGCTGCTCTCACTGCACTCTACTTCAATGACAGTTAACAAAAGTATTATTATTATTATTATTTTTTATGAAGGTTGGTTTGAAAAATATTAAACAAATATATCATGCACTATTTCAAGCCACTAGTGATATTATGGATTCCTCGGCGACATAAATAGCACTATTTTCTTCGGGTCTAAGCCCCTCAGAAAATAGTGCTATTCCTGCCACCTCGATCCATAATTTCAACTAGAGCCTCTCAGTGCATGGTATATTTGTTTACTATTTCAAGCCACTAGTGAAATTATGGATTCCTCGGCGACAGAAATAGCACTTTTTACTTCGGGGCTATGCCCCTCAGAAAGTAGTGCTTATCCTGCCACCTCGATCCATAATTTCAACTAGAGCCTCCAGTGAATGGTATATTTGTTAACTATGACTACCTACACCCAAGTAACGTTTCTTTGCCCTTTAACCTTTCACCTTTCACCTTTCACCTTTCACCTTTCACCATAGCAACCCCTGATGAATGTCACAACTGTACAACCGCCTGGGCAGAGAACACATGCCTGCCCTCTTACTGGGTTTGTGACGGCACTCAAGATTGCCTGGACAACTCGGATGAAAACGAATGTCGTAAGTCCCATTCTCGAACACAAAATTATGATTTATTTATATTTCAATGTTGTTTTAATGTAAAAATTCATAAAGTGAGTGGAGATGGTAGTGGTGGTGGTTATTTTACCTGACTGCTAAGAAAGCATAAAGGCTTGTAAGTAAGCAACCAGACGGCCAACGGCTTTAGGTCCTCTCCGCGGAACCCAGTAATGAGGATTAATGCCTTACCAAAGGGCACTAGCGCATCGACTTGGTTTTGAACCTGTGTCACCGGATTACCAGACCAATGCTCTACCGACTGAGCTATTGTGCCTTGACAATGCATACATTGTATGCAGGGAAGCCTGATCCAATGGTTAGGGGATTTATAGCTGTAAAGTGTTCAGAGACATCTCTGACGCACTTAGGATCCTGAGCTACAATTCATCCATAATTCCATGCTCTGCTGTTCAGGCGCGAGGCCTGCTTTGAACACTCCAATTTTTTCAAAGTAAACGTTCCGGCCTCTCCTAGCACTCAATTAAGGGCACCGGGCGAAAACCGAGAGGAAGGCCAGGACTGCAGTACACGCCTCACGGCGGACCGCAGGCCTGGGCCCAAGATCCAACTACGAGCTTTTTAACTGCAACATCCCCTGAAGAAGTTGAGTTTACCAACCTTGTCATTCAGAAGACACAGCATGACATGATCCAGACATTCATACACCGAATTGATGGCCTAGATTGATTGGACTTCTTCCAGCACCATACCCATCATAGGACAAGAAGACACTTGAGCAAACTGAAAAAAAATCCAATCTAACCCAAGAACAAGATATCTCCAACACATGATCAACCCATGGAACAATCTCCCCCCAGGCCTTATCAATTGCAGTAGTGTAAAGTGCCCGTCTGACCAAATGTTGAAAGAGGCAAATTGGCTACCAGAAGACTTGTATTTATTAACATTTACCATCTGACTAATGTTTTACAGGTGGATATGATAAACTTGAAGCAAATGTAAAATTGCATTGTATGTGATCTTTTTTAAAACCTTATCCCAGCACCCCCCCCCCCCCTCCCCCCATTACCTGCCAACCGTTACAAATAATCCGGAATATTAGTTTTTTCTTGATTTTTAGGACCCCAGAATCCAGAATATTCTGTTTTTTCAAAACTTTTTAAAATTATTTTGTTGTTATTTTTTTTTGTTTTTTTGCTTAAGCCAATTAAGCATGTTTTATCATTTGCCGTGATGTGAGAGTTCAGGTATTGGGTGTGTAGAAAGGCTGCATGATTGAGCAGCGAATTTGTACAGATATACTGCATATTACCAGTTACACTGCCACTGCATGTGCGAATGCCTGTTAAGGGTACAGATTTCTTATTTTCGAAGGCATACCATGCTAAAAATTCCTAATTCTCATTTTCAAATGTTGGTAGGTATGCATTAATTACTCTCCTGCTTTGAATGTGAGTCTGACTTCAGTATAAGAGTGCTGCAGCATTCAAACTGAAAATGTTTCAACACTCATATATCTAAGGTAACAACATTCTTTGATGGAACGTTGCAACACTCATATATTTAAGGTTACAATACTCATCTGTTGAATGTTGCAAAATTCTTAGTTTGAATGTTTCAAAACTCTTATGTTTAAGGTCAGAATAATCTTATGTTTAAGGTCAAAATAATCTTATGTTTAAGGTCAAAATAATCTTATTTTTAAGGTTGCAACTTAGAATGTAGGAAATATATATAGAAATCAGGGTTTTTGTTTGTTTATATATTGACTATAACAAAATAGTAATTTATGAAACTTGTATGTGATTATTAAATGTTTTTGCATGCATGCACTAGTGACTGTTAGTAAAAATGGCAGTAATTATTTAGTTGTATTATATGTGACTTATTTTTCCAGCAACCTGCTTTGAATGTGAATCTAGCTACAAATGTGTCAAAGATCCGGAATATGTTTGCGATGGTGTCGATGATTGCTATAACGGAGAGGATGAATTAAACTGCACAAGTAAGATTGAAAGTTGCAACACTCATATATTTAAGGTTACAATACTCATCTGTTGAATGTTGCAACAGTAGTATGTTGAAGATTGCAAAATTCTTAGTTTGAATGTTTCAAAACTCTTATGTTTAAGGTCAGAATAATCTTATGTTTAAGGTCAAAATAATCCTATTTTTAAGGTTGCAACTTAGAATGCAGGAAATATATATAGAAATCAGGGTTTTTGTTTGTTTATATATTGACTATAACAAAATAGTAATTTATGAAACTTTTATGTGATTATTAAATGTTTTGCATGCATGCACTAGTGACTGTTCGTGAAAATGGCAGTAATTATTTAATCGTATTTTATGTGACTTATTTCTTTTATCCTCCCTTTTTCCAGCAACCTGCTTTGAATGTGAATCTGTCTACGAATGTGTTAAAGATCCGGAATATGTTTGCGATGGTGTGATGATTGCTATAACGGAGAGGATGAATTAAACTGCACAAGTAAGATTGAAAGTTGCATTACTCTTTTGCTCAATGTGGCAACACTATTATGTAGAAGGTCACAGCTGACATATTTTGAATGTTGCAACACTCTTATTCTGAGGATGAATATTACAATACTTTTATGTTTTTGCATGCATGCACAAGTGACTTTTAGTTACACTGGCATTAAATGTATAACTGCATTGCATGTGATCTTTTTTTAAAACTTTATTTTAGCAACCCCTCCATCAAACTCCTCCTGCTTTGAATGTGAGTCTGACTTTGGATGTGTTGTGGATCCAGACTGGGTTTGTGATCGTGTAAAAGATTGCTCTAAGGGAGAGGATGAAATGAACTGCCCAGGTAAGATTTAAGTTGTTTCAAGTCACGATACTATTTGGTAGATTGAATTAGTGTTGTAACATCACAGATATTTCCAATTCCGCCTGTTAAACCTCTAGTCAAAACCAGACAGTTTTTTGGGTAAACATTTTTTTTCTTTTTTTAAATTTGTGTTTTTATTGGAAAATTTAAAGAAATCACAATATTTACAAATAATTTACATGCATGCATTTGATCAATGACTGGGTTTCACTTTGTTTATGAAGCTAATGAATGTAGTATGCACGTATATTTGTATTAATAGCTCGCTATCGCGATATTGCAGAGGTCAGGATTTGGGATTTAGATGGCATCAATGAAGTATTGTGCATGTATTTCAAGGCTGGGAACTTAGTTTAACGAGTCAACTTCTCAATCTGCAATCTTGCATTTGATTGTTATCGTGTAGATTGTTCCTCTGCAATTTAACATTCAACAGTCGGGGCTGACTCATGATAACTATAATGTTAAACAATGTTAAACATATTAAACAAAGTGAAACCCAATCATTATTTCAATTCATGCCCGACAGTACAGTCTCTGTTTTTGTTCAGTGATTTTGTTTCTATTTATGTAAATAATGTGATTTCTTTTGATTTTCCAATAAAAACACCAATTTCCAAAAAATTATTAAAAAAAAAAATTCTGTTTAAACGATGGATGATCGGATACCAGATGGTTACATAACCACAGCACTAGATTGAATGTTGCATCACTATTTTATATTGAATGTGGCAACGCTAAATGTTGACCATTGCAACACCCCTGTTTTGAATGCCATAAAACTCTTGTGTTGAATTTTCTTCTTAATATCGAGTCACTACACAAGTCCCGTCCAGTGGTCCACACAGGCTTTGGCCGGCAAATCACAGCTTCCAGGTAATCTTGGGTGCATGGCTCTGGCAGGACTGGGCAGACTAGCAGGTGTTCCATTGTCTGTTCCTGTCCGCATTCACATGCTGTGTGTTCGTCTCCTAGACCCCACCTCTGCATTAGGACTCTGCATCGTCCGTAGCCAGTTCTTAGGCGGTTGAGGCTTAGCCAGGAAGGCCAAGTCTCGCTGGAGCCGGGTCTTGTGTTGAATGTTGCAGCACTCTAGATGGAGATGTTCTTAGGTTGGATGTTGCAACATTTCTATTAAAGATTGCAATATTCTTACTCTAAGGTTGCAACACTCTTATTTTCCATGTTGCAGTACAATGCAACATGCAGCAAAATTTAAAAAATCAGGGTTTTAAAATATTGACTACCAAAACCATTGTACTTTATTGTGACATGTATGTACTTTCTGTTTTTACATGTATGCACTAGTCACTTTTAGTTTGATAAACTGGCATTAACTGTATAACTGCATTGTATGTGATCTTTTGTTTTTTCTTTATCACATACCGCCCACCCTCCCCCCCCCCCCCTACCCCCCATGCATTAGTGACTATAAGTTAAACTGGCATTAGTTAAACTGGCATTGACTGTATAATGGCATTGTATTTGATCTTCTTTTTTCCCTGCTATTCCAGCAACCATCTTTCCCTGCTTTGAATGTGAGTCTGACTTTGCATGTATTTTGGATCCAACCTGGGTTTGCGATGGTGACGATGATTGCTATAACGGAGAGGATGAATTCAACTGCACTGGTAAGATTGAAGTTGTTTAATGTCACAATACTATTATGTAAATTGAATGTTCCATCACTCTTTTGCTCAATGTGGCAACAAGCTATTATGTAGCAGGTCACAGCTGACTCTTTTTATAATGTTGCAACTCTCTTGTTTTGATGCTGCAACACTCTTATGTTAAAGATTGCAACATTCTTAGGTTGAATATTGCAACACTCCTAGGTTGAATATTGCAACACTTTTCTGTGGAAGATGGCAACATTCTTAGGTTGAATGTTGCTTCACTCCTCTGTAGATTAATGTCGGAACTCTTATTTTCAAGGCTGCAATGTGCACTCTTATGTTGAAGATTGCAATACTCATCTATTAAATGTTGCAACATTTCTGTTAAAGATGGCAACATTATCATGTTGAGTGTTGCAACACTCTTATGTTTAAGGTCATAACACTTTAATTTTCAAATTTGCAAGATAGAATGCAGACAAATTTTAAAAATCAGGGTTTGTATATATTGACTACCAAAACAATTGTTATTTATTGCATTTTCATGTATGTACTTCATGTTTTTGCATGCATGCAATAGTGAATTTGAGTTAAAACTGGCATTAACTGTATATCTGCATTGTATCTGATCTTTTTTTGAAACTTTATTGCAGTTACCCCTCCAAAAAACTCCTCCTGCTTTGATTGTGCATCTGACTATTGTGTTATCGATGAATGGGTTTGTGATGGTGACGATGATTGCTTTAATGGAGAGGATGAATTAAACTGCACTGGTAAGAATCAAGTTGTTTAATGTCACAATACTATTATGTAAAATGAATGTTGCATCACTCTTTTGCTCAATGTGGCAACAAACTAAGTCACAGCTCACTTATTGTGAATGTTGCAACTCTCATGTTTTGATGCTGCAACACTCTTATGTTAAAGATGGCAACATTCTAAGGTTGAATTTTGCTTCGCTCCTCTATAGAAGATTATTGCTTACCGGTACTTAGTTTTTAATTACGGAACTCTTATTTTCAATGCTGCAAGATGCACTCTTATGTTGAAGGTTGCAATACTCATCTATTAAATGTTGCAACATTTCTGTTAAAGATGGCAACATTCTTATGTTGAGTGTTGCAACACTCTTATGTTTAAAGATAAAGACCAGTTATGGTCATGCGATTGCTTTGTGAAAGAAACGTTGTGGAATTGATCAGAAAAGGTTGATCATCTAGCATACAAGTATTGGTATGTACTGCAAGGTTCTGGAATCATCCAAATGATACGAAATTTGGCCCAGTCTTCGTAAAGTTACAAGCATTGTACACAGAAAGATGTATATGGGACTACGCACACACGTGCGTTTATCTCTCACAAGCCAATAGATAAACTAATTTACCAAATATATCAATTAGTAAGCGGTTTCCCGGCCAAATTTTTATCATCATGTATTAGTCAAAACATATTCTTTCACATGATTGGTAATAAGAGCTTCCATTTCATTTTTTTTAAATTAGGGCGTTTCCAATACTGGTCTTTACCTTTAAGGTCATAACATGTTTATGTTGAAGTTTGCAAGATAGAGTGCAGACAAATTATAAAAATCAGGGTTTGTATATATTGACTACCAAAACAATTGTTATTCATTGCGATATTCATGTATGTACCTCATAGCAGTAACTGTATAATCGTATTAAATGTGACCTCTTTTATCCTCCCTTTTTCCAGCAAAATGCTTTGAATGTGCAGCTGACTATTGTGTTTTCCATGAATGGATTTGTGATGGTGAAGATGATTGCTATAACGGAGAGGATGAATTAAATTGCACAGGTAAGATTGAAGTTGTTTGATATAAATGTAAATTAAATGTTGCATAACTCATTTGCTCAATGTGGCAATACTCTTCTATTTTCAAATTTGCAACATTGAATACAGCAAACATATAACAAAATCAGGGTTGTGATAGGTTAACCACCAACAGAATGTAACTGATTGCGACATGTATCTGATTTATGTTTTTGCAAACGTGCACCTGTGACTGTTAGCTAAAATGGGATCAGATGTAAATTTGCTATTGAAGTAAATACAATGAAACATGAATAATAATGGATGATGTTTTCTCTTTTTTTCAGGTACAGAGAATTGTCCTGATGCTTCATTTGCCTGCCCTGAGCCAGACTCAACATGTATTGAAGAGACACTACTGTGTGACTTTATACCACACTGCAGAGCTTCAGGATCAGACGAAACAGAAGAACTTTGTATGGTCTCACAAATATCAGGTGATTTAAAGCCTTCCTCCCCCCCCCCCCCCCCCACCTCCCCCACCCCACCCACCCCCCTCCCCCACCCACCCCCTTTCCTCTCCCCTGTCCTCTTCCCCTTTCTGTTCCACTCCTCACCCCTACCACTCCCCCTCTTTGTCTCCAGAGAAAGTACAGTTTTGAGATCACCTTTGTCAATAGTTTAACCCGCGCCCTTCAAGGCACTCAATAATTGTACTTTATTTCTTCATACTTCATTAACTCCATTATTTCGTAATAATTTATTTTATAAATTCTATTACTAAACTTTAATTAATGTTAGATTAAATTGAATTGAGGCTTTCCATTTTGGTTCTAAGCTGTATATCTTTCTCAATGAAATGCATGACCAGAACTCAACTATATCATTTATATACTCCTTCACTTGTTCTTGCAGAGGATATAAGTGTTCCATTCAATGAGTATAGATGGTTAATAACCCCTGATGCCTATCCTAGTCGGGACATTAATACCACCAAGGACTATCTTCTTTACCGTGCATCGAGTCCACCAAACTCACATTTGCTGATTGAGATCATAAAGGTGGTCTTTGATGGTGACGATTCATCCTTGACTATTGGCACTGGTCATGACCCTGTCCAGGTAAGCGCTAATACTTCTCTTGTCTCAATTCTCTGCTTGAATGCTCATTTGCCACATTTGCATTTTTGCACAGAACAATAGGCAGCAATTGAGGGAAGGACTGCTTTGTAGAACATTATGCAGGCCTGATAATTACTGGATTTAAATTGGTTTCCCATATTTTTTTCTTTTCCCAAATTTTTTTTTCTTCCCAATTTTACCCATATTTTCCAGATATATCCTTATTTTTTCCCAATTTTCACTCAAAAGGGGGAATGTTGTTAGATGCCATTTATTTATTTTTTTTACTTAAGGGGGGAGGGGGGGGAGGGGGAAAGAATTTAATTTTTTAATATTTGTTTTAGTACTCACTATCACCCCTGATTATGACTTTGCAAAGTAACCTATTTGTGGCCCTTATTTATACATGTAGCTCCCTTTCAACCATTTTAACACTGGTATAGATTTAATCTTTGATTGCTAACAGTAGTACAGTGAAACCTATTAATAAAGACCACCCAAGGGGGACAAAAAAAGTGGTCTTTTTATTTAAAGCAGGTAGTCTTTATGTACAGGTTCCTTTAGTACATGTTTCAACAAGAAACCATTTTCAAGGGAAATATTGTCTTTGTAGACAGGTGGTCCCTAAAGCAGGTGTGACTTCAGTAACATGTCCCTCTATTGACAGTCAAATGGTTTCTTTTCAGGCATTCTACGACGATGGCTTACTGTTGGGTTTCTCCCGTTATTTCATATGGAATGATACTGTGCCATTCCGTGGATCAACACCTGGGAATGAGGCATATATCTTACTTGAGAGAGCGCCAGGAGGAAACGTCAACATGTCCCTGAGACTTAGTGCATTCCGTAAGTACATTAATGCTTCAGCTGCTTTCTTTGCTGGTCTTTCAGCACGATCTTTTATTTGCCACACATGCAATCTTGCAGCAAACTGTAGGCATCAATTGACAGGCCCGGACTGCTAAGTGTAAACAATGGTAAACTGTCTTGATTAGCTCCATGATAACCCTTTTAACACCAGTACTAGCAGGACCCGTGGAAAATCCATGGGATTCTAGGGGGAGGGGGGGGGGGGGGGTACATAGAAAGAGGCCTATGTGGCGCAGCGTAATACCCGTTTTAATGCATTGATTTGATGCAAGAACTGTATCATAGTAAAAGTATTCTATCCAGCTAATGAGCTAGGCTATGTTTTTAAACGGCCGTCTGATTTTCTTGTGAAAACTTTACTTTGAAAAAATTATTATCGAAATTCAGCATACAACTATACATGGCCAGAATGATCACAATCTAAGCTCAGGTTTCATACCTCTATAGTAACAAAACTATGTTGAACTCGGGGCAATAAGAGCAATTTCAAAGTGTTGTCGAGTCTACTCTATAATAGCTCAGCTCAGCTCAGCTCACACACAGTCACAGTTGTTATTTATTATTTGTTAGATGATGCTTATGGGTAGGAAAGAATCAGGAGTGAACAGGTGAAGTTCTTGTGATTTTTGAGCTTATTATTTTGGTGTCAATTTGGAAGAATATTATAGTATAAATTGAGCAAGGTCTTCTTTTTACCCCCTTCCTTTCCAGAATGTGCGAGAGAAGATGATATCCCATGTACCTACTCCAACGATTGTTATCAAGAGAGTGAGATCTGTGATGGTGTGGTGCAGTGTGAACTCAGCCAGGAGGATGAAACCGATTGCAGTAATGATATTTATTGATAATATTATTATAAAAAGTATAATACCTTATATTATAGAATAAGAACATGGAAATCAATTGCCCACTCACCAAAGTTAATCAGAATAACCCACCTCACAGATTTTGTTAAAATAATAATAATAATAATATTGAATATTTAGGAGCGCTAAAAACAATAAGTACCATAGCGCTTACAAATACAAATATATGAAAGAGGACAAAAATGTAAAGTAAAGGAAGTATATCACATAGATCATTGGGGGAAAAGGTGAGTTTTGAGGGATCTTTTGAAGGTGGCAAGACAGGTTCTTTTTGCTAAATAATTGCCTGTGCCTAATACCCGAGTATGTTATAAAAGCTGTTAATAGTGGTAATATGTTTTCTCCTTTAAAGGTAAAACAAAGTGTTGGTATGGGGTCATGAATTTGGTTTGAATGAACATATTGGAAGCATATGCGATTTTGCAATATTCCATGATTGTTGTTGCAGTTGAAATTGAGTCTAAAGTGACAAAATTGTAAATAATAAACTCTTTATGTTGTATAGCTCCCTCTCAAGACTAATATTACTTTAACCTTAAAACTATGTTTCTTGATTACAATCGACCAATTTGCTTTTCCTGTTTAGAAATCATATATCAGAACTGCATATTCTAAAATTTTCATGGTCGCAGCTACCGTGGAATGGCCTTGGGTGCTACCGGTATTTAAAATATTTGATACTTTAGTACTGAGAGCACAAGTACATTTTTTATTATTTAATATCTCAAAAGCAGAAGTGTTTTAGGGGATATATTTTCTAGTGCTAATAATTTTTCCACAGAGGCATCCAAATATATCAAAATTCTCAAGAATTACTATCCATCCAATTTACAAAATTTCCCAAAACTGTGCTTTACCTGTAAGTGACTATGATTTCAATCCCATTATTGCACTTTTGTAATTTCTATTTTTGGGGTATTCTATGATTAATTCGCACAACCTGCCTTGAACCCAGAAAGCCTCATTGTCCTGGTTCCTGTTTCATAAAACGTTTTGCTTATGACAGCATAGTATAGCTCATGAAAGCTCGTAACAGTTCTTGTACCTTTTGTAACTTGTTATTGATAACAAGTTTTATGAAACAGAGCCATGGTTATGAATATTGTGATTGTATTTAGATGCAAATTCGTGTATTGCTTCACTATTCTTTGATTTGATATTTGTTTAATAATAATAACAATAATAATATTCTGTGTTTATATAGCGCTCAATACATCGATCCAACGATGTGCCTAAGCGCTTTACAGATATATTATTACCTTGGTCATCGGATTCAGGCTTACCCGCACACAATGTATGCACATTTCCCACTCCCTGGGGAGCATTCCAGCCAGTCGCCATTTAGCGCAAACATGTATATCCACCACGCAAGTGCTCAATGTGGTTAAATATAACCCCGGTATTAGCTAGGCTGCCGACGCTGTGCCCTTTGCATGCATGGGATTCCTTACCACCTTTACCCATTTAAGGCCTGGGTCTGTTTCATAAAGCTGTTCGTAAAGTTACGCGTGACTTTACGAACGATTTATATATGAAAAGCCAAATGGGATGCTCAATCATTTTTTAACTGCATCAACTAAAGTTGAACTGTGCAGACTAGATTATTATAACAAACATTTTTAATACAAAGTATACTTTTTGCCATAATTTAATTGAGGTTATTTATAGTCACACTTTATGAAAACATCAGGAAAAACTTTGGGCATCCTATCTGGCACTTCTTATATAAGTCGTTTGTAAAGTCATGCGTAACTTTACGAACAGCTTTATGAAACAGACCCCTGGTTAGAGAATGGCTAATGTAGATGAATATCTTGCCAAAGGACACCAGTGCCAACTTAAGCTGGGGCTCCAACTCATGACATTGTTATTATTTCCCCGGTCACTGGATTCAATCCCAATTCTACACTTTACGTTGCACCACCCTCCAATCACTTTTGCAGCAATCCAGCTTGTTGCCGTGTTAATGGCTTGAATTTGATGTAAGAGTGAATTTGTTTAAATTCAGGATAGTATTCTGTAGATTGAATGTTGCATCACTCTCATGTTGAATGTTGCAGCAATCTACTGTTGAAGATGGCAATATTGTTAGGTTATACATTGCAACACTCGTATTTTAAGGTTGACACACTCCTATTCTCAAGTTTGCAGATTGCCTCTTGTATTTTACTAGGTACCAACTGGGTGGAGTGGAGCAAATTAAAGTAAAACACCTTTAATACTCAAGAACATAAATTGATATGATTTTTCTTTGATTTGATTTATATTTTCTTCCATCTTTGTAGCATCGCCTACTCCCGATTCTTGCCATAACTGTACTACTGCCTGGGCTGAAGATACCTGTTTGCCTACTTCCTGGGTTTGTGATGGAAGTGCTGATTGCCTTGATGAATCAGATGAACTTGATTGTCGTAAGTCAGAAAATTTGTGTGGATAGAGAGAAGACAATGTTCTTTAAAGATAAAGTTGTGTCCTTGATTTGTATAATTGCACTGTGAAAGAACTGTCTGGAATCTTTTTGAAGAGTACTCTAGAACGTTTGCAGATGGTGAAGTATAGGAATATACTCAGAATGATATAACAGTTATTTAAATAAATTTTGCTTTAAAATTGTCATTTTGCTTTGTACTAAAAATGTAATTACTCTGTGAATTATGTAAGTATTTTACTGACACCTAGCTGTGACTGGTAGCTCAAATGTGACCAGATGTAAATTTGCTATTGAAGTAAATAAAATGAAATATGAATAATAATGGATGATCTTTTCTTTTTTGTCTGGTACAGAGGTTTGTCCTGATGCTTCGTTTGCCTGCCCTGAGCCAGACTCAACATGTATTGAAGAGACTACCAAAACAATTGTTATTCATTGAGATATTCATGTATGTACTTCATGTTTTTGCATGCGTTCAATAGTGACTTTTAGTTAAACTGGCATTAACTGTATCTGATCTTTTTTTGAAACTTTATTGCAGTTACTCCTCCAACAAACTCCCCCTGCTTTGATTGTGCATCTCTTTATTGTGTCATCGATGAATTTGTTTGCGATGGAGCCGATGATTGCTTTAACGGAGAGGATGAATTAAACTGCACAAGTAAGTTGTTTAATATCACAGTACTATTATGTAAATTGAATGTTGCATCACTTTTTTGCTCAACGTGGCAACACTATTATGTTGAAGGTCACAGCGCAACCCAGGTCGAAAATCCCATAGAGACCAATAGAGACCATTAGAAAAATTCTATTGGTCTCTAATGGTGTCTGTTGGAGTCTATTGGTTTCTGTTGGACCCATAGAATTGAATCCAATAGAGACCATTCAAACCATCAGAAACCAATAGAAACCAATAGCACCCATAGAAACCAATATAAATAGAAACCAATAGGACCAATAGAAACCAATAGGACCAATAAGACCAATGGAAACCAATAGGACTAATAGAAACCAATAGGACCAATATAAACCAATAAGACCAATAGAAACCAATAGAACCGATAGGACCAATAGGACCAATAGAAAACCAATGAGACCAATAGAACCCAATGGGACCAATAGAAACCAATAGGTCCAATAGAAACCAATAGAAACCAACAGCTAAATCTATCTCATGGATATTCATGATTACTTTATACGTGTTCACAGAACATTACATGATCATAATTTGTTAAGCAACTTATGACAATGTACATCACTTTTGTGATTTTTATTTTCTTTCGGCAACTCATGACCAATAGATTATTTGTTTAATCATGTTACAATTTCATTAACGTTTTAGCAATAGATATATTGATTATAATGATTACTAACCAAGAAAAATTCATGTATGTTTATTATATAGAAATAGTACAAGCCTTCAGTTAAAATGAAGGATATTCTTAAACTCACTTCAAGTGATCTATGTGATGAAGTTAATGCAATTGAGATTAGAATATACTTTTTTTGGTGGACAGTTGCTAAAATCAATTTTGATTTATCATTTTTGATTTACCAATAGAATTAGCCATTGGACTATTGGTTTCAATAGGGAATCCAGAATATGGAACCATTAGAAACCCATAGAAAGATCTCTAATAATGGACCAACCGGAACCCATAGAAAATATCTAATGGAACAACAGAAACCCATAGAAGACGTGGGTGGATGCTGGTCCAATAGAAGCTTTCTGTTGGTCCATCAGCATTTCTTTCTGTGGGTTTGTGTTGGTCCAATAGATATTTTCTAATGGTATCTGTGGGTCCATCATTTTACTTTCCCCTATTGAAATCATTAAACACCAATAGCTCTAATGGTTTCTGATGGTCCAAAAGGATCGGATCCTAGTGGAATTTTGACCTGGGAACTCTCTTGTTTTGAAGCTGCAACACTTTTCTGTGGAAGATGGCGACAATTTTAGCGTACTGGATTTCAAATGCCTCCGCACGGGCAACTCCAGTGGTGTCACGGCGTTCGATCAAGCAATGCAATTGACACCGAGCAATAACTGGACTGCACTAATGCAGTACCTGTATTGTCGGCATAGCGCTAGCTCAACATATTTACATCCTTCAATGTTTCATGGAACCATGCAATTTTCTTTTATTTCTTTTCTGAATATGATGTGAATATGAATACGGTACATACAGAAGTGTGAACAAGGAATGATGTAGATGGAAGGGATTTAAAACAAATAAACAATGACTCATTTTGATCATATGTAAATTTTTTCATCCTTTTTATATCAATTTGAAAGACTAGTAGAAAGGTCCCATGAAAAGCATACCCCTATACAAATTTCAGTTCGCTTACACGCGAGCTCGTCAGCGTGCTCGCCAACGAGTTCGTCGACGAGCACGCAGACGAACTCGCCAGCGAGCTTGTTTCGTTACAAATATGCAAATTAGCTACGAGCTCATTGGCGTGCTCCAAATATGCAAGCTCGTCACTGGCCGATAAGCTCGTAAGCGTGCTCGTTGGCGAGCTCGTTGGCGTGCTCCAAATATGCATGCTCGTCACTGGCAGATAAGCTCGTTGGCGTGCTTGTTGGCATGCTCCAAATATGCAAGCTCGTCGGCGAGTTCATCAACGAGTTCGTTGGCGAGTTCGTCACCAAGTTCGTTGACAATCTTGTGGAAAAAATGGCTGCAAGCTTAATGGCGTGTTTAACAGCAGGTTGGCATTGAGAACAAATTTGTGTTTACATATAGAGCTTGATGATCCTGTTGAGCTATTGGCAAGCATATATATATACATTTATCTAGCTTATCAACCTTTCAATATCCTGGTAACATCTGCAGGCTGGCCATGCAGGGACAATTCAGTTGGCTAGCTGGTGAAGAATACAGTAATACTCTTAGGGCAATTTAAAAGCTCATTACTTCTGGGATATCAATCAATTATATCACTAATATATCAAAGAACAGAAAGAAAATATATAACATAAAATGAAACTTAAAACAAGTAGCTCTTTATTAGAGTCAATACAAACCCTGTATGATGCATGTTACCTGTATATGCAGGGTTCACAACTTCACACAACAAAATGAATAAATAAATGATTTCCAAATTATATAATTACACTGTATAATGAAATTAAATATGTGAGTAATTACACTGTAAAATACTCTGCCTTTGAAGAAATATTATTATCCCTTTTGGTAATTATCCATCATTCTAATCACTCATGATATTACAAAGATCCAAACTAATAAAGCGGTATTCATACAATAACTATATCTCTCTCTCTCTAAGTGCCATATCGTTTGAATTTGGCGATCATGCTGTTCCACAACCCTCGGCTCCTAGCCTTCTGTATTAGTACCACTCCTGGTTCTTTCACTCCTCTCTCTTCCAACAATTTCTGCAGACTGTCCATCCAAAGTATCCTCCTTCTTCCCCTACTCCTTCTTCCCACAATTTTCCCTGTCAAAGCAAGATTCTCTAGGCCTTCTTTACGTGTAATGTGACCCATGAACTTCAACTGCCTAATCAACATCTCACGTATCATTTTCCTTTGCACTCCTGCTCGTGTAAGAACTTCCTCATTACTTTGTCAGTCCAGGGGATTTTTATCATTCTTCTTAGAAACCACATTTCGCAAATTTCCAAATGCTTTTTAGTATCAGAGGCTAAAGTCCATGTTTCACTACCATACATAAGTACTGGGTAGATGTAACAATTCAATACCCTTATTCTGGTCCTCATACACATTGTTTGATTTGTCAGAATTTTGCCTAACTTTGAAAATGCAGGTTTAGCGAGAGCTATCCTTCTCTTGATCTCTGTCTCGCATCTGGCATCCTCGGTTATCATGCTGCCGAGGTAGTTAAATGAGGAGACTTGTTTAATAGTCTGTTCTTTCAGTTTCAAGTTACATTTTGGACTGCTCTTCTTGGATACCACCAGGCACTTTGTCTTGGTATAGTTGATCTCTAGTCCCATTCTCTCACTTTCTTTTACAACTACATTCAGGAGTCTCTGGAGATCTTTCTCTGATTCAGAAAATAAAACGGTGTCATCAGCATATCTAATATTTGTGATTGAATGACCACCCACTTGTATCCCATTTTCATCTTCCAATTCTCTTAGAATGATTTCACTCTACATATTGAACAGGTCTGGGGACATAACACAACCCTGTCTGACTCCCCGTCTGATGTTGATATATTCACTACACTCTCCTTCTACCCTGATGCATGCAAACTGATTCCAATATAGACTTTGTAGCAGTCTTAGATCGTTCCTATATATATCAAGCTTTTTCAGCTCTTCAAAAAGTTCTGAATGTCTTACTTTATCAAAAGCCTTTGAATAATCAATAAAACACATGTACACATCCTTTTGCATTTCGACTGCTCTCTCTCCGTTATATTTAATAATAATAATAATGTCAATTTATATAGCGCACATATCCATTCTAAAAGACTGCTCAAGGCGCTCTTGTACAACATCAACAATAATTATACAATATTAAAACTACAACATAATTATACACTATACAAACTACGACATAATTTTACAATATTATAACTACGACATAAACAAATGGTGCTTAAGTTTCTTCTTAAATGTTTCGACTGATGATGATTGTCTTATTTCTAACCACAAATATTGCATTTCTTGTGCCCGCATCCTTTACAAAACCAAATTGTTCCCTTCCGACCATGGGAGTTATGCTACTTCTTGCTCTCAAAAGCAGAATCCTCAAAATAATCTTAGTGATATGGCAAATAAGGCTGATTGTCCTATATTGCTCACAATCCACGGCTCCCGGATTCTTTGGGAGAGTAATGAAAATGGATCTGCCCAATTTATCTGGAAATGTTCCGTAATCATATATTTTGTTGATAATTTCTGTTAATCTATCAAAACTATATTCCTCTAATGCTTCAAACATTTCAGTGACCACACCATCTGGTCCAGCTGCTTTGTTCTTCTTCATCTTTGACATTGCCCAACGGACTTCTGATTTAAGAATTTTCTCCCCTTTGACTTCATCTGCAAAACTCGGCATTGCTTCCCTACTATCCTCAAAAAGTTCCCCAATGTATTGCGTCCACCTACTCATTTTGTCCTTCATTTCAAACAGGATTGACCCATCTTTTCCTTTGATACAGCCAGGGTTTGAACAACCAGACTTTTTACCTGAAATCTTATTTATTCTTTGGTAAACATTACTATTCTTATCGAATTGATTTTCAATTTCTACACATTGTTTAGCCAGTCTAGGTCCCTATATTTCTCGCATTGTCTATTTCAAATTTCTGTCTATCTTTCATCATTAAAAGAATCTCCTCTGTCATCCATTTGTTCTTTCTTTTTCTCTCTTTCGTCGGCACATACTCTTCCGCTGTTTCTACCAGAATATTTCTCATCGTCTCCCACGTGTTTTCTTCACCTTCATCTATGAGCAACTCAAACCTTTTCTTTACTTGTACAGTAAATTCTTGACGTATGTCCGGTTTACTCAACTGTTTAAAATCCAATATTTTCACAACTTTTGGTCTCTTGAGTTTGAAGTGTACATATCACCGGCACATGATCACTCCCGCAGTCAGCCCCTGGATAAGTTTTTGATTGTTTCACTGCTCTTTTAAATCTACTATTTATGGCAATATAGTCTATCTGGTTCCAGGACTCTTCCAAGTGTATACTCGCCTAGGGTGTTCTTTGAACCAAGTATTAGTGATGACCATGTTCTCCCCCTCACACCACTGAACCCATCTGTCCCCTCGTTCATTCCTTTCACCAATTCTATGCGGACCTACTGCTTTGCCCTCTGTACCTCGACCGACTTTAGCGTTCAGGTCTCCCAGGACAATGAGAATGTCATTTGATTTGCACTGAGATTTAGCTTTATCTAAGGAATCGTAAAGGTGTCAATAACTTCGTCAGCACTATCTGCCGTTGGTGCATAAACCACTATGATTGAGATGTTAAAAGGGTGTTCCTGTAATTTCACTAGGAGCACCCTATCACTTACACACCAGTGTCCCAACACACTTTTTGAGATATCTGGATCCAGCAGTAACCCCACACCTCTTTCATGCTTTTCACCTCCTGCATAAATCAATCTGTACTCATCTATCACAAACTCGCCGTTATTCAGCCACCTTGTTTCATTTAGTCCCAATATGTTTACATTTAGCCTCATCATCTATTGTTTAACATTTTCCAGCTTGCCGCTCTGATACAGTGTTCTCACATTCCATGTTCCAACTCTGATAGTATTCCTATTGCAAACAGTAGCTGGCTGACGGTCGGGGCACACCTGTCGCCCATGGGACACCCTACCGGGCGAGGTGCTTGTCCCTTTAGGTAGACGAGCCCCCTTCACGCCTTGGCTTTTGAGTTGTGATTCATCATGATTGTTCTTGGAATAATAGTGAAGTGGTTTTCTGTTGCCTTCTTCACCGCAGTAGTTAGCCGTATCTGGGATTATCCAGCATGCCAGTCATTATCAGAGGTTCACCGTTGTCCTAAAAGGATCTTCCGCCGAAACACTCCTACTGCATCGCTGCTGCCCAATGCAGAGCAAGCTAGGCTTATTTAAAGGCGGCCTAAACTCGCCTTCCCAATTCAACGTCTTAGGGGATGCAAGTTTTTATTGGTCCTACTGGTGCCACTCAGTACCACCACCAGCCCCCTGATGCCGAATAGTCCCCTTTTAGTCGCCTTTTACGACACGCAGAGGATACGTGGGGGGTATTTTTGACAGCCCACCCCACCCCAATAACTATATAGCATCCCCCTTCTTGTCAGTGTATTTACCAACCCAGGGTACCAAGTAATGATACATGTACATATACTATAGGATCTCTAGAACAATCCCTTCTTTATATCCGCTAGCAAACTAGGTAGGCCTAACTGTTGGCCTAGTTTTATTATAAATACACAAGTAGAAAATTTAGTTATAAGGTGTGAGAAATTAGTTTTTCTCTTACCTAAAACAAAGGAGCTGCAGTACCATTCAAAACCCATGTCTGCTCTCCACAACCGCAAGATGGAAAAAGACTGACCAAATAGGCCTAACAAATCAATTCATTCTTATCAGGAATGCTACCAGTGGTAATTCCACAAGAGAGAGTAGACAAGAAAGTGAGAGAGGGGAGAAGAGAGGAATAGGGATTTGTGTCTTAGCAGGGGGAATCCTACGTACATAAGGAGAGATCAAGATAGAAACAGGGAGTTGACCTCGAATCAAGCACTGGGTGTGTGCTCTTATGTAATACCTGATAGTGACGTTTCAGGGTGTTAAATATATGATACAGTCAGAATAAATGGCAACCCCCCCCCCCCCTCTTCCCAATCTGGTATGCTGCAAATAAATGTTTCAAAGTTTCAAAAGAATTTAATTAAATTTACAAGTAATTTGCCAGGTTACTTCAGCATGAAAAAGCTATTGTTTCAATTTTAACACAAATTTTCTGAACTTTCAATGTAATTGCATATACAATGTATGTTCTGACAAAGAGGCTCAAAAATGTATCAAAAAAATAAAGTATGCATTTGTTTACCTTAATTATTTCAGGTAGGAGATATCTTCAGATCAATATTTTGTATTAAAACAAAAATTACATAAAAAGGATGCTGGTGGAGACAAGAAACTAGGAAGTAGGAACTCATTTTCCTTGGCCCAAGACATTGGCATCCTGAAGGGAACTTTAAAATACATACATGTATACCGTGTGAGTCCAAAAAAAGTTTACACCTAGAAAATTGCTAATTATTTTAAAAATCATTTATGAACAGTAAATTATTATACATCTTATGAAAGAGTATTTTATTCCAAATCGTTTGGTATCACTTTTGTGTGGTATGTGTTCACGCTTGGATGAACTGGAGGCATTGTTTGTGAAAGTGCAAAAATCGACTTGCGCCAAAGTGATGCCTATAGTATGTATTATGTTGGGATCAGCGGAGTGCGAGAATGAATTGAATGTAACAAATGAAATGCATTGCATATGTTTTATGTAGAAAAGCAAATTCACACGCACACACACTAACAATGTTCGTTGATATTTTATATTTGATTTTTGATATGTGTGGCATGATTAATTTTGTTCGGGATGTTATGTTGATCTGTTATGACCGAAATAATACCCATATCGCAATTGTTTTATTCAAACATCACATAAGCAACTTTGGCGCAAGTCGATTTTTGCACTCTCGCATACAATGCCTCCTGTTCATCCAAGCGTGAACACATACCACACAAAAATGATACTGAATGATTCAGGATAAAACACTCTTTCATAGGATGTATAATAATTTATTGTTTACAGATGATTTTTAAAATAATTTGCAATCTTTTGGGTGTAAAATTTTTTTTGACTCACACTGCATACCCAACTGTTTTCCTGGGAGCTCGATCACCTGTTTACCGGCGAGATCGTGGCGAGCTCCCCCTTTTTCCTGTCAGCTCCCCCATTTTCCCAGAGCTCGTAGCAAAATATCCCCCATTTTCCAGCGAGCTCGCCACCAGCTCCCCAGTTTACCCCCAAGGTTGTGGCGAGCTCCCCAATATACCCCCGAGCGTGCCACAAACTCCCCAGTTTACCCCCAAGTTCGCCACGAGCTCCCGAGTTTACCCCCGAGCTCGCCACGAGCTCCCTAGTTTACCCCCGAGCTCGCCACGAGCTCCCCCTTTTACCCACGAGCTGGCCACGAGCACCCCCTTTTACCAACAAGCTCACCACGAGCTCCCCCTTTTACCCACGAGCTCTCCACGAGCTATCCACAAGCTCCCAAGTTTACCCCCCAAGCTCACCACGAGGTCCCCCTTTTACCCGCGAGTTCGCCACGAGCTCATGGCGAACTCGTGTACAAGCTCGCCAAGATTTTGTAAGATCGTTACTAGCGTCCTGGAAGCGTGTTACAAGCTTAAAGCCTAAAACGATCTTATTAAGCTTACCACGAGCATAATACGAGTTCCCGACAAACTTAAATTTGTATAGGGGTAGTTCTCAAAACACCCTCGCATTTATCACAAGGAATAGCTGAAAACTCTGGAGCTTGCATATGTGTGTTTACAGTCCCATACGTACTTCTCATTTCGCACAAGTCCATAAATACAGGTTCTCAAAAAAAAAAGTAATATCATGACTGGATTCATTTTGTTGTCCATCTTGTCATAGTATAACAGTAAAGTAGGAGCTATTGATCACTGTCCCAACTTTTTACCAGACAGGGCCTAGGTCTAACCTTTTCCATTTTATTGATATGAGCAATGTTTTTTTGTTACAGGTACACCTCTTCCATGCTTCCAGTGTGATTCAGATTGGTCTTGTGTTTATGATTCTTGGGTTTGTGATGGTGTTGCCGACTGTTACAATGGAGAAGACGAAGCTGGTTGCAACGGTCAGTTCCATGCAAGCTCAAATGACAAAATAACAGAATCAAACAATTTAATTTTAAACTTTTGCATATGTTTTTACCATCAAAATATGACCTTCATAAATGGAAAAATTAAAAATTATTATGTATGTGAAGATTGGTATACCATTGAAACATCACAGCAAATTGTAACATGTTTGATATATTTTTTGGGGGGCATTAAATATTAACATGAATGAGAAAACTTTAATAATATGATATTTATAAGAACTATGTTAAACATATTGAAACATAAGCAAAGGTTAATGAAAGACAGATAAAAGCTTTGATATGCTAAGATAATTATTTTGTTTTACATGTATATATGTTATGGTGAATGTTTAAGATATGTGAATTAAAGTTCTCTTTTCCTTTTGTCATTATTATTATAATCGCCACCATATACAAACCCTAACATGAGATTGTTATTGTTTTACATTTCCTATAACAGATTGTGGAGAAGACGAGTATTCGTGTTTCTTTGATGATACTACATGTTTCAATGCAAGCGATGTATGTGATGGAATATATGACTGCCCTAGTGGTGCAGATGAATTTAACTGTACAGGTACCAATCCTCTTTAACTTTATATTCCCCTTCATTTTCCCCTTTATTTATCTTTTCATTTCATATGTATAATTCATTTGAAATATTTATTCATATACTTATTTATTCTTTTTTTATTGTTACGTTTATTCCTTTATCAATTTATTTCTTTGTGTATTAATTTCATTTTACTTCATATCAATGTCATTAAATTGAAGATACAGACTGGAATTTAAAATCACTATTTTCATGTAACAATTGGACCTTTTTTGCTGTGTTTCGTAATTTCAATATGTGTTGGTTCATTCAATATACTTATTGATCTGCTTTAAAACTTTTTTAGGAGTTGTACAAAAAATTACTGGTGCAAATTTGTTGAACAAAATCTGCTTTTTTAGACCTTTAGAAAATTATCAACTTCTATGGCTTTTTTGAATTGTTTTGCCTTCCTATAATTAATTACTTTCACTGACTTGCCTATTTTCTTCACTTTTCTTCTCTATCCTAAGGATGTCTTGCCTGTAGTTATACCTCTGATTGTCTGATTGGCCTGCAAGTCTGTAACTTCTATAATGATTGTCCAGGAGGAGAAGATGAAACAGAGGGTCTCTGCAACCACTCTCAATTTATTGGTAAGTTTCTAAATATTACAGGAGGGGGAGACAAAGCTTACTGTCTCTGTGAACATGCTATCCAAATTTGCTAAAATATAAATCTGGCCTTTGGTCTAAATTCATATTATAACAAGGAAGGGGCACCGTAAATGTTTTCATTGTGTTAAACGTGAATTTACACCGAGCATCACGTAGGTTAACAGAAATTAGAAGAATTTCAAACACAGAGTTTATCATTCATACATGTGGGTCTATGATTATATTTATGATCGTACACAATGGAAATATGAAGCTGCATACTGCTAGGCGCTTTACTTTAATTGCTCCGCACATGGACAGAGATTGACAGAGCTATTCTCTGCTTAAGGCTATATAAATTGGTTTAAAGTGTCAAATCAGAGTCTGTGTCTGCAGACTACTTCAGTTCTGTATTTAATGTTTAGCCTACATGTACATTAAGCTTGTATGCATGACCTAAATATAAAATGTTCTTATTCTTTCTCTCTATCTATTTGTTATACCCTAGACAATATTGAGATTAAGACTGGAGAGTGGCAGCTCTTTAGTGAAGGTTATGTATCAGAGAGGATTCTTGATGATCGTGATACACCAGCTAGTAACATCTATGATTTTACTCATTATGGCTTCAACTCAGATCCTGGAACCACGCTTTATATCGAGATACAGGTTACCCTTCATTCTTATAACCCAAACCCAAGTAAACTAAACCTTAAACCTATCCCTTACCCTTGCCGTAATCATCATCACCCTTAATCACAAGTTCATCCTCGTCCCCACTCTTGCCTTCACCTTAACCCAAACAATCACCTTCACCCATTCCCTAACTCTCCTTGCCTTAACTCTCACCCTAACCTAGCTCACCCTAACCCTAGCCCTCTTCTTATCCCTTACACTCACCCTTCTTCCTAACCCTCACCTAACCCTCGCCCTCAACTAATCCTCGACTTCGCCCTTACCCTCCCCTCACCCTCACCCTCCCCTCCCCTCCCCTCTAACCCTCAACCTCACATTTACCCTTACCCTCCCCTGACCCTCCCCTAACCCTGACCCTCGACCTCCCCTTAAACTCACCCCTAACCTTACCCTCCCCTTATCCCCCTCTCTAACCCTCGCCTTAAGCCTGAGCCTAACCCTCCCCCTTACCCTCAGCCTCACCCTTACCTATCCCTCATCCTAACCCTCATCCTTACCCTTCCCTAACATTCACCATCCCCTAACCTCACTCTAACCCTCACTGTAACCCTCTGCTTCACCCCCTGTATCCTTCACCCTTGCCCTCATCCTCATGCTCTCCATCATCCTCTGACTTAACGGTAACCTCACCCTCACCCTCCCCTAACCCTTACCCTTACCCACACCCTTACCCTCCCCTACCTCTCACCCTCACCCTAGCCCTAAACCTAACCCTGCCCATTAACCATTACCTCAACCTCACCTCACCCTTACCCTTACCCTCGCCCCTCACCCTCCCCCTCACCCTTACCCTCACCCTCGCCCTAAACCTCGCCCTAAACCTCACCCTCACCCACATCCTCTTCTCACCCTCCCCCAGCCTCAACTTTACTCTAACCCTCACCCTAACCCTCACCCTTCCTCTCCCTAACAAACTTATCCTTAAACCAACCCTCCCCTTAACACTCACCTTCCCCCTAACCCTAACCCTTACCCTCACCCTTACCCTCGCCCTAAACCTCACCCTCCCCCTCACCCTCCCCCTATATCCCTCACCCTAACCCTCATCCTTGCCCTCAACTAACCCATCAATCCTCCCCTTACCCTCAACCTTACTCTCACCCTCGCCCTAACCCTTACTCTCACCCTTACTGTCACCCTCACTCTTACCCTCCCCTAGCTTTCACCCTATCTCTCACCCTCACCCTCGCCCTCAACCTTACCCTCGCCCTTACCCTAGACCTCAACCTAGCTTTTTGTGAAGGAGAGACTTCTTGATGATTGTGATAGCCGAGCTTGTAACTTGCCCTCACCATACCCTCACTCTTACCCTAACCCTCACCCTTACCCACACCCTTACCCTTATCCTAACCCTCACCTTTACCTTCACTCTCAGCCTTACTCTACCCTTCCCCTATCCCTCACTCTAAACCTCACCCTAACCCTCACTCTTAACCTCCCCATAACCACACCCTCCCCCTAACCCTCACTCTTACCCACACCTGTACCCTTATCCTAACCCTCACCTTTACCTTCACTCTCAGCCGTACTCTACCCTTCCCCCTATCCCTCACTCTAAACCTCACCCTTACCCTCACTCTTAACCTCTCCATAACCACACCCTCCCCCTAACCCTCACCCTTACCCACACCTGTACCCTTATCCTAACCCTCACCTTTACCTTCACTCTCAGCCGTACTCTACCCTTCCCCCTATCCCTCACTCTAAACCTCACCCTTACCCTCACTCTTAACCTCCCCATAACCACACCCTCCCCCTAACCCTCACCCTAACCCTCACTGCAAAATAAAGAATCACACTGTCAAATGACCCTGGAAATGTGACGAGGTTTTTGCTTCTTTAAAGTTTCTATGAAAACACAAAACAAAGCTTTTTCAAGCGCCTGGACTTTTTTAACCATATATCTTATTACAAAATGATGCGTATCAAACTTATTACCCTTATGATACTAAAAATCTCTCATATTTTCAATTTTATGAATGAACATTATTGTAAAATATATGATTGTTTCCTTTTGATCCTTTACGTTTCTGTTTCTCATTCGTTTACCATTGTTTTACATTTCATTTGCACTATTCCTATTTTTTCAAAAATCTTGAATGCAGAATTTGACAGTGTCTCTGTCTGGCTCTCTTGTACCCCTGGTTCGTATCTCCTTTGGATCTGGAGCCGACCCGACGGACCTTAATGCTACCCGAGCATATGTAGATGGATATGGGAATGCAGCAAGCATCAGCAACTCCATGAACTTCTCCCTTACCAATAATACAGGCTTTCTTTTAATTGCCATTCCAAAAACTGTCATTGGCATCTTCAATATCATATTCAGAGTCACAGCTATCGGTAAGAAGCACTGTGTGCATTAAATCTGAATGAAGTGACTGGGCTATACACAACATTGTCGAGCACATTAAATAACATTAATGGGTGTACAAGACTTGCTCACAGCAAATCCGTAGTCCCATGAAGAAATGACCCTCCCTCCCTCCCCAGTCTCTTGGAGACTCTTCAGTGAAGGGAAATGAAAGATAATGAATTTTCGATATGGGGGATTGGTGGAAAATGCAGAAATAGTTAAGGCCTTTTGGTCATAAAACTGAAAGCTAATCCTGGTGATTGACAACACCTGTTATTGCATAAACACCCAAATGGTGTCGAATTTAATATGAGAGCTCACTACAATGCCTCTTTAAAACTCGGTAACAGTGTTGAAGGTTGATGAAAAAACTGTAATTTTTGTTTGAAATGTTACTTATTATATTTCTCCTACCGTACTAAACCTCTAACATGCAAAAGATCCTGACAAAATTCTCAAACTACAAGGATATTAAAGGTTTTCTTTGAAGGCGTCACTGTGCGACACTCTCTAACAGTAAATTCTTCCAACCAATTTTTGAATTATCCCAATCGTTTTCCATAAAAAAAAGACATAAAACAGGCTTTTAAAAATCTTTCAACACTTAAATGTCTAGACTGGTTTTAAATTCACCTCAAATTTAATTGAATTAGGATATTATAATTGAGAGAATTCAGGAATCGATCAGATCAGTTTTTCCCAATTTGTATCATTAATAATGGTCAGTTTTCACTCTAACTTTCAGATTATCTTTAATTTTACACCTTGCATTGAATTCACTACCTTAATTAGCACCATTTTGTCTTATCTTAACAATGTTACCAAGTCCCTTTAAGGCACAGGTGTCTACTGAATATCCTTTCCTGTTGATATATATGATTTATGTTGTACATGATGTGAGCTATTTCTTAAAGAAATTTTGTTGATTCTTCTGCAGAAGAGAACCAGTTCGTAAAATAACATAAGTTCAAATTGTTCATTCAGTTTTTTTTGTTCAACGTTAATGACACGATAAAGTATTCTTTGTCAGGAGTGTCTGAAATGTTCCAAATGTTAAGCAAAACTTCTTTTAATTGAAATATGGCCAGATAGTTCATTTCAGAAATATCTAAAAAGTAAACAATGATACAAAGTTTGGTTCTTTTCTGCACTGGCTCTCCACAAAAGAACCAAGAGTCATTTTAAGGACTAACCCTCATGGTTTACATTAAAACTTATGTATAATAATAATAATAATAATACTCAGTTTTTATATAGCGCTTATTACAATCACTAAGCGCTTCCAAACTTGGAGATTATTACCCCAGCTTTAGCTGTGCTGCCATTACGGCGCTCTAGCATTTCAAATAATTAATTCCTGCCAGGTACCCATTACATCACCTGGGTTAAGTGTGGCAAATGTAGATCAATGTCTTGCCAAAGGACATTAGTGCCAAGGCCGGCCTCGACCACGGCACCTGTATAATCTTCTCATCATGAAAATGTTCAAAGAACACGCTCTTTCCTTTTGCAGAATGCGTGGGCCCTGAGGTGGCATGTTATGGCTCCCCTCACTGCTATGACTGGTTGGATGATACATGCGATGGAGAAATCCAATGTGTGGATAGCGGGGAAGATGAGTTTGGGTGTGAAGGTAAGATACTGAAAAGGATGATGAGAAGGAGGAGAAGGAAGAATGATAAATGTGATATGGAGAAATCAAGCTCGATAGCCAGGAAGATGTGTTAAGCTTGGGCATGATGGTGAAATGTAGTTGAGTGGTTTAAACATTTGACTTTAGATGCGAAGGTAATGGAATCAAGCCCTGGTACTGCAGCAGTTGATGCCCTAATGATTACAATGTACAAAATGTTTGATTAGTTCAAGGGGGATATCGATATGCTGCCCACAACTTTTCTGTAAAAAAACAATCAACAAACAATTAAAAGAATGAATACATGTGGGGAACATGCCAGCATTTTGAGGTTGAATGTTGCTTCACTCTTTCTAAAAGATTTTAGCTTGCTTAATTTTGAATGTTGGAAATCTCCAATGCTGTTGCAATATTTCTGTTAAAAATGACAACATTCTTGCGTTGAGTGTTGCAACACTCCTATTTTCTAAGTTTGCAACATAAAATGCAGCCAAATTAAAACAAAAATTGGGTGTTTGTGTATCGAACTACAAAACAATTGTCATTCGTTGCAACATTTCTGTTAAAGATGGCAATATTCTTATGTTGAGTGTTGCAACACTCTTATGTTTAATGTCATAACACTCTTATTTTCAAATTTGCAAGATAGAATGCAGACAAATTATAAAAATCAGGGTTTGTATATATTGACTACCAAAACAATTTTTATTCATTGCGATGTTCATGTATGTATTTCATGTTTTTGCATGCGTTCAATAGTGACTTTTAGTTAAACTGGCATTAACTGTATCTGATCTTTTTTTAAAACTTTATTCCAGTTACCCCTCCAACAAACTCCCCCTGCTTTGATTGTGCATCTCGTTATTGTGTTATCGATGAATTCGTTTGCGATGGTGACGATGATTGCTTTAACGGAGAGGATGAATTAAACTGCACAAGTAAGTTGTTTAATATCACAGTACTATTATGTAAATTGAATGTTGCATCACTCTTTTGCTCAATGTGGCAACACTATTATGTAGAAGGTCACATCGCAACTCTCTTGTTTTGAAGCTGCAAAACTTTTCTGTGGAAGATGGCAACAATTTTAGCGTACTGGATTTCAAATGCCTCCGCACGGGCAACTTCAGTGGTGTCACGGCGTTCGATCAAGCCATGCAATTGACGCCGAGCAATAACTGGACTGCACTAATGCAGTACCTGTATGGGCGGCATAGCGCTAGCTCAACATATTTACATCCTTCATTGTTTCATGGAACCATGCAATTTTATTTTATTTCTTTTCTGAATATGATGTGAATATGAATACGGTACATATTATTACAGAAGTGTATACAAGGAATGATATAGATGGAAGGGATATAAAACAAATAAACAATGACTCATTTTGATCATTTGTAAATTTTTTCATTCTTTTTATATCAATTTGAAAGACTAGTAGAAAGGTCCCATGAAAAGCATACCCCTAAACAAATTTCAGTACGCTTACACGCGAGCTCGTCGACGAGCACGCAGATGAACTCGCCAGCGAGCTTGTTTCATTCCAAATATGCAAATTAGCTACGAGCTCGTTGGCGTGCTCCAAATATGCAAGCTTGTCACTGGCCGATAAGCTCGTTAGCGTGCTCGTTGGCGAGCTCGTTGGCGTGCTCCAAATATGCAAGCTCGTCACTGGCATATAAGTCGTTGGCATGCTCGTTGGCGTGCTCCAAATATGCAAGCTCGTCGGCGAGTTCATCAACGAGTTCGTTGGCGAGTTCGTCATCGAGTTCGCTGACAATCTCGCGGTAAAAATGGCTACAAGCTTAATGGCGTGCTTAACAGCAGGTTGGCATTGAGAACAAATTTGTGTTTACATATAGAGCTTGATGATCCTGTTGAGCTATTGGCAAGCATATATATATACATTTATCAAACTTATCAACCTTTCAATATCCTGGTAACATCTGCAGGCTGGCTATGCAGGGACAATTCAGTTGGCTAGCTGGTGAAGAATACAGTAATACTCTTAGGGCAATTTAAAAGATCATTACTTCTGGGATTTCAATCAATTATATCACTAATATATCAAAGAACAGAAAGAAAATATATAACATAAAATGAAACTTAAAACAAGTAGCTCTTTATTAGAGTCAATACAAACCCTGTATAATGCATGTTACCTGTATGCAGGGTTCACAACTTCACAAAACAGTATGAATGAATAAATGATTTCCAAATTATATAATTACACTGTATAATGAAATTAAATATGTGAGTAATTACACTGTAAAATACTCTGCCTTTGAAGAAATATTATTATCCCTTTTGGTAATTATCCATCATTCTAATCACTCATAATATTACAAAGATCCAAACTAATAAAGCGGTATTCATACAATAACTATATAGCATCCCCCTTCTTGTCAGTGTATTCACCAACCCAGGGTACGAAGTAATGATACATGTACATATACTATAGGATCTCTAGAACAATCCCTTCTTTATATCCGCTAGCAAACTAGGTAGGCCTAACTGTTGGCCTAGTCTTATTATAAATACACAAGTAGAACATTTAGTTATAAGGTGTGTGAAATTAGTTTTCTCTTACCTAAAACAAAGGAGCTGCAGTACCATTCAAAACCCATGTCTGCTCTCCACAACCGCAAGATGGAAAAAGACTGACCAAATAGGCCTAACAAATCAATTCATTCTTATCAGGAATGCTACCAGTGGTAATTCCACAAGAGAGAGTAGATAAGAAAGTGAGAGAGGGGAGAAGAGAGGAATAGGGATTTGTGTCTAAGCAGGGGGAATCCTACGTACATAAGGAGAGAGCAAAATAGAAACAGGGAGTTGACCTCGAATCAAGCACTGGGTGTGTGCTCTTATGTAATACCTGATAGTGACGTTTCAGGGTGTTAAATATATGATACAGTCAGAATAAATGGCAACCCCCCCCCCCCCCCTTCCCAATCTGGTATGCTGCAAATAAATGTTTCAAAGTTTCAAAATATTTTTTTTTTTAAACATCACTTTATTGTTCAAACTTGCACAACAAAGGAGAACAATAGCCCAGGACAATTCCATTTTACTGGAAAATGCAGGGCATTAAAAGTACATACATGTAGATATACAGTGAATGTTATATAACATCAACAAAAATTAACTAATTTTACAACATAGTGAAAGCTGAGGAGTGATGGATATTCCTAGCTATAAATAAGAGGAGCTAAATATTGAAATTTCATTTGATATATCAACTTAATAAATACGAAGCATACATAATGATTATTATAAGAGTTTGATTTGAGTTAACCCTTACTGTACTGGGCTATTTCGAGCACTCTCTGACTGGGGGGGGGGGGGGGCCTGGGAGGCCCCCCCTTTGATCTCGGCTGTCGAATGTCCGATGAACGCGAAAAATTGCATGTTTGTAGATATTTACGTAAGGAACAAGATGGTATAATTAGTTTTTTTCCTAATATGCAAATTTTTGTCGTTATAGCTTAATTAATTATGCAAAATGCTAATTTTATGCATTTTACAGAAAACTCTACATATTTGTCCGCAGACTTGTGAAGAATCTTGAAAATGTATTGGATAAATGTTTCCTTCATCTCAAATTCATGAGGTTTCATTATTTTTATGATATTTGAAAATGCATAGTTAATTTGCATAAATTATGAATACGCATTCATGAATATCAAATCTGGAAATATATATAGGGAACTAGAATCATTACAAAAATTGTCAGACTCCACTTTTTGTTATTCATATGAAACTTCTTTTCTATAAACACAAAATAGTTATTTGATGTAATTAATTATGGTAATTTATGCAAATTTGATGCGATTTTCAATTTTTATTTTCTTATGTATTTTATTGTTTTTTATTTCTTATTATATCTATTTTTTTATTTCTAATGTATTCTTTTGTTCTGAAATACATCAAGTTACTTTGAGAAACATATAAAAGCAATTTGATATCAATTCATATCTTCACAATTCTGCTTGTACATGAATATATGCAATTATAGCACTTTTTTATGACATGCGCATACTAATTGTTATGTAACACCTTACAGGTATATCCGATTTCGACGAAAATGGTATCAAAATGTGCGTAAAATTAGAGGGAAAAAAGTCATGAAACGACAATTCAAAATTCTTGGCGGTTGCGGCGCGATCTCCGAAAATGTCGAGCCCCCCCCCCCCCAGTACAGTAAGGGTTAATGTTTAATACAAAGAGGATTCTATCAGTGCCAGGCAATGAAAAGAGACGAGCAGTAGAAAGAAAATATAAGACTGGTTACAAGGTGTATTAACCAATTTGTGTGTGTGAGTAATTACATACTTGAAATGCGAAGGGGAATTTTGGTTTCCCATTTATTGGCATTCTTTGAGTAGTAGATGACAAACGAAGAAACAATAGATAGTTTGGATAGAGTATGTCGAACTTGTTTCGCATTGACAGGTTTTCCCATTTCTTTCAACAGCTGCTTTAGCCTCGTCACATTCTCTGGCGAAATATGACCTCTAGAGCCGATTTCCAACGGAAGATACACCACAGAATATCCATTAGCCTGTATATCGGCAACTAACGGGGCATATTTGTTCGATTAATATTCATGTGCCTTAACTACATTCATTTCAAAGGGAACTGACAATTCCAGTATGAGGATTTTCTTTAAGTTCTTCCAAAAACACAAATGTCTGGGATGAGGTTGGTTTGGGTACACTCTAGTGGAATTGTGGAGATGCCTTCTTTTGTCCATCGCTCTACTTTCAGGTCTGTGTACATAATAGTGTCGCTATGAGAGGCGATGCCTTCTTGAATAATTTCGGCAAGATACAAAAGTATGTTGTCATGGCGCCAAGTATAGCGTCCCTCGTCAAGTGACACAGGGCATGCGTTCAATGCATGGTGTACTGTTTCTCTATTTTCACATTTTTTACAGTTTGCTGATGCCCTTTTACCCCATCTAGTAAGGTTTGCATTCGTATTAAGTGTATCTGAAAGCGAATTCATGAGAAATTTTGCAACTTTGTTGGGTAGGTTGTATATCAGGCTTTTCCATTCTACTGATTTTGATTCCAAGTTTACAAGTTCAAAAAACTTCAAAGAATTTAATTACATTTACAAGTAATTTGACAGGTTACTTCAGCATGAAAAAGCTATTGTTTCAATTTTAACACAAATTTTCTGAACTTTCAATGTAATTGCATATACAATGTATGTTCTGACAAAGAGGCTCAAAAATGTATCAAAATAATAAAGTATGCATTTGTTTACCTTAATTATTTCAGGTAAGAGATATCTTCAGATCAATATTTTGTATTAAAACAAAAATTACATCAAAAGGATGCTGGTGGAGACAAGAAAATAGGAAGTAGGAACTCATTTTCCTTGGCCCAAGACATTTAAACAATACATGTATATATATTAATAGAATAAATAAAAGAAATGGGCATCCTGAAGGGAACTTTAAAATACATATACATGTAAAGCGTGTGAGTCCAAAAAAAGTTTACAGCTAGAAAATTGCTAATTATTTTAAAAATCATTTATGAACAGTAAATTATTATACATCTCATGAAAGAGTGTTTTATTCCAAATCGTTTGGTATCACTTTTGTGTGGTATGTGTTCACGCTTGGATGAACAGGAGGCATTGTTTGTGAAAGTGCAAAAATCGACTTGCGCCAAAGTGATGCCTACAGTATGTATTATGTTGGGATCAGCGGAGTGCGAGAATGAATTGAATGTATCAAATGAAATGCATCGAATTTGTTTTATGTAGGAAAGCAAAGTCACACGCACAGACACTAACAATGTTCGTAGATATTTTATATTCGATTTTTGATATGTGTGGCATGATTAATTTTGTTCAGGATGTTATGTTGATCTGTTATGACCGAAATAATACCCATATCGCAATTGTTTTATTCAAAGATCACATAAGCAACTTTGGCGCAAGTCGATTTTTGCACTCTCGCATACAATGCCTCCTGTTCATCCAAGCGTGAACACATACCACACAAAAATGATGCTAAATGATTCAGGATAAAACACTCTTTTATAGGATGAATAATAATTTACTGTTCACAGATGATTTTTAAAATAATTAGCAATTTTTTAGGTGTAAACTTTTTTTTGACTCACACTGTATACCCAACTGTTTTCCTGGGAGCTCGATCACCTGTTTACCAGTGAGATCGTGGTGAGCTCCCCCTTTTTCCTGTCAGCTCCCCCATTTTCCCAGAACTCGTGGCGAAATATCCCCCATTTTCCAGTGAGCTCGCCACCAGCTCCCCAGTTTACCCCCAAAGTTGTGGCGAGCTCCCCAATAAACCCCCGAGCGCACCAAAAGCTCCCAGTTTACCCCCGAGTTCGCCACGAGCTTCAGAGTTTAACCCCGAGCTCGCCACGAGCTCCCCAGTTTAACCTTGAGCTCGCCATGAACTCCCCCTTTTACCCACGAGCTCGCCATGAGCTCCCCCTTTTACCAACAAGCTCGCCACAAGCTCCCCATTTTATCCACGAGCTCTCTACAAGCTCCCCAGTTTACTCCCCAAGCTCACCATGAGGTCCCCCTTTTACCCGCGAGTTCGCCACGAGCTCGCCAAGATTTTGTAAGGTCGTTACTAGCGTCCTGGAAGCGTGTTACGAGCTTAAAGCCTAAAAACCAATCTTATTAAGCTTACTACGAGCATAATACGAGTTCGCGACGAACTTAAATTTCTATAGGGGTAGTTCTCAAAACACCCTCGTATTTATCACAAGGAATAGCTGAAAACTCTGGAGCTTGCATATGTGTGTTTACAGTCCCATACGTACTTCTCATTTCGCACAAGTCCATAAATACAGGTTCTCAAAAAAAAAATAATATCATGACTGGATTCATTTTGTTGTCCATCTTGTCATAGTATAACAGTAAAGTAGGAGCTATTGATCACTGTCCCAACTCTTTACCAGACAGGGCCTAGGTCTAACCTTTTCCATTTTATTGATATGAGCTAATGTATTTTGTTACAGGTACACCTCTTCCATGCGTCCAGTGTGATTCAGATTGGTCTTGTGTTTATGATTCTTGGATTTGTGATGGTGTTGCCGACTGTTACAATGGAGAAGACGAAGCTGATTGCAACGGTCAGTTCCATGCAAGCTCAAATGACAAAATAACAGAATCAAACAATTTAATTTTTAACTTTTGCATATGTTTTTACCATCAAAATATGACCTTCATAAATGGAAAAATTAAAAATTATTATGTATGTGAAGATTGGTATACCATTGAAACATCACAGCAAATTGTAACATGTTTGATATATTTTTTGGGGGGGCATTAAATATTAACATGAATGAGAATACTTTAATAATATGATATTTATAAGAACTATGTTAAACATATTGAAACATAAGCAAAGTTTAATGAAAGACAGATAAAAGCTTTGATATGCTAAGATAATTATTTTGTTTTACATGTATATATGTTAATATGGTGAATGTTTAAAATATGTGAATTAAAGTTCCCTTTTCCTGTTGTCATCATCATTATTATAATCACCACGATATACAAACCCTAACATGAGATTGTTATTGTTTTACATTTCCTATAACAGATTGTGGAGAAGACGAGTATCCATGTTTCTTTGATGATACTACATGTTTCAATGCAAGCGATGTATGTGATGGAATATATGACTGCCCTAGTGGTGCAGATGAATTTAACTGTACAGGTACTATTCCTCTTTAACTTTATATTCCCCTTCATTTTCCCCTTTATTTATCTTTTAATTTTATATGTATAATTTATTTGAATTATTTATTCATATACTTATTTATTATTTTTTTATTGTTACGTTTATTCCTTTATCAATTTATTTCTTTGTGTATTAATTTCATTTTACTTCATATTAATGTCATTATATTGAAGATACAGACTGGAATTTAAAATCACTATTTTCATGTAACAATTGGACCTTTTTTGCTGGGTTTCGTAATTTAAATATGTGTTGGCTCATTCAATATACTTACTGATCTGCTTTAAAACTTTTTTAGGAGTTGTACAAAAAATTACTGGTGCAAATTTGTGGAACAAAATCTGCTTTTTTAGACCTTTAGAAAATTATCAACTTCTACGGCTTTTTTGAATTGTTTTGCCTTTCTTTAATTAATTATTTTCACTGACTTGCCTGTTTTCTTCACTTTTCTTCTCTATCCTAAGGATGTCTTGCCTGTAGTGATACCTCTGATTGTCTAATCGGCCTGCAAGTCTGTAACTTCTATAATGATTGTCCAGGAGGAGAAGATGAAACAGAGGGTCTCTGCAACCACTCTCAATTTATCGGTAAGTTTCTAAATATTACAGGAGGGGGAGACAAAGCTTACTGTCTCTGTGAACACACTATGCAAATTTGCTAAAATATAAATCTGGCCTTTGGTCTAAATTCATATTATAACAAAGGAAGGGGCACCGTAAATGTTTTCATTGTGTTAAACGTGAATTTACACCGAGCATCAGGTAGCTTAACAGAAATTAGAAGAATTCCAAACACAGAGTTTATCATTCATACATGTGGGTCTATGATTATTTTTATGATCGTACACAATGGAAATATGAAGCTGCATACTGCTAGGTGCTTTACTTTAATTGCTCCGCACATGGACATAGATTGACAGAGCTATTCTCTGCTTAAGGCTATATAAATTGGTTTAAAGTGTCAAATCAGAGTCTGTGTCTGCAGACTACTTCAGTTCTGTATTTAAGGTTTAGCCTACATGTACATGTACATTAAGCTTGTATGCATGACCTAAATATAAAATGTTCTCATTCTTTCTCTCTATCTATTTGTTATACCCTAGACAATATTGAGATTAAGACTGGAGAGTGGCAGCTCTTTAGTGAAGGTTATGTATCAGAGAGGATTCTTGATGATCGTGATACACCAGCTAGTAACATCTATGATTTTACTCATTATGGCTTCAACTCAGATCCTGGAACCACGCTTTATATCGAGATACAGGTTACCCTTCATTCTTATAACACAAACCCAAGTAACCTAAACCTTAAACCTATCCCTTACCCTTGCCGTAATCATCATCACACTTAATCACAAGTTCATCCTCGTCCCCACTCTTGCCTTCACCTTAACCCCAAAAATCACCTTCACCCATTCCCTAACTCTCCTTGCCTTAACTCTCACCCTAACCTAGCTCACCCTAACCCTAGCCCTCTTCTTATCACTTACACTCACCCTTCTCCCTAACCCTCACCTAACCCTCGCCCTCAACTAATCCACGACTTCGCCCTTACCCTCCCCTCACCCTCACCCTCCCCTCCCCTCCCTCTAACCCTCAACCTCACATTTACCCTTACCCTCCCCTGACCCTCCCCTAACCCTGACCCTCGACCTCCCCTTAAACTCACCCCTAACCTTACCCTCCCCTTTTCCCCCTCTCTTACCCTCACCTTAAGCCTGAGCCTAACCCTCCCCTTACTCTCAGCCTCACCCTTACCTATCCCTTACCCTAACCCTCATCCTTACCCTTCCCTAACACTCACCATCCCCTAACCTCGCTCTAACCCTCACTGTAACCCTCTGCTTCACCCCCTGTATCCTTCACCCTTGCCCTCATCCTCATGCTCTCCATCATCCTCAGACTTAACGCTAACCTCACTCTAACCTTCACCCTCCCCTAACCTTCACCCTAACCCTTACCCTTACCCTCACCCTTACCCTCCCCTAGCTCTCATCCTCATCCTAGCCCTAAACCTAACCCTGCCCATTAACAATTACCTCAACCTCACCTCACCCTTACCCTCGCCCTAAAACTCACCCACCCCTTACCCTCCCCTCACCGTCCCCCTCACCCTTACCCTCACCCTCGCCCTAAACCTCACCCTCACCCACATCCTCTTCTCATCCTCCCCCAGCCTCAACTTTACTCTAACCCTCACCCTAACCCTCACCCTTTCTCTCCCTAACAAACTTATCCTTAAACCAACCCTCCCCCTAACACTCACCTTCCCCCTAACCCTAACCCTTACCCTCACCCTTACCCTCGCCCTAAACCTCACCCTCCCCCTATATCCCTCACCCTAACCCTCATCCTTACTCTCCCCTAACCCATCTGCCCCTTACCCTCAACCTTACTCTCACCCTCACCCTCGCCCTCAACCTCACCCTCGCAACCCTAGACCTCAACCTAGCTTTTTGTTAAGGAGAGACTTCTTGAAGATTGTGATAGCCGATCTTGTAACTTGCCCTCACCGTACCCTCACTCTTACCCTAACCCTCACCCTTACCCACACCTTTACCCTTATCCTAACCCTCACCTTTACCTTCACTCTCAGCCTTACTCTACCCTTCCCCTATCCCTCACTCTAAACCTCACCCTAACCCTCACTCTTAACCTCCCCATAACCACACCCTCCCCCTAACCCTCACTCTTACCCACACCTGTACCCTTATCCTAACCCTCACCTTTACCTTCACTCTCAGCCTTACTCTACCCTTCCCCTATCCCTCCCCCTAACCCTCACCCTAACCCTCACTGCAAAATAAAGCATCACACTGTCGAATGACCCTAGAAATGTGACGAGGTTTTTGCTTCTTTCAAGTTTCTATGAAAACACAAAACAATGCTTTTTCAGGCGCCTGTACTTCTTTAACCATATATCTTATTACAAAATGATGTGTATCAAAGTTGTATCAAACTTATTACCCTTATGATACTAAAAATCTCTCATATTTTCAATTTTATGAATGAACATTATTGTAAAATATATGATTGTTTCCTTTTGATCCTTTACGTTTCTGTTTCTCATTCGTTTACCATTGTTTCACATTTCATTTGCACTATTCCTATTTTTTCAAAAATCTTGAATGCAGAATTTGACAGTGTCTCTGTCTGGCTCTCTTGTACCCCTGGTTCGTATCTCCTTTGGATCTGGAGCCGACCCGACGGACCTTAATGCTACCCGAGCATATGTAGATGGATATGGGAATGCAGCAAGCATCAGCAACTCCTTGAACTTCTCCCTTACCAATAATACAGGCTTTCTTTTAATTGCCATTCCAAAAACTGTCATTGGCATCTTCAATATCATATTCAGAGTCACAGCTATCGGTAAGAAGCACTGTGTGCAGCAAGTCTGAATCAAGTGACTGGGTTATATACCCATCTATGTTCAGCTCTTTAATTGAAGCATAGTACATGTATATGTATTGAGGGGTTTATAAATTCAGAATCTCTTGTACAAATATTGTTTTTTTTATAACGTAGGACATGTTTTTCATTTTGATTAATTTAAAGGGAGATTGTCTTCAGTTTCCATGTGTACTATGTCAGAATTCGTTGACACCAGTCTTTGTGTAAACATATTAATGGCTGTACAAGTCTCGCTTACAGGAAATCCTTGGTCCAATCAAGAAATGACCGTCCCACTTCAGTCTCTTGAAGAGTCTTCAGTTGAGGGAAACTAATGATATTGACTTTTTCGATATGGGGGACTGGTGAAAAATGCAGAGTAATACATGAGGCCTGTAGGTCATAAAACTGAAGACTAAGCCTGGTGATTGACAACACCTGTCATTGCATAAACACCCAAATATTGTCAAATTCCCCATGTCATTTTCTTTTGATATATATAATTTAAAAATGATGTGAGCTGTTTGTAAATGGACTACCATTATTGTTGATTCTTCTGGAGAAGAATCACCAGTTCGTACAATAATTGAAGTTCAAATTGTTCATTGAAGTTTTCTGAAGTTTGAAGTTAAAAGTTGTATGAACAACAACAAAATATATGTACATCATGAAACAAAGTATGCAAGGCAAAACAATAAAATACAAACTGTACATAATGTACAAAACAATGAATTACTGCAAAAGCTTAATTAATGCCCACATAAAACACATTTATACGAAAGTTAGCACAAGTGCTAGTCGAGATCGGTTTTCTCTGTTCACTATATATTGATAGTGTATCTCTTCATTACTATAGCATTCTTTCGGACCAGTTCTGAAGAAGAAAAAATGTGTTTATGTTTATGACATGATACTAACTGTTTTCTTAATCAGAAATGTCTTACCGGTAAATGTTCCAAATGTCAAGCATAACTTTTTTTTAAATATGGCCAAAGTTCCTTTCAGAAATATTCCACAAGAAAACGACTATCGGTATATGAGCCTCAGTTCTTTTCAGCACTGGCTCTTATCCACAAAAGAACCAACAGTCATTTTAAGGACTAACACACTGATATATGATCTTCTCATCATGAAAATATTCAAAGAACGCCTTCTTTCCTTTTGCAGAATGTGTGAGCCCCGAAGTAGCATGTAATGGCTCCCCTCACTGCTACAACTTGTTTGATGATATATGTGATGAAGAAATCCAATGTCTGGATAGCCAGGAGGATGAGTACGGTTGTGAAGGTAAGATACTGAAAAGGAGGAGGAGGAGGAGAAGGATTGATTAATGTGATATGGAGAAATCCAATGTCTGGATAGCAGGGAAGATGAGTTTGGGTGTGAAGGTAAGATACTGAAGAGGAGGAATAGGAGAAGGAGGAATGATAAATGTGATATGGAGAAATCAAATAGCTGGATATCAGGGAAGACGTGTTAAGCTTGGGCGTGATGGTGAAATGTAGTTGAGTGGTTTAAACATTTGACTTTAGATGCGAAGGTAATGGAATCAATCCCTGGCACTGCAGCAGTTGATGGCATATGGCTTTATGTAAAAAATTGTTTGATTGTTTCCAGGGGATATCAATATGCTGCCCACAACTTTTCTGAGGATGATGGCAGCATTTTTAAGGTTGAATGTTGCTTCACTCCTTTCTGAAAGATTTTAGCTTGTTTAATTTTTAATGTTAGAACTCTTTTATTTTCAAGGCTGCAACATGCATTCTAAGGTTGAATAATGCAACACTCTGTTAAATGTCCCAACATTCGTGCTTCAGGGTTTCAACACTCCTATTTTCCTAGTTTGCAACGTAAAATGCAGCAAAATTTGAAAAATCAGGGATTTTGTATATCAACTACCGAAACAATTGTAATTCATAGCGACATGTATGTACCCTTATTTTTTGCACACACTTGTGAATTTTAGTTAAAATAGCATTAACTGTATAAAGTGCATTGTATGTTATCTTCTTGTAAAACTTTATTCCAGCAACCCCCCCAGCAAACTCCACCTGCTATGATTGTGAGTCTTCCTTTCCGTGTGTTGAAGATCCAGAATGGATTTGCGATGGATACAGTGATTGCTATAACGGAGAGGATGAGATGAACTGCACGGGTAAGATTGAAGTTGTTTAATATCACAGTACTATTTTGTAAATTTAGTGTTGCATCACTCTTTTGCTCAATGTGGCAACACTATTATGTAGAAGGTCACAGCTCACTTATTTTGAATGTTGCAACTCTCTTGTTTTGAAGCTGCAACACTTTTCTGTGGAAGATGGCAACAATTTTAGCGTACTGGATTTCAAATGCCTCCGCACGGGCAACTCCAGTGGTGTCAGGGCGTTCGATCGTACAATGCAATTTAAGCTGAGCAATAACTGGACTGCAATAATGCAGTACCTGTATGGGCGGCATGGCGCTTGCTAAACATATTTACATCCTTCAATGTTTTATTGAGCCATGCAATTTTCTTTTATTTCTTTTCTGAATGTGATGTGAATTTGAACACGGTACATGTTATTACAGAAGTATATACAAGGAATGATATAGATGGAAGGGATATAAAACAAATAAACAATGACTCATTTTTGGAACAAGCTAAAAATATTCGCACTGAGGAACATCATCAGTACTATTGATGTTCCTTCGATGCGAATAGTTTCAGCTAGATCCTCAAGTGTATTTGTACAATATGAAGCCCGTCATTCTTATTTGCAAGAATTGGCATGTTATATATTTTACTTGATAAATTATCGAATCATTTCTCTTGCGACAGTGAATTGCTTTGAGTGCCAAACGCATCCTTTCTATGGTAACTGCATTGGGTGGGACTCTGTCTGTGACGGCGAGATTGATTGCTTCAATGGCACTGATGAAGTAGATTGTGATGGTGAGTTTAGAAACAAAGTGAATTTCAACCCTGTGAAATTTTGTACAGATGTGCAAAGATGAATGATACTTTGTTAACTTTTTCATTCTTTTTATATCAATTTGAAAGACTAGTAAAAAGGTCCCATGAAAAGCATAGTTTTTAAAATCACCCTCGTTTTCATCACAAGGAATAGCTAAAAACTCTGGAGCTTGCATATGTGTGTTTACAGTCCCATACGTACTTCACATTTCGCACAAGTCCATAAATACAGGTTCTCAACAAAAAAAGTAATATCATGACTGGATTCATTTTGTGTATCTATCCTGTCATAGTGTAACAGTAATGTGTAAACAGTAAAGATCGAGCTATTGATTGCAGTTGCAACTCTTTACCAGACAAGGCCTAGGTCTAACCTTTTTTATTTTATTGATATGTGCTAATGTGTTTTGATACAGGTACACCTCTTCCATGCTTCCAGTGTGATTCAGATTGGCCTTGTGTTCCTGAGGCTTGGGTTTGTGATGGTTTTGGGGACTGTTACAATGGAGTAGACGAAGCTGGTTGCAACGGTAAGTTCAAAGCTCAAATGACAAAATAACAGAATTACACAATTTAACTTTAAACTTTTGCATATGTTTTTATCGTCAAAATATGACCTTCGTAAATGGAAAATTAAAAAATTGTATGTATGTGAAGATTGGTACACCATTGAAACATCACAGCAAATGATGCTAGAGTGTAAAAAGATAATTGTGTTTTAAATTTTTTAAACATGTTTGATATATTTTGTGGGGGGGGGGCATTAGATATTTAACATGAATGAGAAGACTTTAATAAATGGATATGATAAAGGCATGTTAGTTAATTTCTCGGTAATCATATTGATTAGTTTTGGTGAATATGTTATAGATAAGAACTACGTTAAACAGTTTAAAACAAAAGTAAAGAAACAAAACCAGGTAAAAGCTCTGTTTAATATCGTAAGATAATTATTTTGTTTTACATGTATATATGTTATAGTGAATGTTTAAAATATTTGAATTCAAGTTCCCTTTTCCTGTTGTCATCATCATCATCATCATCATCATTATAATCGCCACCACAAACAGACCCTAAAATGACATCGTTATTGTTTTACATTTCCTTTAACAGATTGTGGGGAAGACGAGTATCTGTGTTTCTTTGATGATACTACATGTTTCAATGCAAGCGATGTATGTGATGGAATATATGACTGCCCTAGTGGTGCAGATGAATTTAACTGTACAGGTAAGATACCTCTTTAAATTTATATTCCCTCCATTTTACTCTTTATTTATATTCTCATTTTATATGTATAATTTACAATAGTTCATTTCAGGACTGTAGGCCCTCTCAATGCGCTCTGCAGATATATATTATTACCCCGGTCATCGGATTCAGGCTTACCCGCACACAATGTATGCACATTATCCACTCCCTGGGGAGCATTCTAGCCAGTCGCCATTTTACAAGCGCCACTTGCTCATCCAACCACATTAACTTTCGCATCCTACCAGGTACCCATTTGACACCTGGTTGGAGAGTGGCAAATGTAGATTAAGGTCTTGCCAAAGGACATTAGTACCGCGGCGGGACTCGAACCCATACCTTGTGATCTACAGTAGGGTGACTTATCCACTAGTCCACAACAATTCTATTTATTCACATATTTATTTATTATTTCTCTTTTTTTATTGTTACGTTTATTCATTTATCAATTTATTTATTCATGCATTCATTCCATTTTACTTCGTATCAATGTCATTAAATTGACAATACAGACGGTAATTCAAAATCACTATTTTCATGTAACAATTGGACATTCATTGCTGTGTTTCGTAATTTCAATATGTGTCGGTTCATTCAATATACTTATTGATCTGCTTTAAACTTTTTTTAGGAGTTATACAAAAAATTACTAGTGCAAATTTGAGGAACAAAATCTGTTTCTTTAGACCTTTAGAAAATTATCAACTTCTATGGCTTTTTTGAATTGTTTTGCCTTCCTTTAATTAATTACTTTCACTGACTTGCCTATTTTCTTCACTTTTCTTCTCTATCCTAAGGATGTCTTGCCTGTAGTAATACCTCAACATGTCTGATTGGCCTGCAAGTCTGTAACTTCTACAATGATTGTCCAGGAGGAGAGGATGAAACAGAGGGTCTCTGCAACCACTCTCAATTTATTGGTAAGTTTCTAACAGAAGGGGGAGACAAAGCTTACTGTCTCTGTGGGGAACACGCTATCCAAATTTGCTAAAATATAAATCTGGCCTTTGGTCTAATTTCATATTGTAACAAGGAAGGGACACCGTAAATGTTTGCATTGTGTTAAACGTGAATTTAGGCCGAGCATCAGTTTAAAAGATTTTAGATGAATTCCAACTACAGAGTTTATTATTCATACATATAGGTCTATGATTATTTTTATGATCGTATACAATGGAAATATGAACCTGCATACTGCTAGGCGCTTTACTTTAATTGCTCCGGACATGGACAGAGATTGACAGAGCTATTCTCTGCTTAAGGCTATATAAATTGGTTTAAAGTGTCAAATCAGAGTCTGTGTCTGCAGACTACTTCAGTTCTGTATTTAATGTTTAGCCTACATGTATATTAAGCTTGTATGCATGACCTAAATATAACATTTTCTCATTCTTTCTCACTGTCTTTTTGTTATACCCTAGAAAATGTTGACATTCAGACTGGAGAGTGGCAGCTCTTTAGTGAAGGATATGTATCAGAGAGGATTCTTGATGATCGTGATACACCAGCTAGTAACATCTATGATTTTACTCATTATGGCTTCAACTCAGATCCTGGAACCACGCTATATATCGAGATACAGGTTACCCTTCATTCTTATAACCCAAACCCAAGTAACCTAAACCTTAAACCTATCCCTTTCTCTCGCCCTAATCATCATCACCCTTACTGTCAAGTTCATCCTCGTCCCCACTCTTGCCTTCACCATAACCAAAACAATCACCTTCACCCATTCCCTAACTCTTCTTGCTTTAACCCTCACCCTAACCCTCACCCTAACCCTAGCCCTCTTCTTAACCCTAACCCTCACCCTTCCCCCTAACCCTCACCCTCCCCTAACCCTCGCCCTCAACTAATCCTCAGCCTCGCCCTTACCCTCCCCTAACTCTCATCCTCACCCTCCCCTCCCTCAAACCCTCGACCTCACATTTACCCTTAACCTCCTCTGACCATCCCCTAACCCTGACCCTCGACCTCCCCTGAAACTCACCCCTAACCTTACCCTCCCCTTATCTCCCTCTCTAATCCTTACCTTAAGCCTGAGCCTAACCCTCCCCCTTACCCTCAGCCTCACCCTTACCCTTACCTATCCCTCATCCTTACCCTTCCCTAACACTCACCCTCCCCTTACCTCACTCTAACTCTCACTGTAACCCTCTGCTTCACCCCCCCCCCCCCTCTCCATATCTCTCACCCTTGCCCTCACCCTCATGCTCTCCATCATCCTCCGACTTTATGCAAGGGTCACTCTGTGGCCTGGACCCACCCTCCTCAGGTCATCACCTTTCTTCACCTGAGCCAATTATTTGTAACCTCAGGGTTTCACCATCACTTCATGTGCTTTACAAAAAACAAAGGCAAAGCATCACTCTTATCAGCAAATGTGTTAGTCCAGGCTTCACCCTTTGAATTATTTGCATAGGTGATGCTTCACTTTTGTCAGTTTTACATAGGTGAGGCTTCACTTGTGTCAGTTTTCCATAGGTGAGGCTTCACTTTTGTAAGTTTTCGGCCGGTCTGAAGCTTCACCACTGTTTCACCATACTGACCATTTGCATAGTTCAAGCTTCACCACTGTTTCACCTAAGCCTGAGTCATTACGGTTTTTGTGCTAAACGGTTAACCGTTAAAAGTATACGGGCGGTTTCGTTTAACCGTTTAATAATAATCTGAAAAAGTGAAAATACAGTATTTTTAATAGTGCTGTAGCTCGGAACCCTGCTGGTCTTCAGACTGTCGGGCTGAGCATTCCCAGCCCCGGACTATGGCACAAATTGGGTCATCCTGATAAACAGAGACCAGTAATAAACAACATAAAACATGTCTTATTATTCCTCATCTGAATTTGATATCATGATTAACCTTGCAAAGTTACTCTGTGAAGATAGCTGATCTGTGACGTGTTTATATATGCCTTTGCAATGCAATGTTTGCACATGGTCAGGGAGAGAGCTCCCTGCATGTATCATTGCCATATGAAATTATGTGGAAGTGTGTATCACACACACCCAAGACACACCCTGCAATGAGCTGATCCAAGTTAGTGACCAATCAGGAAGGTTCTCTAGCTATGTGGGTGGAGTTTGATACCAGCATAAATTACAGGTTGGTGACCGCGCGTGCTTTCACCGTACCCAGTTCAGTGGGAGGTCAAGAAGCCACGCCCACATGTGTGCATGTGACCATAGACCTAGGTCTATGATGTGACAAGCATGAGCTCTCCATCTGTGTGTATGTACAGTGTATTTGGGCGCCGGAGGTTTGTGTGTACATGTGTGTGTGACTGAGAGAGCATGCATATGGGCTAGCATGTCCCTGCATGTCCCTAGCATGGACGAGGCAGGGACATGAGTGAAGATCGAAGTAAGAAAGGGTGGCTGTGTAAATCGGCTGAATTGAAGAATGATCAAAAACTTAAATTACTCACAAATAATATCCAAGACTTTGTTGATTGATATTTCTAAAACTTCAATTATTATTGTTATCAATATTTTTGTATTTTATTTATATATGAACATTATTTTAGGGGGCGAGTCGGCAAGGGATGGATATTAATATTGAAAGAGAGAGAGAGAGAGACTCGGGGGAGAAGGGATGTGAGAGGAACTGACCATCGAATGTGTAAACATTTAGAAAGTTGTGAGCTGAGAGTGCAGTAATAAGAAAAGGTACATGAGCGATGAACACATTGCAGAGAGAAGGGAATAAAGAGGGTGAGAAAAGAGAGAAGGGGGCTGGTTGTTTTATTGTTTACAAATTCATTCATGGGGATAACTGCTGCCAGAAAGCTAGCGCGCAGTGGCCAGGGTGTAATATTACACTGCGGTTTCTTTGATTATCTTTATCATCGGCTATTAGCACATTCCAAAATGTATGCAAATAACGGTTAACCGGAGCGAGAAATGCTAAACGGTTTTGATAAATCATGCGAGTGCATGAGTGACCGGAATAAAAATTAAATAGTTGTTTTGAAACGCACGATTTCGACATGATTTCAACATATTTTCGACGCGACCGGTAGTGGCTTCGATGTCACATCACCTGAACAAACAAGGCGACCGATTGGATTCGATGTCACATCACCAGAAAAAACAAATTACTCGTCAAAGCTATTTCATCAATTTGTATAGTAAAGCTTCACCCAATGAAGAAAAACGAACGTTAGGACTTCACTACAACAACAAATAGGTCAGGGTCAGGCTTAGGCGTCGAGTCGACGTCGATATTTGGCGACCTCTGAGGAGGGTGGGTCCAGGCCACAGAGTGACCCTTGCATTAGCTAACCTCCACCTCGCCCTAATCTTCACCCTCCCCCTTACCCTCCCCTAAAACTCACCTCCCACCTAACCCTGACCCTCGACCTCCCCTTAAACTCACCCCTAACCTTACCCTCCCCTTATCCCCCTCTCTAACCCTCACCTTAAGCCTCAGCCTAACCCTCCCCCTTACCCTCACCCTCCCCCTTACCCTCACCCTCCCCCTTACCCTCACCCTAACCCTCCCCCTTACACTCAGCCTCATCCTCACCCTCCCCCTATCCCTCACCCTATCCCTCATCCTTACTCTTCCCTAACACTCACCCTCCCCTAACCTCACTCTAACTGTAACCCTCTGCTTCACCCCCCCCCCCTCTCCATATCTCTCACCCTTGCCCTCACCCTGATGCTCTCCATCATCCTCCGACTTTAGCTAACCTCACCCTCGCCCTAATCTTCACCCTCCCCTTAAAACTCACCTCCCCCTAACCCTCACCCTAATTATCAACCTTACCCTCACTGCAAAATAAAACATCACACTGTCAAATGACCCTGGAAATGTGACAAGAGGCTTTTGCTTCTTTTAAGTTTCTATGAAAACACAAAATAATGCTTTTTCAAGCGCATGTACTTCTTTAACCATATGTCTTATCACAAAATAACGTGCATCAAAGTTGTATCAAACTTATTACCCTTATGATACTGAAAATTCCTCATATATTCAATTTTATGAATGAAAATTATTGTAAAATATATGATCCTCTACGTTTCTGTTTCTCCTTTGTTTACCATTGTTTCACATTTCATTTGCACTATTCCTCTTATTATATTGAATCTTGAATGCAGAATTTGACAGTGTCTCTAGATCTGTCTGGCCTTCTTTTATCTCTGGTTCGTATCTCCTTTGGATCTGGAGCCGACCCGACAGACATTAATGCAACCCGAGGATATGTAGATGGATATGGGAATGTAGGAAGCATCAGTGAATCCATGAACTTCTCCCTTACCAATAATACAGGCTTTCTTTTAATTGCCATTCCAAAAACTGTCGCTGGCATCTTCAATATCATATTCAGAGTCACAGCTATCGGTAAGAAGCACTCTGTGCAGCAAGTCTGAATCAAGTGACTGGGTCTTTAATTGTACACCTTGCATTGAATTCACTACCTTAGCACCATTTTCTCTTTAAATCTTAACAATGTTACCAAGTCCCTTTAAGGCACAGGTGTCTCTTACATGAATCTACTGAATATCCTTTCCTTTTGATATATATGATTTATGTTATACATGATGTGAGGTATTTCTTAAAGGAAATTTGGTGATTCTTCTGTAGAAGAGAACAAGTTTTTAAAAAATAACATAAGTTCAAATTGTTCATTGAGTTTGTTTGTGGACTAGTTCTGAAAAAAAACATTTTTTTGTTCAACGTTTATTACACGATAATGTATTCTTCATAAGGAGTGTCTGAAACATTTAAAATGTTACGCAAAACTTCTTTTAATTGAAATATGGCCAGATAGTTCATTTCAGAAATATCTAAAAAGTAAACAGCGATTTTGAAATTTTTGTTTTTTCTGCACTGGCTCTCCACAAAAGAACCAAGGAGTCATTATAAGGACTAACCCTCATGGTGTTACATTCAAACTTATGTATAATAATAATGATAATAATACTCAGTTTTTATATAGCGCTTATTACAATCACTAAGCGCTTCCAAACTTGGAGATTATTACCCTGGCTTTAGCTGAGCTGCCATTACGGCGCTTTAGCATTTCAAAGAATTAATTCCTGCCAGATACCCATTTACATCACCTGGGTTGAGTGTGGCAAATGTAGATCAATGTCTTGCCAAAGGACATTAGTGCCACAGCCGGTCTCGACCACGGCACCTGTATAATCTTCTCATCATGAACATTTTCAACGAACACCCTCTTTCCTTTTGCAGAATGCGTGGGCCCTGAGGTGGCATGTAATGGCTCCCCTCACTGCTATGACTGGTTCTATGATACATGCGATGGAGAAATCCAATGTCTGGATAGCGGGGAAGATGAGTACGGGTGTGAAGGTAAGATGTAGTTGAGTGGTTTAAACAATTGACTTTAGATGCAGAAGTCATTGAGTCGAGCCCTGGCACTGCAGCAGTTGATGCCCTAATCTTCTTCTTATCAAGTCACTACACAAGTCCCTAATGATTACAATGTACAAAATGTTTGATTGTTTCAAGGGGGGATATCAATATGCGGCCCACAATTTTGTTGTGGAAGATGGCAGCAATGTTAGGTTGAATGTTGCTTTACTCCTTTCTAAAAGATTTTAGCTTGCTTAATTTTTGATGTTGGAACTCTCTAATTGTCAAAGCTGCATCATGCACTCTTAGGTTGACTATTGCAATACTCATCTGTTAAATGGTGCAACATTTCTGTTGAAGATGTCAACATTCTTGCACTGAGTGTTTTTGGTATATCAACTACCAAATCAATTGTAATTCATTGCGACATGTATGTACTCTTCTTTCTTCCAAGCATGCACTTGTGTCTTTTAGTTAAACTGGCATTAGCTAAACTGCATTATATGTGATATTTTTTAAAAACTTATTCCAGCAACCCCACCAGGAAACTACTCCTGCTTTGAATGCGAATCTAAATATGAATGTGTTTATGATCCATACTGGGTTTGCGATGGAAAAAGTGATTGCAATAACGGAGAGGATGAGATGAACTGCACAGGTAAGATTGAAGTTATTTAATATCACAGTACTATTTCGTAAATTGAATGTTGCATCACTCTTTTGCTCAATGTGGCAACACTACTAAGGTCATAGCTCACTTATTTTGAATGTTGCAACTCTCTTCTTTTGAAGCTGCAAACACTTTTCTGTGGAAGATGGCAACAATGTTAGATTGAATGTTGCTTCACTTTCTTGTGAAAGATTTATTCATGTTGCAACTCTCTTATTTTCAAAGCTGCAACATGCACTCTATTATGTTGAAGGTTGCAATACTCATCTATAAAATGGTGCAACATGTCTATTTAAGATGGCAACATTGTTACGTTGAGTGTGGCAACATCCGTATGTTTTTAAGTTCACAACACTCATATTTTCAAGTTTGCAATGTAGAATGCTGCAAAATTATAAAAAAAAAAATTTTACATTGACTACCACTAAAATTATTAATCAATGTAAAATGTATGTACTTTATTTAGTGAGACAATAAATAATCATTAACATGTTGACATTTCAACTTATTTTTAGCTTTTAGTGCCAAGACAAAATGATTTAATTCACCAGAAAATTGTATTCAAGGTCGCTCTTATTCTAGTGATATTAATATTTGGGGGGAAATATCAAATATAAGGTAATATGAAGCCCCACTCCTCATTTGCAAGAGTTGACATATACAGTAGGCTTGCGGGTGCACCATGTGAGAGAGAGAGAGGATTGAGGAGTCCTGACATGTTGTAGATTTTATTTGATATATTATTGAATCAATTCTCTTGTGACAGCATCTTGCTTTGAGTGTCAAACACATCCTGATGAAAATAACTGCATTGATTTTGACTGGGTCTGTGACAAGGAGATTGATTGCTTTGATGGCTCTGACGAATCAGATTGTGATGGTGAGTTTAGAAACAAAGTCAATTTCAACCCTATGAGTACTTGTCAAGATTTGTAAAGATGAATGATAATTTGTAATCTTTTTAATTCTTTTTTTACATCAATTTGAAAGACTAGTAGAAAGGTCCCATTAAAAGCATAGTGCTTGAAACACTGTCGTATTCATTACAAGGAATAGTTTAAAGGTGTACAGTGTGCACGTTTGTGTTTGCAGTCCCATATGTACTCCACATTTTTCACAAGTCCATAAATATAGGTTCTCAAAAAAAAAGAAAAGTAAAGAGCTAGTGATTTCAGTCAATCACAACTCTTACCAGACCTATTTCATATTATTGATATAAGTTTTTTTTTTTTACAGTTTCACCTCTTCCATGCATCTCGTGTGAGTCAGCTTATCCTTGTGTTCCTGTGTCTTGGGTTTGTGATCGTGATGTAGACTGTTACAATGGACAAGATGAACTTAACTGCGATTGTGAGTTGAAAGTTTTAAAAAAAATCAAATCCTGCAGATTGCCTAAGAAACGACAAAGGCAGAACAAATCAAAGAAACACTGCAACTAGACAAAGTGAAATAAAGGCACAGTGTGCTTCACATTTCTTTTTCTTTACAATGGATGGATTTTATTAATTACGTTTACAATTGTACTGTGTAATGTATGAATGATGCTGTAGGTTGCCCCAAATCACTAGTCAAGCAACTTAATATGGTTTCCACTTTCTCTGTAAAAGGATGTACCTGTAAGCTTCTCAGTTATGAATTGTTTACTCTTGCTTCAAATGACTAAAATAGTCTCATCAGCAATCATGAAGGTTCATCATCATCATTTTAATTATGAAGTCAGCAATTTCCCTGGTACGACGGGCTCACTGACTTCCGCGCCATGATGACACTCCCTCCCTTTACTCTACTTGTCTTGAGCATCCTCCTAATTAGACGAACCTTACTGCTTTCTTTCTCTACCATATCTTTCCATTAAATCTCAATACACTTCTCTTTAGTTGGACTTAAATATGACAGGCTGCATGTTCATGCCACTGGTTGCTCTCACTATTGGTCTCTCAATTATGATCTAAAGATTATATTTTTTCCTTCAATAATGAACTATCAAAAAAGGTAAATTCTGTAGATTTGTGACAACGATTTATACGTCTCTTGAGAGACCAATGCCAGTAAATGGTGAGAGCAAACAGTGGCATGAACGACATACCATATTTAAATCCAACTTAAAGTCGATCTTATTCTTTGTGAAACACCCCCCCCCCCCTGGAGTCACAGCTTTTACATCCTAGGACCAATGTGTTTATAGGCTTGCTTGCAGTGTATATGTAGATGCACATATACGTATCGTCTATTTGGAGCCAAAAGGTTGTTAACTCACATCTTAACCCTATTTAGCCTGGGCTATTTTGAAACTGCATAGCCCGGGGCCCCCCCCCCCCCCCCCCTATGATCTCGGCCGTGAAACGCCCGATTGCCGCGAAAATTTGCATACATGTCAAGTGAAGTGTAAAGAATACTATTGTAATTTCAATTTTTGGAAAAATTCACTCATTTGCAAATTTATGGTAATTTATGCAAATAAGGTCATACAATTCACATTTTTACCCATAAATCAGACATTATTCATATTTAAGCATTCTTTCTCACTACATATATTTGTTAGACCATTTGGAATAATAATACAACACAAACAATTGAAAAACCAGGGTTATTCCTTATGTTATCTATTGTTTTGATAATTTCTTATGTATTTCTTTGTTTTTTTAACTTATGTATTTTATTGTTTTTGTTGTTTTATTTCATTTCCAACTATAATTCAACTATTTTGACCCAAAAATAAACACCTAAACTATAAACAAGACCAAATAACCAATGTTTTATCTCTTTATTTGAAAAATGAGATTTCCATATGTTTTGTACACAAATCACAAAAATGAACGATTTTCGGGCTGACATGCAAAGACAAAAGGACACGTGACTTCGTGATGGTAGGTCCAATTTTCGAAAAATTTCTTTCAAAAGATGCGCAAGACTTGAAAGAAAAAAGTCACAAAATTTCAGTGCAAGGTTTTTCTTGCGTTTAAAAATTATCGCGAAAAATGACGAGGGGGGGGCTTCTAAAGCCCCCCCCCCCCCCCCCCCCCCCGGGCTAAATAGGGTTAAGCACAGAGTTAATGCTCTTCTGGCTCTAAACGGATGACATGCACATGATGTACATGTACATACACATCAAATGTCAATACACTTTGGAGGGCTACTGACCATACCCCTTATATATATGTTCGCATGTTATTTTAGTTAATTATATGTTAATTGTACATCTATGCATTTTTTTTCTTCCTTTTCTTTCCCAACCGCCTTCTCATTTCTCTATGTATCTCATTCTAATTCTATCCCTCTGTGCCTCAGAATAGTTTACTAGATCGATGGCGCATAATAAATGCTGTATTATTATTATTATTATTATTCATTCTTTTAATTGTTTGTTGATTGTTTTTTTACAGCTGGTAATTCAAGCTGCTTCTTTTGTGAGAACTCTGGAGACTGTGTACCATGGGATTATGTTTGTGATGGTGACTATGATTGCTATGACACATCAGATGAAAAGAATTGCAACAGTGAGTTCAAACAATATATTCATGTACCATATGAACTAACTTACTGTTTAAAGACAATATTCCAGACTAAACAGATGCTTTCAGAAATATTCAAACAGGAAAGTCTTTTTTAATGTATCTTTTCACAACCAACACATAATTAAACAGAAATGGACACCATGTATGCAGTTTGCTCTTACTACTCATGCAACCAGTATATTTGTAGGGCTCCAAACCAAAGGCAATTATTTCGCAAATGAAGTGATGCATCTGTGGCCCATACCTCCAACATATCCTCATTCGACAGTCACTCCCTTCTTTACATGAATTTCATAACAGAAATTGCATTACAATTATAGTTACAATTAGGTTTAAGGTTAGGCTTTGAGTCAGGGTTCGACCTAATGTTTAGCCTAGGGTTGAGGTTGTGAATTTAGTTAGTGTTGGACTTTGATCAAGCGTGGAGCAATTTGCAGGAGCATGTGTTGTACATTTGATTGAAGCAACTTGATATGTTTTGGTGGATCCGGGCTATCTCGGACCCAGGGACAACTCTGCCCCACTGCAAAAAACCGGGTCCGAGTTTGCCCGACTCCTGCTCTATTTAGCTATTCTTCTGTCAGCCTGATTTATTGCAAAGTAGTAACTGTACACCACCTGTTGATTTACATCATCCCTAATAATTGAAACATAACCTTCATGAAACAGTTTGATATCAGATTTTGTAATAATCATTTGTACATCTACATTTGTGTTCCATTAGCAACTTCCGATCCAGAGTGCTTTCCATGTTACTCAGACAGATGTGTACAGCTTGAATGGGTTTGTGATGGTGAGGCAGATTGCCGTGATGGATCAGATGAACGAGAATGCGATTGTAAGTAGCTTCTTTTTTCCCCCCCTTTTTTGTCTTTTTCTTGTGGGGGGGGGGGGGGGGGTTGAAGTAATTAGTATTGGCCTCAAATGAAACATGTGCCTATTCCCCCTCCCCTATCCACCAGACACCCCATTACTGCTTGTGAGAACTTATTAAATTCATAAACTTGAATAAATTCACCAATCAAATACCAGGTACATCTCGCTGTGAGAAGTTCAGGATTCTTTGATTCATGTATTCAATTGACTCACTTTATCTTTCACAGCAACGGGACTCCCCTGTTTTGAGTGTGCAACAGATGCGTATCAGTGTGTTCATCTGGACTATGTATGTGATGAAGGGACTGACTGTGATGACGGGTCAGATGAATGGAACTGCAGTAAGCTTGAACTATATACTTTTCCTATCATTTGTGACCCAGCACCACAAAACCACCAACAAGTCGCCAGCAATTAACATTTTAGTTTCTATCTTTTTCTAAAAGAGGAGATGGTCAGCTTTTACCATCCCTAGGCAGTCATTTCACATTTGTGTTTTACCTGGTTACCTTAGTAGATTTAGAGCAATACAAATATTGTAAACTTATGCACGTACTGGCATTGCACACTTTTGTTGCATGTCCATATTACATTTGATACCATTGTTTTTTTTTCATAGACAAACTTTAAAGTTCTTAAACTGGCAACACATTGATAGATCCCAAATCACAGCGTTTCAATCAAAATTGGTAGTAGGCGGGTATAACAAACTTTTGGATATGGTTTATGAAGGTGTATATTTTTACAGAGAGAGGAAATTTCATCAGAACTTTAACTCTGAAATAAAAACATACATACATTTCTGTAATTGTTGCTAATTTAAAGAACAAAATGTATTCAATTCAGCCATTCATAATTTTTTTGTCATGGAAGGATTGAAAAGACTTTCATCAGAATTATATCTTACTAGCCCACAGCAGAAAGCTGTAGTGTAATATTTCATAAAAGATTCATTAGTTTTTTAGTTTATTGAAGAGATACCTACCTGCAAGGTGCATGTGTCTGGGAAGGGATTATCACATTATCTTAAAACTTGGCAAACTATTTAGGCACTTGCTATTCATTACCTCTATCAAAATGAAAATTAGTCGATAGTAAGATGAAGAGTTTTGTTTGCTGTATCATTGAATGAATAAAAGGCATACATGTATGTCATACAGGACATATTGCACAGAGTCTCTCCAAAACACCTGTTCACACTTGCAAAGAAAAGGAACCAAATTTTCATTTGATTTGATTTCTGTTATTCATTATTTATTCAGATTCTGTAACCTTTAACCTAAATCAGTGCTTCAAAATAATTTAATTCACAGGAAAATTGTGTTCAAACAATGTTGCTCTTATTCCAGGGATATTAATATTTTGGGGAAAATATCAAATATCAGATAATATAAAGCCCCTCATCCTCACTTTCAAGAATTGACATGTAATATATTTTACTTGATATATTATTGAATCCATTCTCTTGTGACAGCGTATTGCTTCGAGTGCCCATCACATCCTGACTATAATAACTGCCTTAAGTGGGATTTTGTCTGTGATGGCGAGATTGATTGCTTCGATGGCACCGATGAATTAGATTGTGATGGTGAGTTTAGAAACATAGTGAATTTCAACCCTGTGAAATCTTGTACAGGTTTGTAAAGATGAATGATAATTTGTAAACTTTTAATTCTTTTTATATCAATTCGAAAGACTTGTAGAAAGGTCCCGTGAAAAGGATAGTTCTTGAAACACCCTTGTTTTCATTACAAGAAAAGCTATGTGTGTTTGCAGTCCCATACGGACTTCACATTTCTCACAAGTCCATAATTACAGGTTCTCCAAAAAAACAAAAGTTTATATATCATGACTGTTTTTTTTTGTGTATCTATCTTGTCATAGAATTACATTATTTGGTACACAGGATAAGAGCTATCGATTTCAGTCAATCACAACTCTTTACCAGACAGGGCCTAGGTCTAACCTTGTCCATTTTATTGATATGAGCTCATGTGTTTTGTTATAGCCTCACCCCTTCCATGCGTCCAGTGTGATTCACCTTGGCCTTGTGTTCCTGAGTCGTGGGTTTGTGATGGTGGGGCGGACTGTTACAATGGAGAAGACGAAGCTGGTTGCAACGGTGAGTTAAAAGCTCAAATGACAAAATAACAGAATCAAACAATTTGATTTAAAACTTTTTGAATACGTTTTTACCATCAGAATATGACCTTCATGAATGGAAAATTAAAAATTATTACGTATGTAAAGATTGTAATACCCTTGAAACATCACAGCATAATTATGATGCTAGAGTGTAAAAAGATAATTATGTTTTGAAAATTGTAACATGTTTGATATATTCTTTAGGGGTATTAAATATGAACATGAATGAGAAGACTTTATTAATTGGATATGATAAAGGCAAGTTAGATAATTACTCAGTAATCATTTTGATTAGTTTTGGTGAATATGTTATTTATAAGAACTACGTTGAACAGTTTAAAACAAAAGTAAAGAAACAAAAACAGGTAAAAGCTTTGTTTGATATGCTAAGATAATTATTTTGTTTTTATATGTTATATTGCATGTTTAAGATATGTGAATTAAAGTTCCCTTTTCCATCATCATCATTGTAATCGCCACCATAAACAGACCCTAAAATGAGATTGTTATTGTTTTACATTTCCTTTAACAGATTGTGGAGAAGACGAGTATCCGTGTTTCTTTGATGATACTACATGTTTCAATGCAAGCGATGTATGTGATGGAATATATGACTGCCCTAGTGGTGCAGATGAATTTAACTGTACAGGTACGATTCCTCTTTAACTTCATATTCCCTCCATTTTCCTCTTTATTTATCTTTTCATTTTGTATGGATAATTTAGTTGAATTATAATGATAATAACAATAGTCCGTCCTTTTATAGTGCATTTCAGGACCACAGGTCCTCTCAATGCGCTCTACATATATATATATATATTATTACTCCAGTCATCGGATTCAGGCTTACCTGGACACAATGTATGCACATTATCCACTCCCTGGGGAGCATTCCAGCCAGTCGCCATCTTACAAGCACCACTCGCTCATTCAACCACATTAAATTTCGCATCCCACCGGGTACCCATTTAACACTTGGGTGGAGAATGGCAAATGTAGATTGAGGTCTTGCCAACGGATATTAGTGCCGCGGCGGGACTCAAACCCTTGGACCTTGCAATCTTCAGCCTCGTGACTTATCCACTAGACCACAACACTTCTATTTATTCATACATTATTTATTCATTCTTTTTCTTTTATTTCATCATTTATCAATTAATTTATTCATGTATACATTTCATTTTTCTTTATATCAATGTCATTAAATTGAATATACAGACTGGAATTTAAAACCACTTTTTTCATGTAACAATTGGACATTTATGCTGTGTTTCGTAATTTGAAAATGTGTTTGTTCATTCAATATACATAATTATTTATTTTAGGAGTTATACAAATTATTCCTCGCGCTAATTTGCAGAACAAAATCTGTTTCTTAGACCTTCAGAAAATTCTCAACTTCTATGGCTTATATTTGACTATATTTGCCTCCCCTTAATTACTTTCACTGGCATACCTGTTTTCCTTACTTTTCTACTCTTTCCTTAGGATGTTTTGCCTGTGGGAATACCTCGACATGTCTGAGTGACCTGCAAGTCTGTAACTTCTATAATGATTGTCCAGGAGGAGAAGATGAAACGGAGGGTCTCTGCAACCACTCTCAATTTATTAGTAAGTTTCTAACTATTACAGGAGGGGGAGACAAAGCTTACTGTCTCCGTGAACATGCTATTCAATATTGTGCAAAAATATAAATCTTGCTTTTGATCTAAATTCATGTAACAAGGAAGATACACCATAAATGTTTTCATTGTGTTAAACATGAATTTAGACCGAGCATCACGTAGGTTAACAGAAATTAGAAGAATTCCAAACACAGAGTTTATCATTCATACATGTGGGTCTATGATTATTTTTATGATCATACATGATGGAAAGATGAAGCTTATTGGCTCTGTAAAACTCTGGCTTGATTTATCAAAAGGGGTTTGAATTCAGCACGTTGTCTAAACCATGTTTAAATGTCCGTTAAATAAGTGTGACTGATAGCTTATAAGGTGTTTATTGCCCTTCAATTGGACATGACAATATGAGCTTGCTACACAGACGGTTATTTAGATAAAGGGTCGTTTAGATATGCTGTTTGCATGTTTGTTTTTTTCTTCAAATAATAATAATAATGATAGTAGTTGTGGGTTTTCTTTTACCGCTCATGTCTGTTTATTTTTGACACTCCTGGCGCTCCACAATTATTGCCTCGGCTTTAGCACGGCTGTAATTATGGCGCCCTAGCATTTCAAGGAATTAGTTCCTGCCAGGTACCCATTTACTCTACTTTGGTGGACGAAAGGACATGCTGCTGCAGAACTCAATCTGCAAACCATGTAATTCACAGTCTGGTGACGTCATCATTAGACCACGACACCTCCAAGTTTTATGTTTAAATTAATGGAAAATGAGCATGTTCTCTAAACTCTTTGTTATAAGTTTTAGAAACGTGAAGCATATTAATTGCACTTTATATCAATTGTAAATATTCAAAAAGCACCCTGATTTTGCGTACGGGGCTTCATGAAGAATAGAAGATGATATTCCACCCTCTAGGGCCAGTATTAGTCAAAGCATTCTAATTTACTCCAACTTAATGCATGTATGCATGAATAATCCATATAACATATTTTCTCATTATTTCTCTCTGTCTATTTGTTATACCCTAGAAAATGTTGACATTCAGACTGGAGAGTGGCAGCTCTTTAGTGAAGGTTATGTATCAGAGAGGATTATTGATGATCGTGATACACCAGCTAGTAACATCTATGATTTTACTCATTATGGCTTCAACTCAGATCCTGGAACCACGCTATATATGGAGATACAGGTTACCCTTTCTTCATATTACCCAAACCCAAATAACCCAAACCTCAAACCTATCCCTTTCCCTCGCCCTAATCATCATCACCCTTACTCTCAAGTTCATCCTCGTCCCCACTCTTGCCCTCACCCTTATACCTAAACAATCACCTTCACCTATCCCCTAACTCTCGCTTTAACCCTTGCCTTGACCCTTACCCTAACCCTAGCTCTCATCTTAATGGTATTACAAAGTTTTGGTGAATTTGAAAAGTTTGTTGGATATTTAGATGCCCCTGTAGATGTATTATAAGCACTAGAAAATTCAGCCCTTAAAACACTTCTGCTGTTATGAAAAATTGAATATCAAAATATGCAGTTGTGATATATTTTATATTTTGATAGATTTTAGTCAAACAGTATTTTATAGCTAAATTAATATCTTGACCTTGAGAGGGAGCTGTACAAGATGAAGAGTTTATTAATTACATATCATCACTTTAGACTCGATTTCAACCCGACAACTATCACTGAATATTGGAGTGTCGCATATGCCTCAAATATGTTCATTTGAACCAAATTCATGACCTATACCAAATTTTGTAATACCTTTAACCCAAACCGTACCCTTCCCCTTACCGTCACCCTCACCCCCAACCCTCACCCTTCCCTTCCCCTAATCCTCAACCTGTACCTCCCCCTAATCCTCAACCTGTACCTCCCCCTAACCCTCACCCCCCTAACCCACACCCTAATCATCACCCTAACCATCACCCTCCCCAACCCACACTCTAACTATCCCCCTTACCCTCACCATGAACCTCACCCTCCCCCTAACCCTTTCCCTCCCCCTAACCCTTACCCTCCTTACCCTTACCCTCATTCTACCCTTACCCACACCCTCACTCTCACCCTCACCCTCATTCTACCCTTACCCTTACCCACACCCTCACCCTCCCCCTTAGCCTCACCTTCCCTATACCCTTACCATCATTCTACCCTTACCCACCCCCCAACCCTCCCCTAAGCCTCATCCTCACTATCCCCCTAACCCTTACCCTCCTTACCCTCACCCTGCCCCTCACCCTCATTCTACCCTTACCCACACCATCACTCTTCCCCTCACCCCACCCTCATTCTACCCTTACCCATACCCTCACCCTCCCCCTAAGCCGCAGCCTCGCTATCCCCCTAACCCTTACCATCAACCTCACCCTCCCCCTTGACCGTACCCTCACCCTCATTCTACCCTTACCCACACCCTCAGCCTCCCCCTAAGCCTCACTCTCACTGTCCCCCTAACCCTTACCCTCCTTACTCTTACCCTCCCCCTCACCCTCATTATACCCTTACCCACACCCTCACCCTCCCCCTAAGCCTCACTCTCACTATCCCCCTAACCATTACCAACAACCTCACCCTCCCCCTTACCCGTACCCTCACCCTCCACCTCACCCTCACCCTCATTCTACCCTTACCCAAACCCTCACTCTCCCCCTCTCCCCACCCTCATTCTACCCTTACCCACACCCTAACCCTCCCCCTAAGCCTCACTCTCACTATCCCCCTAACCATTACCATCAACCTCACTTTTACCCGTACCCTCACCCTCCCCCTCACCCTCATCCTACCCTTACCCACACCCTCAGCCTCCCCCTTAGCCTCGCCCTCACTATTCCCCTAACCCTCATTACCCTCACCCTCCCCTCACCCACATGTCACCCTTACCCACACTCTCACCCTCCCCTTAAGCCTAACCTTCACTATCCCCCTAACCCTGACCATCAACCTCACCCTCCTCCTTACCCGTACCCTCACCCTCCCCCTTACCCTCACCCTCATTCTACCCTTACCCACACCTAACCCTCCCCTGAGCCTCAGCCTCACTATCCCCATAGCCCTTACCCTCTTTACCCTTCCCCCTCCCCCTCACCCTCATTCTACCCTTACCCACACTCTCACCCTCCCCCTAAGCCTCACTCACTATCCCCCTAACCATTACCATCAACCTCACCCTCCCCCTTATCCGTACCCTCACCCTCCACCTCACCCTCACCCTCATTCTACCCTTACCCACACCCTCACTCTCCCCCTCTCCCCACCCTCATTCTACCCTTACCCACACCCTCACCCTCCCCCCTAACCCTCACCATCACTCTCCCCCTTCCCCAACCCTTACTCTACTCTCCCCTTAACCTACACCCTCACCCTCACAACCCCCATACCGTCACCCTCCCCCTTACCCTCACCCTCATTCTACCCTTACCCACACCTAACCCTCCCCTGAGCCTCACCCTCACTATCCCCCTAACCCTCACCATCACTCTCCCCCTCCCCCAACCCTTACTCTCCCCTTAACCCACAACCTCACCCTCACTCTCCCTGTACCCTCACCCTCCCCCTTACCCTCACCCTCATTCTACCCTTACCCACACCTATAACTCCCCTGAGCCTCAGCCTCACTATCCCCCTAACCCTTACCCTCTTTACCCTTTCCCCTAACCCTCACCTTCATTCTCACCCTCCCCCTAAGCCTCCCCCTAAGCCTCACCCTCACTATCCCCCTAACCCTTACCCTCCTTAACCTCACCCTCTCCCTAACCCGCACCCTCACCCTCCCCCCCCCCCCCCCCCCATCTTCATTCTTCCCTTACCCACACCCTCACCCTCCCCCTAATCCTCACTCTCACTGTCCCCCTAACCCTTACCCTCCTTACTCTTACCCTCCACCTTAGAAGCGCCCCCCCCCCCCCCCCCCCCCCCGGGCTATGCAGTGTCAATATAGCCCGGGCCTAATAGGGTTAACCCTCACCCTCACTATCGCCCTAACCCTTACCCTCCTTACCCACACCTTCCCCCTAAGCCTCACCCTCACTATTCCCCTAACCTCACCATCAGTCTCACCCTCCCCCTAACCCTTCCTCTTCCCTTAACCCTCACCCTCACTATCCCCTAATCCGTACCCTCCTTACCCTCACGCTAACCCTCACCCTCACCCTCATTCTACCCTTACCCACATTTTCACCCTTCCCCTAAGCCTCACTCTCACTATCCCCCTAACCATTACCATCAACCTCACCCTCCCCCTTATCCGTAGCCTCACCCTCCACCTCACCCTCACCCTTATTCTACCCTTACCCACACCCTCACTCTCCCCCTCTCCCCACCCTCATTCTACCCTTACCCACACCCTCACCCTACCCCTAAGCCTCACTCTCACTATCCCCCTAACCATTGCCATCAACCTCACCCTCCCCCTTACCCGTACCCTCACCCTCTACCTCACCCTCACCCTTATTCTACCCTTACCCACACCCTCACTCTCCCCCTCTCCCCACCCTCATTCTACCCTTACCCACACCCTCACCCTACCCCTAAGCCTCACTCTCACTATCCCCCTAACCATTACCATCAACCTCACCCTCCCCCTTACCCGTACCCTCACCCTCTACCTCACCCTCCCCCTTACCCGTACCCTCACCCTCTACCTCACCCTCACCCTTATTCTACCCTTACCCACACCCTCACTCCCCCCCTCTCCCCACCCTCATTCTACCCTTACCCACACTCTCACTATCCCCCTAACCATTACCATCAACCTCACTCTTACCCGTACCCTTACCCTCCCCCTCACCCTCACCCTCACCCTCCTCACCCTTACCCTCATTCTACCCTTACCCACTCCCTCACCCCCCCCCCCCCTAAGCCTCACCCTCACTATCTCCCTAACCCTCACTATCAACCTCATCATCCCCCTAACCCTCACTATCCCCCTAACCCTCACCCCCCTAACCTCACCCTCCCCCTAACCCTCCCCCTCACTCTCACCCCTCCCCCTCACTCTCACCCTCATTCTACCTTTACCCACACCCTCACCCTCCCCCTAAGCCTCACCCTTACTATCTCCCTAACCCTCGCTATCAACCTCATCCTCCCCCTAACCCTCACTATCCCCCTAACCCTCACCCTCCCCCCCTAACCTCACCCTCCCCCTAACCCTCCCCCTAACCCTCCCCCTCACTCTCACCCTCATTCTACCTTTACCCACACCCTCACCCTCCCCCTAAGCCTCACCCTTACTATCCCCCTTACCCTCACCATCCCCCTAACCCTCACCATCAACCTTACCGTCCTCCTTACCCTTACTCTCCCTTTAACCCTCACCCTCCCTCTCACCCTCACCCTCACCCTCACCCTCCTCACCCTTACCCTCATTCTACCCTTACCCACTCCCTCACCCTCCCCCTAAGCCTCACCCTCACTATCTCCCTAACCCTCACTATCAACCTCATCCTCCCCCTAACCCTCACTATCCCCCTAACCCTCACCCCCTAACCTCACCCTCACCCTAACCCTCCCCCTCACTCTCACCCTCATTCTACCTTTACCCACACCCTCACCCTCCCCCTAAGCCTCACCCTTACTATCCCCCTTACCCTCACCATCCCCCTAACCCTCACCATCAACCTTACCCTCCCCCTTACCCTTACTCTCCCTTTAACCCTCACCCTCCCTCTCACCCTCACCCCCCTCAACATCACCCTAACCATCACCCTCACCCTCACCCTGACTCTCCCCCAAACCCTCATCATCATCACCCTTACCCTCATTCTCCCCTGACCCTCGCCCTCACCCTTATCCTCGACATCAGCCTCATCATCTCCCTTAACCTCACCCCAATTCTCCCTAACTCACACCGTCACCATCACCTTCACCCGTTCCCTCACTCTCCCCTTACCCACACCCTCACCCTCATCCTAACCCTCACTTTCCCCTTACCCACACCCTCCCTCTAACCCTCACCAACGGCCTCACCCTGACCCTCACCCCAATTCTCCCCTCCCCCTAACCCTCACTCTTCCCTTACCCTCAACCTCCTCCTCCACCCTCACCCTCCCCTTAACCCTCACCCCCATTCTTCCCTAACCCACAACCTCACCATCACCCTCACCATCACCCTTACACTCACTCTCCCCTTAACCTCACCATCCCCCTAAGCCTCACTCTCCCTGTCACTCTCACCCTCCCCTTATCCCTCATCACCCTAACCCTCACCCTAACCCTCACCTTCCCCCTCACCCTAACCCTCACCCTCATCATCCTCTAACCCTTACCCTCACCCTCTCCTCACCCTCACCCTTCCTTTAACTATCACTGTCACCCTCGCCCTAACCATCACCGTTACTTTCCCCCTAACCCCCACCTCCCTTAACCCTCACCCTAACCGTCACCCTTAGTCTTCCCCTCCCCCTATCCCACCCTTCTGCTAACCCTAAACCTCACCCTCCCCCTAACCGTCATGCCACCCTAAGCCTCACCCTAACCCTCACCCTCCCTTTAACTGTCTCCGTCACCCTCACCCTAAGCCACACCCTCGCCCTAACCATCACCCTTACTTTCCCCCTAACCCCCACCTAACCCTCACCCTAACCGTCACTCTTACTCTCCTCTCCCCCTATCCCTCACTCTAACCCTCACCCTCGCCCTCACCCTCACCCTCCCCTAACCCTCATCCTCACCCTAACCCTCACCCTCACCCTCCCCTAACCCTCATCCTCACCCTAACCCTCACCCTTCCCCTAACCCCTCATCCTCCCCCTCCCCCTAACCCTCCCCCTTACCCTCACCCTCACTGCAAAATTAAGCACCACACTGTTAAATAACCCTGGAAATGTGCCAAATGTTTTTTGCTTCTTTTAAGTTTCTATGAAAACACAAACAATGCTTAATTTTTTAGCGCCTGTGCTTCTATAACCATATCTTCTATCACAAAATGGCGTTTATTAAAATTTTCTGAAGTTTATTTCCCTCATGTACTGAAAATTTCTCTTATATTCATTTTAATGAATTAAAATGATGGTAATATTGTGTGTTTCCTTTTGGTCCTTTACATTTCTGTTTCTCATTCATTTACCATTGTTTCACACTTCATTTGCACTACTACTATATTGAATCTTGAATGCAGAATTTGACAGTGTCTCTGTCTGGCCTTCTTGTGCCCCTGGTTCAAATCTATGCTGGATCTGGAGCCGACCCGACAGACCGTGGTGCAGCCCGAGGATATATAGATGGCTATGGGAATGCAGCAAGCATCAGTGACTCCATGAACTTCTCCCTTACCAATAATACAGGCTTTCTATTAATTGCCATTCCAAAATCTGTCGCTGGCATCTTCAATATCATATTCAGAGTCACAGCTATCGGTAAGAAGCACTGTGTGCAGCAAGTCTGAATCAAGTGACTGGGTTATACACAACTATGTTCAGCACTTTAATTGAAGCATAGTACATGTATATGAATTGAGGGGTATATAAATTCAGAATCTCTTATACAAACAGTGTATTTTTTTATAACGTAGGACTTCTTTTTCATTTTGATTAATTTAAAGGGAGATTGTCTTCAGTTTCCATGTGCACTATGTCAGAATTCCTTGACACCAGTCTTGGTGTAAAAATATTAATGGCTGTACAAGTCTCGCTTACAGCAAATCCTTAGTCCAATCAAGAAATGACCTTCCCTCATCAGTCCCTTGGAGAGTCTTCAGTTGAGAGAAACTAATGATATTGACTTTTTCGATATGGGTATTACATGAGGCCTGTTAGTCAAAGAATTGAACGCTGAGCCTGGTGATTGACAATAGCTGTTATTGCTTAAACAACCAAATTCCCCATGTCGTTTCCTTTTGATATATATATGATTTAAAAATGATGTGAGCTGTTTGTAAATGGACTAGCGGTATTGTTGATTCTTCTGTAGAACAATCACCAGTTCGTACAATAATAGAAGTTCAAATTGTTCATTGAAATTTTCTGAAGTTTGAAGTTAAAAGTTGTATTAACAACAACAAAATGTATGTACATCATGAAACAAAGTACGCAAGGCAAAACAATAAAATACAAACTGTACATAATGTACAAAACAATGAATTACTGCAAAAGCTTAATTAATGCCCACATAGAACACATACAAAAGTTAGCACAAGTGCTAGTCAAGATCGGTTTTCTCTGTTCACTATACATCGATAGTGTATCTCTTCATTACTATAGCATTCTTTCGGACTAGTTCTGAAGAAGAAAAAAATCGTGTTTATGTTTATGACATGATACTAACTGTATTCTTAATCAGAAATGTCTTAAATGTTCCAAACGTCAAGCAAAACTTTTTTTGGACTATGGCCAAAGTTCCTTTCAGAAATATTCCCAAAGAAAACGAATACCAGTATATGAGCCTCAGTTCTTTTCAGCACTGGCTCTTATCCACAAAAGAACCAACTGTCATTTTAAGGACTAACACACTTATATATGATCTTCTCATCATGACAATGTACAAAGAACACCTTCTTTCCTTTTGCAGAATGTGTGAGCCCCGATGTAGCATGTAATGGCTCCCCTCATTGCTACAACTTGTTCGATGACATATGTGATGAAGAAATCCAATGTGTGGATAGCGGGGAAGATGAGTTTGGGTGTGAAGGTAAGATACTGAAAAGGATGATGAGAAGGAGGAGGAGAAGGAGGAATGATAAATGTGATATTGAAAAATCCAATAGCTGGATATCAGGGAAGATGTGTTAAGCTTAGGCGAGGCGTCAAAAATATCGATACCAGCAGGCTGCCGCCTCACGTATTGGCGCATCAAGGCTGCAATTACGGCCGAAGCCTGGCTGGGGCAATTATTTTTCACTTATTAGCCCAGCCGGCTTGCGCCAGGCTGGGATCTGAGGCTCGGTTTCCATTCGAAAGGCGGCAGCCGGCGCATGCTTTTGAATGCCATTTCCTACCGCCAGCGGTAGCCGGCTGAGCTAGTTTAAAAAATGCAGCCAGGACGCACAAGTGCAGTTAGCTGCCGCTGGCTGGTATATTTATTTTTGACGCCTCGCCTTAGGCGTGATGGTAAAATGTAGTTGAGTGGTTTAAACATTTGACTTTAGATGCCAAGGTAATGGAATCAAGCCCTGGCACTGCAGCAGTTGATGCCCTAATGATTACAATGTACAAAATGTTTGATGGTTTCGAGGGGGATATCAATATGCTGCTCACAACTTTTCTGTGGATGATGGCAGCATTTTTTGGTTGAATGTTGCTTCACTCCTTTCTAAAAGATTTTAGCTTGTTTAATTTTTAATGTTGGAACTCTTTTATTTTCAAGGCTGCAACATACACTCTTAGGTTGAATAATGCAATACTCATCTGTTAAATGTCCCAACATTTCTGTTAAAGATAACAACATTCGTGCTTTGAGGGTTGCAACACTCCTATTTTCCTAGTTTGCAAGGTAAAATGCAGCAAAATTTCAAAAATCAGGGTTTTTATATATCAACTACCGAAACAATTGTAATTCATTGCGACATGTATGTACTTTTATTTTTTGCACGCATGCACTTATGACTTTTAGTTAAATTGGCATTAACTGTATAAACCAATAAATCTAATCAAATCAAAGCGCATTGTATGTTATCTTTTTGTAAAACTTTATTCCAGCAACCCCGCCAGCAAACTCCACCTGCTATGATTGTGAGTCTGCCTTTCTGTGTGTTAAAGATCCAGAATGGATTTGCGATGGATGGAGTGATTGCGATAATGGAGAGGATGAGATGAACTGCCCAGGTAAGATTGAAGTTGTTCAATATCACAGTACTATTTCGTAAATTGAATGTTGCATCTCTCTTTTTCTCAATGTGGCAACACTACTATGAAGAAGGTCACAGCTCACTTATTTTGAATGTTGCAACTCTCTTGTTTTTCAAGTTTGCAATGTAGAATGCAGCAAAATTATACAACAGTAGGGATTTTATATACCTAGTGGACTACCAATAAAAATTATTAATCAACGCAAAATGTATGTTCTCTATTTAGTGAGACAACAAATAATAATTAACATGTTGATATTTTAACTTATTTTTAGCTTCTAGTGCCAAGACAAAATAATGTAATGCTCAGGACATTGTGTTCAAGTTTCCTCTTATTCAAGTGATATTTATATTTGGGGGGAAATATCAAATGTCAGATATTATACCCCTTATCGTAAGATTGTTGCATTAGGAGTGTACACAACAAGAAAAAGAATAGTTTTTCTATAAACTTTGTGTCCTGCCGACTACATCAGAATAGTTTTTTTATTGCTGACGTCACGAATAGTTCACTTTTTCCCTGGCAAAAGCGTACAGGATTTCAAATGCCTCCGCACAGGCGACTCCTGCAGTGTCACAGCGCTCAAGTCCTGCATTTTACCCTGAGCGATAACTGCACTACAATAATGCAATACCTGTACTGTGTGAGTCAAAAAAAAAGTTTACACCTAGAAAATTGCTAATCATTTTAAAAATCATCTATGAACAGTAAATTATTATCCATCTAATAAAGAGCGTTTTATCCCAAATCATTTGGTATCATTTGTGTGTGGTATGTGTTCATGCTTGGATGAACAGGATGTATAGATTGAAGGGATACAAAACAAATATACAATGATTCATTCTCGGAACAAGTTTTTCACACTCAGGAACATCATTAGTACTGTTGATGTTCCTTCGATGTAAATAGTTTCAGCTAGATCCTTGAGTGTCATTGTATGATATGAAGCCCCTCATCCTTATTTTCAAGAATTGGCATGTTATATACTTTACTTGATAAATTATCGAATCATTTCTCTTGCGACAGCATCTTGCTTTGAGTGCCAAACGCATCCTTCCTCTGATAACTGCATTGATTTTGACTCTGTCTGTGACGGCAAGATTGATTGCTTCAATGGCACTGACGAATTAGATTGTGATGGTGAGTTTAGAAACAAAGTGAATTTCAACCCTGTGAAATTTTGTAAAGATTTGTAAAGATGAATGATAATTTGTAAACTTTTAATTATTTTTATATCAATTTGAAAGACTATAGTAGAAAGATCCCATGAAAAGCATAGTTCTTGAAACACCCTCGTACTCATCACAAGGAATAGCTAAAAAAAAACTCTGGAGCTTGCATATGTGTGTTTACAGTCCCTTACGTACTTCACATTTTGCACAAGTCCATAAATACAGGTTCTCAAAAAAAAATGAATATCATGACTGGATTTATTTTGTGTGTCCATCTTGTCATAATATAACAGTAAAGATTGTGAGCTATTGATTTCAGTCGCAACTCTTAACCAGACAAGGCCTCGGTCTAACCTTTTCCATTTTATTGATATGAGCTAATGTGTTTTGATACAGGTACACCTCTTCCATGCGTCCAGTGTGATTCAGATTGGCCCTGTGTTCGTGAGTCTTGGGTTTGTGATCGTGAAGAAGACTGTTACAATGGAGAAGATGAACTCAACTGCGTTCGTGAGTTGACAATTTTAGACAAATTCATATGCTGTAAATTGCTGAAGAAACGACCATAGCAAAACAAAAACAAAGAATCACTACAACTAGACAAACTGAAATATAGGCACAGTGTGCTTCATATATTTTTCTTTATTATGGGTAAATTTTATGAAAGGGGAATTAATGTCTCTACTATGAAGCATGACATAGAGAGTAAAATAATGTTTCATTTGATATAGGAAGCATTGCTGTAGGCCAAATAATATTGTATTGCAAGTACAATGAAGAGACCCTAGTTCGCCATATTTTTACGACGTAGCTTCTCCCCAAGATAGGTGCCATTTTGTCAAATCATTACGAAAATCTCTTATTAAAACTATACCCCACCACTATAACACAGGCACCAATGTAAATCAGGTGGGGTATCACGACTCTACTTTTGTTTTTATCGTTAAAACATGGAGAGAGCCTTGCAGCTCTGCTTGAGAGATGACAGCTGTACTCTTCATCATCTTACGTAATAGTAGAAACAAACCCTTACTGTGGCTCTGCCTGAAAGGAAATGAGAAGTAGGACATATATATTTTACTTGTTTTAAGATATTTTCATGTCAAAAAGTCACTTATGATTTAGATGAAGACCATAATGATAGTTTGAACGAAGCAAACTGACCCAGAATTGGCGATATAACAACAATTTTAATTGTGAAAATTAGCACTCTTTCTCCCTTCCTCTCCATCTATCATGCTTATCTCTCTCTCTTCTTCTCTATCACCCCTGTCAAGGTCTTGGCAGGGGGGTATTGCAAAGCGCTAGTGTTTACTTAAGGCTTAGCTCTAGGAGTAGTGAAAGTCAAATGGGGATTTCAATTTTAAACCACAAGTTTTCGTCATGATTTTCCTTCAAAAGACTTGATTTGTGACGTATCGCAAGGAGAACTGATGTAGCGCGCAACATTTATTCATTCTTTTAATTGTTTGTTGATTGTTTGTTTTACAGCTGGTAATTCAAGCTGCTTCTTCTGTGAGAACTCTGGAGACTGCGTATCATGGGATTATGTTTGCGATGGTGCATATGATTGCTATGACACATCAGATGAACAGAATTGCAACAGTGAGTTCAAACAATATATTCATGCACCATGTGAATTAACTTACCATGTAAATACATATGCAAACTAAACAGATCCTTTAAAAAAAAATTGAACATGAAAATCATGTTAATATATCTTTTCACAACCATTACATAAGTCCATGGAAATAGACACAGCGTTTGCAGTATGTTATGCTCTTCCTACTCATTCTTCCAGTATGTTTTCCTGGCTGGAAACCAAAAGCAATGTCGCCTCCAGGAACAAATATTTGAAGTGATGCCTAATCGGACCCTATCTCCAACATTTCCTCATTAATAATAATAATAATAGCTCGTTCTTATATAGCGCTTTTCAGGACCGGAGGCCCTCCCAGAGCGCTTTACAGATAAGTATATTATTACTCAGGTCATTGGATTCAGGATTACCCGCACACACTTTTTTGCACATTCTCCACTCCCTGGGGAGCATTCCAGCCAGGCGTCATTTTTGGAAGCGCACACTTGCAGTCGCAACCTACTTTATATGAATTTTATGACAAAAATGGCATTTCCAATATAGTTCCGATTAGGTTTTTAGGTCACGCTTTGAGTCAGGGTTGGACAATGTTTAGCCTAGGGTTCATGAAGTTGTGAATTTGGTTAGTGTAGGACGATGATCGTCAAGCAATTTGCAGGAGCATGTGTCTCATTTTTATGTGTATACATTTGTATTCCATTAGCAACGTCCGATCCAGAGTGCTTTCCATGTTGGTCATACTTCTGTGTAGAGTTGGAATATGTTTGTGATGGTGACCTAGATTGCCGTGATGGATCAGATGAACGAGATTGCAATTGTAAGTAGCTCTTCTTTTCCTTTTTTTTTGGTGGGGGGGGGGGGGGGGGGTTACCTGAGTAATTTTCATTGGCCTCAAATGATACATGTGCCTCTTCCCCCTCCCCCATCCCCCAGACACGCCATCACTGCTAATGAAAACTTATTAAATTCATGAACTTGAATAAATTCACCAATCATTCTGGATTCTGTGGTTCATTTATTCAATTGACCCACTTTATCTTTCACAGCAACGGAACCCATCTGCTTCCAGTGTGCAACAGATGTGTATCAGTGTATTGATCTGGACTATGTATGTGATGAAGGGACTGACTGTGATGACGGGTCAGATGAATGGAACTGCAGTAAGCTTGAATTATATACTTTTTCTGTCATATGTGACCCAGCACCACAAAACAAACAAGAAGTCACACTGGCTTTGCACACTTTTGTTGAATGCCCATATTACATTTGATACCGTTTTTTGTTTTTGTATAGACAAACTTTAAAATTCTTAAACTGGCAACACATTGATAGATGCCAAATCACAGTTTTTCAATCAAAATTGGTAGTATGTGTATAACAAACGTTTGGATATGGTTTATAAAGGTGTATATTTTTACAGAGAGAGGAAATTTCATCAGAACTTTGTAGCTCTGAAATAAAAACATACATGGGTACCTGTAGTGAGAGTGTCCTTATAATGGGTACCTGTAATGAGAGTGTCCTTATAATGGGTACCTGTAATGAGAGTGTCCTTATAATGGGTACCTGTAGTGAGAGTGTCCTTATAATGGGTACCTGTAATGAGAGTGTCCTTATAATGGGTGTTACCTGTAATGAGAGTGTCCTTATAATGGGTGTTACCTGTAATGAGAGTGTCCTTATAATGGGTACCTGTAACAAGAGCGCCTTATAATAGGTATGTGTAATGAGAGAGTCCTTATAATGGGTACCTGTAGTGAGAGTGTCCTTATAATGGGTATGTGTAATGAGAGTGTCCTTATAATGGGTACCTGTAGTGAGAGTGTCCTTATAATGGGTACCTGTAGTGAGAGTGTCCTTATAATGGGTACCTATAGTGAGAGTGTCCTTATAATGGGTACCTGTAATGAGAGTGTCCTTATAATGGGTGTTACCTGAAATGAGAGTGTCCTTATAATGGGTACCTGTAATGAGAGTGTCCTTATAATGGGTGTTACCTGTAATGAGAGTGTCCTTATAATGGGTACCTGTAACAAGAGCGTCCTTATAATGGGTATGTGTAATGAGAGTGTCCTTATAATGGGTGTTACCTGTAACGAGAGTGTCCTTACAATGGGCACCCGTAATGAGAGTGTCCTTATAATGGGGACCCGATAATGAGAGTGTCCTTATAATGGGTACCTGTAATGAGAGTGTCCCTATAATGGGTGTTACCTGTAATGAGAGCGTCCATATAATGGGTGTTACCTGTAATGAGAGTGTCCTTATAATGGGTGTTACCTGTAATGAGAGTGTCCTTATAATGGGTGTTACCTGTAACAAAAGTGTCCTTATAATGGGTACCTGTAACGAGAGTGTCCTTATAATGGGTACCTGTAATGAGAGTGTCCTTATAATGGGTACCTGTAACGAGAGTGTCCTTATAATGGGTATGTGTAATGAGAGTGTCCTTATAATGGGTACCTGTAGTGAGAGTGTCCTTATAATGGGTATGTGTAATGAGAGTGTCCTTATAATGGGTACCTGTAGTGAGAGTGTCCTTATAATGGGTACCTGTAGTGAGAGTGTCCTTATAATGGGTACCTGTAGTGAGAGTGTCCTTATAATGGGTACCTGTAGTGAGAGTGTCCTTATAATGGGTACCTGTAGTGAGAGTGTCCTTATAATGGGTACCTGTAATGAGAGTGTCCTTATAATGGGTGTTACCTGTAATGAGAGTGTCCTTATAATGGGTGTTACCTGTAATGAGAGTGTCCTTATAATGGGTACCTGTAACAAGAGCGCCTTATAATAGGTATGTGTAATGAGAGTGTCCTTATAATGGGTACCTGTAGTGAGAATGTCCTTATAATGGGTGTTACCTGTAACGAGAGAGTCCTTATAATGGGCACCACCCGTAATGAGAGTGTCCTTATAATGGGGACCTGATAATGAGAGTGTCCTTATAATGGGTACCTGTAATGAGAGTGTCCCTATAATGGGTGTTACCTGTAATAAGAGCATCCATATAATGGGTGTTACCTGTAATGAGAGTGTCCTTATAATGGGTGTTACCTGTAATGAGAGTGTCCTTATAATGGGTGTTACCTGTAACAAGAGTGTCCTTATAATGGGTACCTGTAACGAGAGTGTCCTTATAATGGGTACCTGTAATGAGAGTGTCCTTATAATGGGTACCTGTAACGAGAGTGTCCTTATAATGGGTATGTGTAATGAGAGTGTCCTTATAATGGGTACCTGTAGTGAGAGTGTCCTTATAATGGGTATGTGTAATGAGAGTGTCCTTATAATGGGTACCTGTAGTGAGAGTGTCCTTATAATGGGTACCAGTAGTGAGAGTGTCCTTATAATGGGTACCTGTAGTGAGAGTGTCCTTATAATGGGTACCTGTAATGAGAGTGTCCTTATAATGGGTGTTACCTGTAATGAGAGTTTCCTTATAATGGGTACCTGTAGTGAGAGTGTCCTTATAATGGGTACCTGTAGTGAGAGTGTCCTTATAATGGGTACCTGTAATGAGAGTGTCCTTATAATGGGTGTTACCTGTAATGAGAGTTTCCTTATAATGGGTACCTGTAACAAGAGTGTCCTTACAATGGGTATGTGTAATGAGAGTGTCCTTATTATGGGTGTTACCTGTAACGAGAGTGTTCTTATAATGGGTACCTGTAATGAGAGTGTCCTTATAATGGGGACCTGATAATGAGAGTGTCCTTATAATGGGTACCTGTAATGAGAGTGTCCCTGTAATGGGTGTTACCTGTAATGAGAGCGTCCATATAATGGGTGTTACCTGTAATGAGAGTGTCCTTATAATGGGTACCTGTAACGAGAGTGTCCTTATAATGGGTACCTGTAATGAGAGCGTCCATATAATGGGTGTTACCTGTAATGAGAGTGTCCTTATAATGGGTACCTGTAACGAGAGTGTCCTTATAATGGGTACCTGTAATGAGAGTGTCCTTATAATGGGTACCTGTAACGAGAGTGTCCTTATTATTGGTACCTGTAATGAGAGTGTCTTTATAATGGGCGTTACCTGTAATGAGAGTGTCCTTATAATGGGTGTTACCTGTAATGAGAGTGCCCTTATAACTGCTATTTCCTTGTACAGGAAGTTTTGTTATGTCATATGTATACTAATGAAGTGCGTTTTTCTATAACGGGTGGGGGTTTTTTAGCAATGGGTATTTTTTTCATAATTGGTGTTTTCCTGTATAAGCACTGTTTTATTATTATTATTATCATATCAGATATATTCTCCTATGATGAATGTTACTATATAATTGATGTTTTCTTGCAATCAATGTTTCTTCTTATTTGCAGCTAGTTGCGAATTGAATGAATTCCGTTGTAATCGAGGCGGTGAATGCATCGGGTCTGAGTCTGTTTGCAACCTGGCCCCAGAATGCACCTTTGCTGAAGATGAGATGAGCTGTGGCTATGATGACATCTCAAGTAAGCTTCTTTCACTTTTCCAAACATACGATTCTCGTATAGCTATTCGATTTTTCCTGTTCTGAACGTCATAAAACACATCGTTTAGCAAAATTCCTAACTAGTGTTTGAGTATCGATTTGAACAAAAAATTGATAGAGAATTAGGGTAATGATATAGCCTAAATGTTGTATCTTTTGAAAATTCTATAATTGGGCGGTTTATCATGAGCCCTCAATAATGATTGGCCAGCTGCAATGTCAACTGACCTGTTCAAAATTAGTTTATGTATACAACTTGTTTTTTGTAGCCTTTTTGAGTTTATGCTCCTTTCATTATACAAAAAGATGCTTCCGGCCGGGAATGAAAAAGGCATGTTGTTCGATATTGGTGAATTATAGTTCTTATTTAATTACCTTGCTTTTCCCCACCCAAGTGATGATTGGGCATCTGTTTCATTTATTAGGTGGTCTGTCAACGACAGATCACCTATTGATTTCGTTAGAATTTTATTTCTTTATTCTTTCTTTATTCTTTCTTTATTCTTTATTTTTATTTCTTCCGTACACTTTTTTGTCCACACGTTTACTCGAAATCAACATGGTCAATTGCCTTCAAATTTCTGTCAGTCATCAAGCCCTATGATTTCAAGTCTAATTAACTTTTTCAAGTTCATGGGGTCATCGTGACGTCATCCAGGCGCCATTTTGTAAAAATCAGGTCATTATCATATCTCGATAACTAGTCATCAAAAATAAACCATATTTGGTATACATCAACTTCAGGTCAAAGGTCAACTAAAAATATCAACAAATTTTGCGCGCGCACCTCAACGCGCACGTACGCGCGCATCAAAATTTTAAAATGCTCAAATTCGTTCTAAATTAATTTTGCATACGTTTCAGGCCATTTTAAGCACTTCGCAAAAAAACGCGCACACGTGCATGCGCGCGCTTTTTCGCGCGTACTTGCATTTTGCAATGTAGAATCGCCAAATTTTCTCTGTCATCATATTTGGCACATTTTTTCAAGCATTTTGATACCTTGTTTACCTTTTTCTGACCATTAATAATGCAATGAGCGTCCGTTAAGATACGCATCCGTGCGTGCGAGCTCTTGTAATACATAACATACATGTGCAAAAACATGCCTATACAAAATTCATTGTAACTCTTCAGGATGGATGGATACCCCCCAATTTCGTTCATATTTAAATAGATTATGGGTTGGAGATATGATTTCATGTCTCATTTGACCCTCAATTAACTCATGACGTCATCATAATGGCCTCCGAACTCAAAATTTTAATTTGCATATTATGACGTCAGCAGATTTTTGGAAAATTGATTGTATCTCTGTATATATTGATCAATTTTCGTTCAAATTTTGATATGTTCTACCTGTGAATATTCTCTACAAATGCAGTTATCACGATATTTCATTATGACAATGGTATCATGGCGTATTTTTGCGATTAAAGGAGGCATGTCAATTTTTCACATTTTGCGTGTATTCTCTATGGGACGTGACTTTTTCTCAAAACTGGATTCTACATTCTCGTCTTTCGCGAGCAATATCTCCGTCGTTTTATCTTTGTTTACGCTGAGCTTTGAGTATGTTGTAGCTGAGACAATAAGCTATCACAAGTGTGCCCTTTATTTTTCGATCAGATGCCGGGATCATGCTCATATTTCACTTACAAAGTGGGATTTCAGAATTCCATTTTCCGTTTACGCGCACGTTTGTGTTCGTAATGGTCGTACGCAACTTAAAATCTGCTTTTTTTTGTCTATCATAGTATTGCCCATTTTATTCCGAACAATTTGATACCATGTTTTTCTCTTTATGACCATTAATAACGAAATGAGCGTCCGTTCAAGGTAAATTCCGTTCGAACACTCAATTAACTCATGACGTATTTATGATGGCCTCCGTTCAAGGTAAATGTCCGTGCGTGCGAGCTCTTGTAATACATAGCATATATGGGCAAAAACATGCCTATACAAAATCCATTGTAGCTCTTTAGGATGCAAGATGACCCCAATTTTTTTCTTCATATCTTGATAAAGTATGAGTCGGAAATATGATTTCATGTCTCATTTGACCCTCAATTAACTCATGACGTCATCATAATGGCCTCCGAACTCAAAATTTCAATTTGCATATTATGACGTCATCATATTTTTGGAAAATTGATTGTATCTCTGTAAATATTAATCAATTTTCATCCAAATTTTGATATGTTCTATCTGAGACAATTCTCTACAAATAAAGTTACGACGTATTTTTCAGTTTGACAAAGGCATCATGGCGTATATTTGCGCTTAAAGGAGGCATGTCAATTTTTCACATTTTGCGTGTATTCTCTATGGGACATGACTTTTTCTCAAAACTGGATTCTACATTCTCGTCTTTCGGGAGCAATATCTCCGTCGTTTTATCTTTGTTTACGCTGAGCTTTGAGTATGTTGTAGCTGAGACAATAAGCTATCACAGATGTGCCCTTTATTTTTCGATCAGATGCCGGGATCATGCTCATATCTCACTTGCAAAGAGGGATTTGAGAATTCCATTTTCCGTTTACGTGTATTCTCTATGGGAAATGTTTTGGTATATCGGTAACGCACTTGACTTCCGACCTCAAGGTCCCTGGTTCGAGTCCGGGCGTCTCCAACAATTTTTTTTCTTCATTTTTTTTTTTTTTTGACTTTTCAATGATCATAAAATTGAAAACAGACCACCTAATTCGTCACCATGACGAATTCAATGTCTAGTTTTATTATTTGTATTAATGAAAAAGAAATGCTCATGTAATTGGGTGCAAAGTTGTTATATCCTTTCATTTGACATAAAATTATTTTTGTATCATATAGTAGAGCATAGAATAGAGCATATAAGAAACAAGCATGGATTGTCTGATGTTTATATGCACTTTGGTTCATGTGTTTTGAGAGCTGTAATCATTAGTTAAGCATCCTTATACAAGGATGACAAGAATTTTTTTTTTTTTACACAGAAAAAATAAAAGTTAAGCAATTTTTAACTGCAATCAAAAGACGCTATACCAAATATTTTGGATTTCACTGGATTCCATTGGATAACACATTGATAAAACACTGTACAAGTATTCCGTGAAAACCTGCCCCAGATATACCAGCTTTCATTACAGCTTGGCATATCTTTACTTTCATATTTCTCAATTTTAGTTTTATGTTATGGAATTGTGTTTCATGACCTTATTTCATTTGTACATATATTTATAAATCAATATTTTCTACCCTGGTTTTGCTAGCTTGGTCAGGGAGGAAGTCCTGCGGGTCATGGTTATTAATGTTTTCATTAAATTTTTTCTCTCTTTCCTATGAATATTTGAATTATTATTTTATCTTGGTGTACATGTATACCAAATTGATGATAAATTAATGATAATTATACAAAAGATTAATCCATCTTGTAACTTTATATTTTTGCTCAGCTGAGGTATGGGTGGTCGCTGGTGAATCGTATGACGTTAATACGATAGAGCTTCAGCCCGTGGGGGACAATATCAAAGCAGCTCTGTGGCATTTCTTTGCCCCTAACAGCTCCTACGTCCTGTTCTTTGACGTATCTTCCTCCTACGCCCTTCCCGATGACGCTGAAGCGGTCTTTGGCGAAGGAACAGACTTCCTCGGCTCACGCACTGCCAGCTACTATCGCTGGGGCTCTATCACCAAGTTCTCAAGGCATGACTTCTTTGTGCTGAGCCATGAAGCCTTTGTGTCAGTGGACGTTCCACTGACAGAGTCGGCTCCTGTCACGCTCAGTTTCTCAGTCAGAGCAGTCCCAGCTCCTGGTAAGAACATTTTCTTTCTTGTATCGAGGGGTCAGTGACACAAAGACGTAAATTCATTTTGAGAAAAAGTGGTTGTGTCACTGAGCACATGGGCCTTAAGAAGTTAAGTCTATGTTTTACCATCCATTGACTTCAATGGGGTGTTGGATGGTTTTCAGTCTTTGTGTTTCCTGGGAAGCCCACACTTTTCTGAACATTTTGATATCAAATACTCATTTTGGCAAAATATGGAGCTACGTCTTTGTGTCACTGAACCCTCAATATATTTCAAACAAATTGTTGTATCCTTTCCTTTTCTATATGTCTCATCTTTTAGAATCACACCTAAACTAAGACATCATTTCTGGCGAATTTCTGATTGTATTTTGGTGCCAGGGGATATTTCACAAACTTTTCATCAGTGACAAATGACAGTTTTCGTTATAAGCTAGTGAAATCCTAGTTTCTGATTGGTTATCAGCAGATTTGTGTCTGATTTTTGTCATTTGTCATTGAAAAGAGGCTTTGTGAAACACCCCCTAAACCTGAGTGAATGCAACCATCATAAGCCCTTTGCGTACCGGATCTAGTGGTCTCATGTGTTCCGCCTATGGGATTTGACAATGCAATAGTCAATGGGTTTATGCTGCACAATTGTACTAAGTTTGGAAAGCAGTGGATAACAGGGTTTTTTCAGTCTATGAACAAACAGTTCTTATATCCCATGAAGATTAGAATATTGCATTATTTGTTTGTTTGTTTTTTAAATTATGTTCTAAAGTGTCAGTAATACATTATTTTTTTTTTTTCAATTCAAAAGGCTTTATTTCTGTTAAAAAGCGAAAAAAAATATATACATGTCATTAAGTACAAACAGTTTAAAATATACAAACAATGAGCATTATGTTAAATTAATTTAAACAAACTGTGAAAATATGTAGAAGGAAAAGGGAGCACCTGTAGGAAGCTTATGTTAGCTTGTTGATTCAGGCGTCCAGGCGTCCTTGTTGACATCAGACTATGCTGTTTGGTCCCAAGCCTAGAAGAAGATGTCAATTCTATTTTTATTTCTTTTTTCTTTGTTCTTCAGAATGCACTGGGGATTCTTCAGTCTGTGTGGCTTGCTATTCAGATTTTGAGACCTGCGACCGAACTCTTGAATGCTCTCAATCGACGGAATACGAATGCCCATCAATTCCAGCTCCTTAATTTACTGTAGGTTATGCTTAATATTTTTTTAATTTTAGATTCAAAAGAAAGTACTTAAGTATACCGGTGTATTACATAAGAATAGATAATAAATGTAAACAAAAAAATATTGATTACTTTATGGGCAGTTTCACCATAGGCTATTGCGTACATTATATTTTCAGGTAGAAAAAGTGTCGATAATACAAGGTACTAAAATGAATGAGTTAAGAATGAAGAGTATTGAATTAAGACATGTGTTGAGTTAAAGGAAATACAAAGTTTTGGTATGGGGTCATGAATTTGGTTCAAATGAACATATTGAAAGCATATGCAATCCTACAACATTGAATGTTCGTTGTTGCAGTTGAAATCAAGTTTAAAGTGATGAAATTGTGAATAATTACTCTCTATGTTGTATAGTTCCCTCTCAAGATTTATATTACTTAAGCTTCAAAACAATTTTTCTTGAATAAAATCGACCAATTTTCTATTCCTGTTTGAAGAATAAATATAACAATTGAATTATCAAAGATTTTTGTGGTCGCAGCTACCATTGTATAGCCATAGGCGCTATTTAAATTTTATTAGGAGCACCAATGAATTTTATATATTAATTTCTCAAAATCCTTAGTGTTTTAGAGCCCAATTTTTCAAAGTTGCTCATTCTAACACTAGGTTTCACAATGGTAATGCCAATTTTAATTTTCATAATCCACTCCTGTTGAAATGTTATCAAAACTTTGTATTACCTTTAAGATAAGTTGTAAATTAAGAAAGTACTAAAAATGTTGAAGAAGGTACTAAATGTGGGGATTATGAACTAGCTGATGATAGCAGTAAAATATTGCTGATCGTATGAGCATGCTCAATAGATAAAGATATGACTTGTTGGTATAGGAACTGGCTTGCAGAAGATGAAGACTTATTTAGTGGTCTGTGAAAATGCAGTCGGGGGAGGTTCGTTGTTACTTTTTGTTTATAGTTTAGTTTTGTTTGCAAGGAGTCCTTGAAATAATTTGTAGTGTTCTCAATTTACGAGAGATATGATCTAATAAAAATAATTATAAATTTATATAGCGCAGCTTTCATACAAAATATATTCAGCTGTGCTTTAATGGAGCTTTTAGGCTACTTTTTATCGTTATATTTTATCATGTTTTCTTTAATCCTTAATTAAAGATATCATTTTTCTTCTGGGCTTTGAACTCCATTTTTATTCATGAATTTTTCTGCAATAATGATAACAATACATCTAGTTTATAGTAATCACTTCATTTTTGTCATATAAAATTTGTATTAAATCTTTAAGGTACAGGTACATGTATTTTAAGAGTTTTATAGCATTCATTCATATGTATGGGTATCAAATGGTTGATAATATTTTGTCATACCTTTCAATAAATATATCTTCAGTTTTTAACACCACCTCAGAGAAACACATTGTATTTCTCCTGTTTACTCTCGGGTTTTATGCTTTATCATTAGTATGCAGGTATATTAAATCATTTATAGCATTTATTTGTGTTGTTGGGTATCAAATGGTTTCGAAATTATTTTTCATAATTTTATGCGTGTAGAGAAGTATATATATTATGATGTATGTATTTGTGAAATCAAAACACCTCTTTCAAAATACTTATACCATTTTGGTGTTATATATCTTATATATTTTATGTATTGTATGCTTAGAGACAGAGTGAGGTTAGATAGTTTATTTGAAAAGAGAGTTGGGCCCTTCTGGTTCTCGACCGATAATAATCTTCCAAACCGGAATTTAAAAAATTTGAAATAAAAAGACTGAGTGATTTTTCTTGTAAAGTCATCAATCACTGTAAAAGTAAGTTAACAGATAATGTATGAACAATGTAGATTATATTTCACTTTGTGAGAACTATTACTTGAGTATATGATTATATGTTTGGTATCAAAGATAAAGACAAGTTATGGTCATGCAATTGCATTGTGAAAGAAATGTTGTGGATTCGATGAGAAAAGGTAGATCATATAGCATATAAGTATTGGTGTGTACAACAAGAAATTTGGCCCAGTCTTGATAAAGTTAAAAGCACTGCACACAGAAAGATGTATATGGGACTACCCCCACACATGCGCGACACATGCGTTATATCTCTCAGGTCCAAATAGATATAGTAATTTACCAAATATATCATTATATAAGGCCATGGTCATAAAACCGAAGGCTAATCCTGGTGATTGACATCACCTTAATTAGTCCAATAGGCATATGTAATATATAGAGCGGACTACAATTAAGTTCAGTATTCTATTCAATGGGAGTGTGCTTTGTGACAAATTAATCAATAAGCTGTTCATCAATCCAATATAAGAGTAGATAATAGGAGGATAAGATGAATGTATGAGAGCTGTATGTGTTTCGTGACGTGAAGACATGTTGATCTAGCTGAAGCCTTTTGCACCAGATGCGTCATTTTTGCTGACGGAGGACAACGTCAGTGATAGGAGCGGTCCTGGAGCGGTCTTTGACGCCTCAAGTGCAATGACGTGAGAGAAACATATCTTAAACAAAGTGAATATAAACGAACAGATCACAAACTGCCTTGAATTCCTTGTGTCTGTTGTGTGCCTTTACTGAATGCAAACAATAAAATAATTTAAATGTCTATAACATGAACAGTAGAAGCTAAGCGAAGAGGAGGGCGACCTGCAATTCAATGATTGAAGGACATCTACACGTGAATAGGGAAAAGCTGTCATAGGCAACAAGACCAACAGCTAACAGAGTAGGATAGCAGAATTGCGATGGCCACAGCAGCGCAGCTAGCGCTACCTGACTGAAAAAAACTACATGTTGATATGTTTAATTATGTCTGGGCCGACATTTACAGTCGCCATAAGAAATGAAAACATAACAGAGATTTAACTCTGGTCCATGTATGTGAACAGACCATGCAGAGACTCAACCACCAGACTTGATTCCATTTGCACCTTGCATGCTGTATTTATTCTATTATATTAGGTGATATGTACGAAGTCTACTTATCATCTAATGATTTCGTCAAGATTGTTATTATTATTAATTATTTATTATTATTCTTCCTCGAATTTGTTCGCAGGCTACCTCAAGACTGAATAAAGCCATTATCATGAACTTTCCATGATGATGGATCTTTGATAGTCTAAGTGCGTGACTTTTCAGAGAGTCAAGGTCGTCGTGACGTCATCCACGCGCCATTTTGTGAAAATCAACTTATGATCATATCTTCATAACCGAAAGTAACTTTTCATTCATATTAATCATGGTTAAGATCAATATCCGTCTGGTCAATTTTAGGTCAATAAGCGTGCACCAACGAGCGCGTAAAAAAAAAATGCTCCAAATCATCCCAATTTTTTTTTTGCATACGTTTCAGGCCATTTGGAATTTTGCACAAAAAAACGCGCACACGCGCATGCGCGCGCGTTTTCGCGCGTACTGGCATTTTGCAACATAAAATCGCCAAATTTTCTCTTTCATCATATTTTTCCAAGCATTTTGATAACTTCCATGTTTACCTTTTAATAACGCAATGAGCGTTCGTCAAAGTTGACAGCACACGCGGATTTACATTATCTTTATCCACGTGCCTATACAAAATTCATTGTAACTCTTCAGAATGGATGGGAACTCCCAATATCTCTTCATATTTAGATAGATTATGAGTTGGAAATATGATTTCTTGTCTCATTTGACCCTCAATTAACTCGTGACATCATCATAATGGTCTCCGAACTCAAAATTTCAATTTGCATATTATGACGTAAGCATATTTTTGGAAAATTGATTGTATCTCTGTAAATATTGATCTTTTTTCTTCCAAAATTTGATATGTTTTAGCTGAGACAATGTTCTACAAATACAGTGTCCACGATTTTTTCATATTGATAAAGGCATCATGGCGTATTTTTGCGATTAAAGGAGGCATGTCAATTTTTCACATTTTGCTTGTATTCTCTATGGTACATGACTTTTTCTCAAAACTGGATTCTACATTTCTGTCTCTCGCGAGCAATATCTCCGTTGTTTGAGCTTTGTTTTCGCTGAGCTTCGAGTATGATGTAGCTGAGAAAACAAGCTATCTCTAATGTGCACTTTATTGTTCAATCAGATGCCGGGATCATGCTCATATTTCACTTGCAAAGTGGGATTTGAGAACTCCCATTTTCCGTTTACGTGTAATGGCTATGGGAAATGTTTTGGTATATCGGTACCTTCCTTGACTTCCGACCTTGTGATCCCTGGTTCGAGTCCGGGCGTCTCCAACAATTTTTTTCTTCACTTTTTTTCCCTGTACCATCTCCTTTAATTATTAAAACACGTAGAATCGCAAATAATGTAATAAACAACCCTATTTACTTTATTATTACACTATTTACACTTCATCTATTACTTTTTGCGTGTAATCCCTATGGGATATGACTTTTTCTCAAATCTGGAATCTACATTTCTGTCTTTTGTGAGCGATATCGCCGTTATTTCTGCTTGGATTTTGTTGATGTTTGTGTATGTTGTAACTGAGACAAGTTTCCACAGGATTTATGTAGACTATTTAAAATTTAATCATAGGTGACATGTCAGTTATCATATATAACAATCATCAATCGAACACCTGAAGGGGGCGCTATCTTTTAATCATGGTCGTCTTCATCATCACCACTATATAGTCATTATTGTATTCATGAACATTATCATTATATCATCATCGGCAGTTTCGGCACACTGTCATGATCGTTATTCAGGAGCCTAGCTATTTATGCTAGAAATATTGAAGGCATTTTTGTCTCGCCTGCGACGGCGGCGGCGTCGACATCAGAAACTTAACCTGAGGTTAAGTTTTTGAATTTTGGATATAATTTTGAAAGTATAAGTTCTTAGTCAATGAAACATGAACTATAGGGTTATCAAGTATCCCCAATCATGTGATTAGAATTTCAGGTCACAAAGTCAAGTTCAAAGGTCATTTCAGGTCAACAGACTTGGACTATGTTATGGCATCATCATCGAAAACTTAACCTAAGGTTAAGTTTTTGAATTTTGGATATAATTTTGAAAGTATAAGTTCTTAGTCAATGAAACTTATGCTATAGGGTTATTGCAAGTATCCTCAATCATGTGAGTAGTATTTCAGGTCACTAAGTTAAGGTCAAAGGTCATTTTAGGTCAACAAACTTAGACTTTGTTGTGGCATCAACATCAAGATTTTGAATTTTTTAGCATATTTTCAGAATTGATTGTTCAAATTCCATGAAACTTGTACCCAAGGGTTATCAAGTATCACAAATCATATGACACAAATTCCAGGTCCCAAGGTCAAAGGTCAGTAGACTTGGATTATGTTTTCACAACTTAATATAAGAATTAATATTTTTTTTAATTCATTTGTTCATATTTCATTCAAGTTATCGATCGTGGTACATTTAATATTAAATAATTCTTCTGATGATTCTTAGTCAATATTAACTTCAAAATGTGATTATATTTAGAGGATTTCATTTTTGGGGGCCTGCTAATGGGCCACCCTGCCTATAAATAATGTCCCAACCTCAATTTTTCATCATATCGAATTGCGTAATGCAGGCGAGACCGCCGAGAGCGTTTCCCTTGTTCTAAATTGCATCTCTCCCCCTCTCTCTCTCTCTCTCTCTTCTCTCTTGCTCTGTCTCCCTCCACCTAGTCTTGTTTTGCCCCTCTCCTTCTCTTGGTCTCTCTCATCTGCATCTCTCTTGTTCTCTCCCTCTCTCTTACACTTTCACCTTCTCCCTCTCACTGTTTCTCTTTCCCTCTTCTCTTGATCTGTCTCCTTTTGTCTCTGCCTCTCTCTCTCTCTTTCTCTACTCTTCCCCTTTCTCTCTGCATCATCTTAGCTTGTCTCATGTATATGTATAACAATTTAATCCGAAGAAATTCGAGGAAATTTCTATCGTTTGGCCATTCACTGCCATGCATACTAACTATCATTTATAGATTTAACATCTTATAGATGTTGGGTTATGGATGGGTACAATAATAATATCTTACTCATATTTTATATCAAATCAGAACTAAATAAATCACTATGTACATTTTGTAATATTCATTTAAAAAAGTGTTTTGAGCTTGTTTAGTATAAGCAAATAGTTTAATCCTCTATCGAAAACCTGAAGAAGGCGCTGTGCCACTTTCAATCATGGCCAACATTCAAATATCGTCATCATCGTATTCATGAACATAATCGCTTTTTGATTATCGGCAACACTTTCATGATCAGTATTCAAAAGAGCATATGCTAGAAATATGGAAGGCATTGTTCTCAATTGCATCTCTCTCTCCTCTGTCTTGCTCTGTTTCCTTTCTCCTCTAATGCTATGCTCCTCTCCTTCTCTTGGTCTGTCTCTGCATCTCTCTCTCTCTCTCTACTCTTTCACCCCCCCCCCTCTCTCTCTCTCTCTCTCTATCTCTCTTGCCTTGCCTCCCTTTGCCCTTCACAGTTGAAACTTGACTCATGGATAGACCATAATGGGAGTAGTATTTTATAACGATCGAGATGAAATCATTAAAATACGTTCTTTATTATGTTACACATGAGCATACGTATCACCTAATTCGTTAAAGTGACGAATTAAAGTCTAGTTTATTTATTTATTTGGTTTAAAAACATTCAACACATAAAGTTCAGGAACTCATAATGGTTGATTTACAATGAAATTGAATAGTGTAAACAAAATTGAACCTAAATACATACACTTAAGAAAAACATGTTTTTTTACACACATGAAAATATGGTTACAATACAATATTCAACGGCTGGCTACTTGTAGCTAGACCAAGGCGAGATATGACGAGGAAATCGAAAAGAAGAGAAATGACAAGAAAGAGAGAAAGAGTGGCGAGAGAGAAAGAAAGGGACAGGAAGGGAGGGTAGAAAGAGAGAGGGAGGAGAGAGATAAAAGAGGGGGGAGAGAGAGAGAGAGAAGGGGATAGAAGAGAGAGAGAGAAATAGGAGATTCTTTAGAAGGCAAAATAAGAATAAGGTAGAAAAACGTAACATTAAAACATTAATCCCTTGTAGTATACTGTCACATTCATGCATTAATTGTCCCCCTTCCCGAAGACCTGGCAAAGATTCAAACCCTGGACAACCATCTAGACAGCCAACCTTGCCCAAGGTCCACCTACACCGTCAATGGTCTATCTCTCATATTTAAATATCCATGCCTGGCTACACCTTAGTACAATCTGGTTTTCACTGGATATGGTTATGACTTATGAGGACCTGAAACCGGTCCACCTACACCTTCAATGCTCTATCTCTCATATTTGAACATCCATGCCTGGCTACACCTTAGTACAATCTGGTGTTCACGGGATAATGGTTATGACTTATAAGTACCTGTAACCGTGGTCACGCATTAATAAACTTGAAATGAAAGGAGGAATGCGCTTATATTTTGTACCAGCATTACGGGGCGGTACCGCCGACTGAATCACTACATATCATTTACTCTGAGGAGAAGTTATTCTCGGACTATATCTTCTAGACCTACGGTCCTCCAAGATGGATCAGGACTTACCGGTAAGTCTGAAGAACTTGCTACCAAGTTTAACCTTTAAATCAATATGTGTGAACGCTTTAGGGATAACCTAAGTCGAGAAGGGTTGATCTATATCTCAACTAAATTATCAATCATTTGATTAAACGTTATCATTTGCAATGAGAACAAGGTGTTATTTTGTAAAGTATCATAGATTCTTGATCTATGTTTCTCAACGATGGTCAAAAGACGTGTTAAAGTTTGGAGAACTTGCAATCACTGTAACTTTTACTTAAAACTTTGAACGACTATTCGCAAACTTGTTAGCGACAAACTAGATAGCGAAAATGTGGTTTGCCCCGCAAATGCAACGTCAGTAAGTTCATTCAATATACATATTTATTTTATACTCTGAACAGGTGTTATTTGAAGATTAAAACTAGATATATACCTATGGTTCTCAATGATTGAACAAGTTGCGTTAAGGTATGAAGAATCTACCTTTTATTTGAATGGTTCTTTTAAAACGTTTTAGGCCAAACTAAATCTGGAAAAGGGGGTTCTTAATGTTCACGTTGAATCCCTCGGTACAACCCTGGTATTGAATACACTCTGGTGAAAGATATTATTCAGTTATGTTTCTTACTTCATACATATATACTCCGAACACACACAAGCCCACGCACATACACGCACGCACATACATACATACATACATATATATATATATATATATATATATATACATGAATTTCATGACTTTAAGGGTCACAATATCTCCATCCCATGCCGAATTGACCTGGATGATATAACATAATTTACTGTTACGGACATCATTATGATTCCTTATGTTTAGGGGAGTAGTACTGAATAGTACTACAACTATTATGATACAAAATATCTCACCATAATATCACTGAGGAATTTGAGACTGCAGACGAAAAAGTGCAAATGGGGTAGTCGTAGTAGTAGTAGTAGTAGTAGTCGTAGTAGTAGTAGTAGTAGTAGCAGCAGCAGTAGTAGCAGCAGCAGCATCAGCAGCAGCAGTAGTAGTAGTAGTAGTAGTAGCAGCAGCAGTAGTAATAGTAGTAGTAGTAGTAGTAGTAGTAGAAGTAGTACTAGTAGTAGTAGTAGTAGTAGCAGCAGCAGCAGCAGTAGTAGTAGCAGTAGTAGTAGTAGTAGTAGTAGTAGTAGTAGTAGTAGAAGTAGTAGTAGTAGTCTTAGTAGTAGTAGTAGCAGTAGTAGCAGTAGTAGCAGCAGTAGTAGTAGCAGTAGTAGTAGAAGTAGTAGTAGTAGTAGTAGTAGTAGTAGTAGTATAAGTTGCAGTAGTAGAAATAGTAGTAGTAGAAGAAGTAATAGTAGTAGTAGTAGTAGTAGTAGTAGTAGTAATTGTTGTAGTATTCGAGAAGAGCTGTTTTATAATGGCACAGCTGAACAGAGATATTGATTTCATTTCCTTTCATGACGTTGTCCTTGATTTCATCATCATTGCGTTATTGTTTAGGATTTTTAAATATTACATTTACATCAAATCAAAAATCTAATCCTGTCCTTGACCGGGGGACAGGGTCGGAATGTAGACCTAGTGGGCATTTTGTTTACCTTCTCAGGCCCGGGGGGGGGGTAGTGCTTCTAAATGGCCAGGGACGTGGGTCCCTTTCCCCCTCCTTCTTCGATTCTGATCAATTTCAATTCTTTTTCTAAGCTCTGAAAATATACTTCAATCCAGATTATTTGATAGTATCATTTTTATATATTAACCAAAGTGCAATGGAAATGATGTGATCTGTTGAGTTTTCCGCAACTACTTTGATAAGATGATCTGCTATATCTGTTATTTCTATATCAAACACCTTTTCTATTGACCAGCATAAATATGATTTGAAGGAATCATTGCATTTACATAAAATAAAAGCATGAACAATGCCTGCACTTGCTACTCATGTTTTACACGTATCATCAGGTGCAAGATTCCACTTCAAAAGATTCCTTCTCACTAGTAGAATGTTTTACGAAATCTTACAGTGAAATTCTTTCAGCATATTAACATTAACGTTAATCAAATTTCTTTCAAAACAATTTGGCCAATTGTTATCTTTATCTAAAAGCTTTTCCCCAAAAGACGGCATCTAAGCGTAGCATGTCAAAATATTGTTTACCAGTTAACTCATATATTTTTTTAAAAATATTCTACCTCTATTAAGAATTCTTGGAATTTGTAAATTTGTTCTTTTCAATAGAGAGTTATTTCCTTTGGTAAGTAATTGTTTTGGAATCGCTTTTTGAAGTGTTGCAAGGTCGAAAAATACATTGATTTTCTCTGCTTGAATTCATACCCAATTTGAGCACTTATTCTAAAGGTACCGTTTCTAAAAATGTCGTTAACATTCGCAATACCACTTTATAACCATTTCTTAAAGAACAACAATTTCTTTCTAAAAATAATGTTTCAATTAAATCATATATATTTCCGATGAGGCCTTTTTAACTATATCCCCCTAAAATGTATACCATGCTAGGAAGATATCACGATAAAACATTGGCCATTTTGATACACAATAATGTAATATTCTTTCATCAAAATCACAATTTGATACCAAAGAGAGCCCACCTATCTGGTCAAACCAGAAATTAGCCATTCTTGTCCACAGTGTGTCTGAATCATCAGTGATTTGCCCTAGCCAACGCAATATAACACTCATAATCTTATTTTCAACGTCCATCATACTTACACCCCTATTCTTACAATTTTGAACATATCAATTCTCCTTACTTTTTTAATTTTTTCCCGGCCAATAAAAATTAAAAATAATTTATTCTTTCTTTTGACATAGATTTTAGGAACAGTTTAAAACATTAACATATGTATCACAAAGCTTATTGCTAGTGTCTTCAATACAACTACTCTTCCAAATATTGTCAGATTTCTTATTCTCGAATCATCTAGTTTTTTTTTTCTCCATCTTACTATCGGCCCACAAGATATGTATGGCTTTTTCTTTATCTTTATAAATCAGCAGGACAATTACTTTACAGGCTCGTCGCACCATGACAATGTGTGGTCCAATAGATCACATTTTTCATTTTCATTACCAATCCATGTCAATGTTGTTTATCTTTATTCGATTAAGAACCTGCGACTTCACTAAGTTTTCATTATTATTATTATTATTGATTAGGCCAATCATAAAAGCACAATACAGTTACATTTTGACAGATGAACAATACAAGAGGAAAAGGTAGGGAGCAACGTGTGGGCCAGGGCTCACAAAAGTGAAATTCAACACTATTACCCGGAGGCATGAGAGCCCTTCAATAGTGCATTTAAATATTCTTCATCATTTACAAAGAAAACAGTGTCATCTGTATTTTGAAATAATTTCAAATGAAAAAGACTTGTAGTGTTTCCTACGCTTATACCTCTTATACCAGGATTGCTACATATCCTTATTGCTTGCATTTCAGCGGCTAGAATGAAGAGAAGTGCCGAGAGAGAGGGCAGCTTTGTCTGAATCCTCTCTGAGTTTTGAACTGCTCTGTTAGGAAACCATTAACAATAACAGACAGAGTTAACAGAATACAATACTGAAACCCGCTTGATAAACTGGGGGCCAAAATTAAACACACTTAATGACTGCTTTACAAAATCAATATTTATCACATCGAACGTTTTCTTAAAATCTGCCTTCATAATGGCACCTTACATATCGTCCAACTTCATGTAAGCTATCACATATTGCAGCAGTCTTAGATTAGAACCGCTTAGGCTATTCTTGATATACCGGATTTGGATTTTTTTTTCTTCCCCCTCTAGTTTCGGGAAAACTTTCATCAAGCGGTTAGCTAGAACTGCAGCTGCTATTTTATAATCGCAACTTAGTAATGTCACTGGGTGCCAGTTCATCAAACTTTAAGAATCACCTTTCTTAAATAGCAAAGTTATTTTACCTTTTTTTGTGATTCAGACATATGACCATTATTAAAAGATTAATTTAGCGCATCTACCAGTATCTGCTCAATATCTTCCAAGAATACTTTGGAGAATTATATTGGAAGGCCGTCTACACCAGGTGACTTAGTTTGTTTCATACTAAGGCATTCCAGCCAGGCGTCATTTTTACAAACGCACACTTGGTAATCTAAGCACATAAGCTTTCGCATCCTACCAGGTACCCATTTAGCACCTGGGAGGAGAGTGACAAATGTAGATCAATATCTAACATTCCTTTATCTTATCCAGTGTTAGCATCAATCAAATGTGACGAATGAGAAGCAGAAACACAAAGGACTCACTATTTGTGTTTCTGTAGAAATGCTGATTTTGAGTTTTGGTAATGAAATTGCTTTTTGACAAAAACGGGCTTACAGACGTCAAACAGGTTAATCCAGGTGGTTTTATTTGTTTGTGAATCAGTGTTTAAAGGAACTATGTCTCTTTTGCAGCCAACATCAAATTATGTAGAACTAGATTACTATGAATATGTTATCTATGTCCTATCTGTGAAATGTAAACATTAGCAATGTCCTCATATTCAAATTATGCAAGGAAACCCGTTTACTTTCTAGACTTCAATGACAGACACTATTGAGTGACTGACTGACTTCTTTTTTTCTTTGATAATAGCATACATACAATGAGCTGTAAAGGGCACATATGCATTTGTCGACATCAATAACCTACTTCTTGTAATGGCCAAAATCAACCTGATTGAATATTTGCACCGTACAAAACGTACATCATTCGGTACAAGGGTCTGAAAATCAGACTACTTACTAAAAAGATTGCAATCCATAAATTTGATTCGACAACTAACGGTCGTTATATCCCCACACAAAGACATTTTCAAGCCCTTTCGTTTCGTTTTCGTTTTTTAAATGCAGGTGGAATTTAACCTTTTCATGTTTTTTGGGCCTGCAAATGGGACATAGTACCTTTAACCTGTTGACTACTGAAGTCTTTTGTTCCCATAAACTTAGTACAGAAATCACAGTTCCAGAACGCATTGGGTAATTAAAATGCGAATCTCCAAAATTGTCTGTGCTCCACAGTGTAGGCGTAAATACGTGTACAATGTCAGTACAGAACACCATAACATGTTGACTTGCTTTGATATCATTATGTTCATAAATTCAGTATGTTTATTTGCACTGGATCTAATTGTCATCAGGATATTTTCAAAGATTGAAATTTGTGCATCTTTGTTCAAAATCAGGCAGCATGTCACCGATTTTGGTCATGCACGTCGGGTGAGCGTGGGCTATCAGTTCATATCACAGATGATTATTGTTTGTCGAATCGAATAGAATAACCTCAATTCATGTATCGCGGTTCAAAGAAACACGATACAATTTGTCACAGAATTGTAAGGCCATTTATCATACCCTAACAGTAGCTGGATGTCAATCTACATGTATGAAGCGCCCAGACTCGACTATGTTGTGGTTGTGATGACTGATGTTGAGGCAATATAGGCGGATCTGGATTATGTGAGGTGGAGGGGATGTTTTTTTTTTATTATTGTTCCGCGGTCACTATCTTCGCGCCAACTTATCTCTGAACTTCAACCCTTGACCTATTCCTTACTCTAAACCTAGCCATAACCTAACCTGAACCCAAATGAAATCCTACCACTAAGGAGGAGCGATGGCTCAGTTGTAGAGAGTGTTGGTCTCGTAACAGGGAGGACCCGGGTTCGAAACCAATTAGATGCGTTAATGCCTCATTTTAAAGCATTACTCGTCATTACCAAGTCCATCAAAGAGGACTTAAAGCTGTCGGTCCCTGGCTGCTTTCATACAAGCATACAATGCTTTCCTAGCAGTCAGGTAAAAACCAACCAACCCTAACCCTATATTTGACAGAAAAGGGAAACAAACGTGGAACCTAATGTCGGGTTTATCTAAAATGGTAACTATTAAAGTCAACTATTCCTGAGACATTGCACGGTGAACTCAAACAATGATGATGTTATTATGAGTTCAGCATTGCGAGCAAAGAATGCAGGGATAACATTTGTATTGCCTTGCAAATTGCATTTTGTTTTTGTCTAAGAAATCAAACGGAATATAATCGAATGAAATGTTAGCTTCATACAGCATACTTTGTATACCTTCTAGAACGAGAGCAAATGAAAATCCTTACGGCTCAATCTGTTCCCCTTCATACCACACCTTTTTGTATAATTGTGTTTTCTTTTCATTCACAGCCCCCGCCGGGCGAGAGCCCATACGACAACGCTGGTGATGCGGCGGCTGTTGGTCGTAATACCGAGGAACATGCCTACGACAACTCCACGTACGAGATGGACACGGGCGAACAGACCGCTGTCGACATGCAACCACCGGAAGAACCCGTCAATGACATCCCCAACGATCCCGAGCCTGACGTCGTCGCCGATCCCGGTAATGACTTAGACATTGATGCCGAGGGCGAGGTCGTTGTCGATGAGGACATGGAATCTTCAGCTGTGATTGAAGTCAATGCTGTGGATGGTGGCGCGGATGTGGATCCTAAAGACGAAATTGAGATGGTGAGGCTAGATGATGGTGAAGAGCTACCTGAATACACAGAACCGGAAGAGGAACAGGCCGGTCCACTCCCGAGCAAATCAAGGGGAGATTCAAGGATGTAAGATATTTTCTCTTTGAATTTCAATCCAGCTAGTTTATATTATTAGATCGAAACAAAAACAATATAACATGCATTGACTTGATTGCTTTGTGAAACACAAAACCAGGTATAATTATCCCTTGAAAATGAATTGTAGCACAGGGATATATATATAAAATACATATACATATATAGTTAAATTAAGTTATGTTTTTTTAATAAATTAGTTTACTGTTTGTTATGTGCTCATGATATACCTCGATCATTGAAAAAGTGCACCTGTTATTGTGATTGACGATTGACGATTAATTCACTTAACCAAAAGACACCATTGACGAATGAATAGCACAGCGACACCCTTTTGTGATACCAAGACTCCAAACTGGCAGGTGCAAGGTTCAACCTTTAATAAAAGATAAAAAACACAATCATAAGCATTACTAGAATAATGCATCCAATATGCTACTTAGCATAGCTGATATGACAATCAAATAATCTATCCAACATTTGTTTATCTTATCCAGTCAAATAATAAACAGGTTTGTAAATAACTGTAAATAAATGGCATAATATGAGTTAGGAAATATCTTTACATATTTCTGCTAAGATGAGTTCATAGCTCCTTTGATACAACCTATTGACTCACTATTAATTACCAAAGCATAATAGGCCCAACATATCATTTAGTGGTAACCTAAATCTTAATAACAGGCTGCACGAAAGACTACCAATCTATAATGACCCCTGGCATACCTGACCTACTTTCTGTCAACTACTCTTTATAGAACATTTTGTCTTTCATACTAATCCAAAAAAACCAACTGAATATTGGACAGCTTATACTGTACATACATTTCTAACATAATCCACTGAAACTAATAATAATACAACTTTTCTGTCATATTCATATCTGTCTTCTTTACGTTTACCGAAATTAATTCTAACCCAATGACTTTATACACAACTGCATGCCCACACACAACGTAAATTTACGTACGTGAGTAACAATTTTCTTACTTAATTTTACACTATTTGCATTTCTTCATTTTTATCACCAATAGCATCAAACACAACAATAGTCATCATATTTCAATAAACAGAGGTAAATAAATACTCACAACATTGGGCTTGTGTCAAAATACCAAAAAATGGTGCACTTTCAGTGCCGATAACTAACTGCAACAACGTGTTTTAGTTTCCCTAACAAATTCGCAACTGCCCTCTATGGCTAAACCCAAAATAACCAAAACTTCGCTTCTGACGTCATAATACCCCACATCGTATGCAACATTCCGGCCCCTTAAATGTGAACATTCAATGAACATTTACATAACTTATCCTATCATACAACCCTTTCATAGAAATTGTATTTCGGTTAATAACACAAACATCCCATTTAAATCTGTTAACATACTATGAAAAAGCACATAAATGTAAAAATAAAACGTACTCCACTATTTATACACATATAAATCAAACCCTTTCATCTACGGTAAAGGTATTTCTTATGCAAATAACTTCCATCGTGTATGTAACTGATAATAACATTTTCTAAATCTTCACTGGCTGTACTTAATCATTTTCTCCAAACTGTATCAAGTTTATATTAACATATATACATATCTTTGAAATTTCAGACAAATTTTCCTTTCCTTTTACTCCTAATACAAACAGTAGCTTTGGATACATTTTAGGATTTAACTACTCTTGATGAAAATTCCTTTTCAGTCTCCATATGTCACCATATGGATTATGTTGTCAAGCAGATACAACCTGCATATAAACATAACATAGAAATTTCTGCACATGTGAAATAACTGCAACCCTTGTCATGTTTTATTTGTTTGTTTGGTTTTTGTTTTTGTTTTTTGTTTTTTTTTCCTTTTATAACCCCAAATCTGATATTTGGCCTCAATGCACAAAAAAAAAAAAGGGAAACAACAGGAGTTGCATGTATTTCTACCAATATCTTATGTATACATATTATAAAACATATTTCATGCATGGATTAATATTTAAATATTCAACTATCAGTCCTTCCATGGGATATATCTCCAACAATCCTTTTTCTGATTGTCATTGTTCGATGTATCAAATTTCACTCTTATAGTGTTTATCAATCTGAATGTTAATGTTTCTTTGCGAAAGCGTTCAATCTCGGTATGGTCAGTTCTCCCTTTTGTGTCAGAAGAAATCCTTTGCGATGTAAGACCGCGATAACGAAGACCGCTAAATTACTAAACTTACGGCGAGTGACTGAATCCATCCAATAAACAGCGGTCCACTAATATATCATAAAGGGGAGGCGTTGCTAGGCTCGCACTTCTAACACTTATTTTAAATTACACCACAAATATTGCAGATCCATGTGCCATCCAATGAACCATGATCCATTATTATGATATCACCTTAACGCGATTTAACACATAAAATCTCAGGAATCCACTTCCAGGAGCAAACAGAGCTTAGCGATAGGTCTTCGAAGTGTGCTAGTTTGCGTCTTCACTTCGCATTGCCGAACGTTGCCTTCTCGGTCTGGCATGGTTCGAAGCACTCTTCCTATCTGCCAGCAGTTACGTGGTGCGTGCTCATCAACTACCAAAACTAGATCGCCGACCTGAATATTGCGTCGTGAAGTAGCCCATTTCTGCCGCTCTTGCAACCGTGGTAAGTACTCCTTCACCCATCTCGACCAAAAGGTATCCGCTAAAAGCTGCACCTGGCGCCATCTCCTCCTGGCATAGTTGTCTGCTTCACTGGTAGTTGTGGGAGGCAGTGGTGATTTTGCATTGAGTAGAAGCAGATGATTCGGAGTTAAGGCTTCCACATCATTTACATCACTGGACACCTCAGTGATTGGCCGGCTGTTCATGATGCTTTCAATCTCACAGAAGAGTGTATGCAATGAATCATCATTCAGGGTTTGCTGCTTAACCAAGGAACACAGCAGCTTCCTCACAGTTCGGATCTGGCGTTCCCACACCCCTCCATGATGACTAGCTGCGGGTGGATTGAATGTCCATTTGATATTCTTCTGCAACAATGTATCATGTATCTGAGCCTGGTTCCAACTTTGTATTTCGGTCCTCAGTTCTCTCTCTGCTCCAACCAAATTAGTGCCGTTATCAGATCTAATTTCTCTCACATTTCCCCTGCGTGCAATGAAGCGTCTGATAGCATTAATGCAAGAGCTTGTGTCAAGGGAATCTGCCATCTCAAGGTGCACTGCTCTCACAGTAAGACATGTGAATAGCACCCCATATCTCTTTACGACACTCCGACCCCTTTTCACTTCCAACGGTCCAAAATAATCAATTCCAACTCTTGAAAAGGGGGGCTCATCTGAAATAAGCCGGTCAACTGGCAAGTCCGCCATCTTTTGCTCAAGAACCTTCCCTCGCTGTCTTCTGCACACAACACATCTAGTCAGTATCCTTCTGATCACAGAGCCAGCAGCAGGAATCCAATATTTCTGGTTGAGGCAAGACAACATATGATTTCTGCCACTATGTCCCGATGCCTCATGGATTTCACTCAGGATAAGCTTGGCGACATGACTATCATTGCGAAGTATAATTGGGTGCTTCGCCTCCTCTTGCAACATTGCCTTGCCAAGCCTTCCTCCTACCCTCAGTAGGCCATTTATCATCCTTGGGTCTAGCTTGTAGATTGGACTTGTCTTCTTGACCAATTTACAGCTCTGTTCTTGGTGTGCAGTGTCATTCTGCTCAGCCTGCAAGGTTGACATCTCATGAGGGAAGCTGACTGCTTGTACATATTGCAGAATTTTCTCCTCTGCGTCCTTCATCTCTTCCACCACCAAGCTTCCATGCAAAAGTTCAGCTGAAATGCCTTCAGGACCCTGTGTACATTTACATCTCAGCCATTTCAAGTACCTCCGTAGCCAGCAAACTGCTTTCTTCAACCTGTGCCACGAGGAGTAGTGTTCAAGAAGTTTGTTCATTAAGGCAGTTTCTTCTGAGAGAGTTGTCATATAAACCCCAGCCTTGTCCTTGCTCTTAACTTCAGGGTCGCCATCTAGACTGACATCATTTAAGACTTGACTTGCAGGCCTTGACTCATTCTCACACCATAAGAAGCTGGGTCCACTCACCCATCTCTTGCTGGTTGTTAACGCCTCAGCTGTCATCCCTCTTGAGACATCGTCAGCCGGATTCTGCCGAGTGTTGACGTAGTGCCACTGCTTTGGGTCAGATCCTTCATGGATTACTGCAATCCTGTTTCCGACGAATGTGTGGAATCGTCTTTCCACATTCTTGATATACTGGAGCACTATAGTGCTGTCACTCCAGAACACAGAGTCACTCAGGGTGAAGTCTAGCTCACGTCTCAGCATACCATCGAGTCTCACAGCAAGCGTCGCTGCCATCAATTCCAGTCTAGGTATCGTAACTCTCTTCAGCGGAGTGAGCCGAGTCCTGGCCATTACTAGACTGCAATAGACCTTGCCCTCCTGGTTCGTCACTCGGAGATAAGAGGCCACACCATATGCCCTCTCTGAAGCATCAGAAAAGTGGTGCAATTGGTACTCCGTCACATCTCCGAAATCATGAGGCTTTAGGCACCTGCTGATGTTGAAATCCTCCATAAGCAGCAGATCTCTCTTCCAGTTCAGCCAGCTCTCACGCTGCTTCTCTGGCAATGGCTCATCCCAATCCAATTTCATAGCCGTGAGCTCTTGCAAAATGATCTTGGCATTCAACACATATGGGCTTGCAAATCCGTACGGATCATATACCGAGGAAACCTCACTCAGCACTCCACGACGGGTACAGGGCTTGTGTTTCGGGGTGATTCCATACGTCATGGTATCTAGTTCAATGTTCCATTTGACACCCAGGGCCCTCTCAATCGGTAAGGTATCATAACTTAAGTCGAGTCCTTCCACTTCCTTTGCCCTGTCATGAGCAGGCACAGACTCCATTACCTTTGGGCTATTGCTTAGCCACTTTGTGAGGTTGAAACCTCCTCCTTTCAGCATTCTCTTCAGCTCATCT